CTTTTACTAGAGCCAACAATAATGGAAAATACTACTCACGCTTGTCATGCTCACATCATCACAGTCCCACGAAAAATGGAGCAACGCAGAGAGCGTCAGGAAGGAGAATATACCTCGCTGCAATGGGCAAAAAGATCGACACTCGCCGTGCGGTCCCGATCAGGGAATCCGACGAGGCCAGGGGAACTTCCAGGCAATCCAGGGTACCTGAAGCGCTGGCTACCTGGTATTGAAATCCACCGTGGCCGGAGGAGCTCAGTCTTCGGTTAATCCAAATCACTCGTGAAAAACAAGTGCGTCACATTTGCGACTCGCGAGTATAAACTACACACACTCACGATGAACTAATGTAGGATATCAACACTTTAACTTCTGTACGAAATTACATAGACTCACTATTATTAGTAAAAACAAATGAACACTCAAATCGTAACTGCGTCACACTCCGTGACCGTGTCGTCGTTGTTGTTGTTTTTTCCTCCTATCTCCTCTTCTTCGTTCCCTCCCTTCTCACTCTCTCCTCCCGCCCCCTCTCGCCTATCATATCGCTCTCCAAACCAAACTGACATGTGAAATACCCAATCAGAGCCTAGAAACTTTATACACTTCTAACAAAAATATTGATGAGTACAGATATAAATCAAATATATAAACAAAACAATATAAAAGATACATTTTGAAGAAAAGTAAAATAATATAGATGTACTTTCAACAAATTTCCACAGGGCTACTACACAAGTATGAATTTCTTTTAAAAAGAAAATTTGCTGAGACAAAATTTTGAATAGTAGTGTATTTGTTTTATATATCAGTTAACACTGTTAGACACAGCCTATCAGTAATATTGCACAATAACCAAAATTGTAAATTTATAGTTGTATAATTTGGTAAATTGTGGATTTTTTTTAGCAACAAAAAAACTGGCAAAATGAAATATGTAAGCAAATGTATAAATTCTGTCTCTAGCACTGGATTGTAAAGTAAAAAAATAATAATAATCTAGTATGATGAACAGTTGTCATTTCAGGAACAAACAAACTGCATTCCTTTGGGTCTGTGTATGAAACCTCTCCTTTTCTACTCGCATCGCTCCGGCTGGGATTCAAACCGGCGTTTCTGGCATGGGAGGTGGGCTCGCTAAACAGGACTCTAAAGACCGCAGCCTCTAATGCGCCTCTTGAAGCCAGGGTCGTGAGGTTTACCCGCACAGCTCTTTACTAGCTGGCCGCTGTTACACCTCATTCCCATCTGGATCACGGCACCAAAGTAACCCCTCCACTCGCACCACTCTGAATGGGATTCGAACTGCCGTTTCCAGTATGGGAGGCGGGTGCGCTAACAAGGACGCTAAAGACCACAGCCTCTAGCGTCAGCTGCTACTGTGTCTCTTGAGACCAGGGGAGTGAGGTTTAATCGCACAGCTCTTGCTAGCTGGCCCCCTAAACCTTCATCCCACCCGGGTCACAGCACCAATGTAACCCCTCTGGTTCTACTCGCACCACTTTGAGCAGGATTCGATCAGGCATTTCTGGCATGGCAGGGCGCCACAGCCTCTAGCGCTTCTCTTGAAGCCTGGGGAGTGAGGTTTACCTGCACAGCTCTTTACTAGCTGGTCTCCGGTACATTTATCATAAATTATTGTTGTGGCCTAGCACTTAAGCTCCAAAAGCAGGTTCGATTCCAGCTGGTGTCATGCACCAATCATACTCCCCTTCATTTCCTTTCCTCTCTAGTGTCTCTATCAAGTGGCATAAGGCCAAACAAACGCCTGGCCTCCAGAGAGCCGTAATAAATAGTGTTGGCTCCTAACTCAGAAGGTTACTACTATCCCCGCATTAATTAAAGGGAGTCTTGGCAAGGCCAGTAAAACGCTCACACTGCCCCCAACAGCTGTCTTCACTTTGTCTCCTCTGTGTCAATTTTTTGATCGCTCCAGATGTTGCGTTGGTTTTGAACTGGATATTATTTAAATTGGATGCTTATTTGGGTATCACCCTCTATTATTTCAAATGGCTGTACATTTCTCATCATGGCTCGAATCTCTGTGAACTTGCGCTTGTGCGTCATTGCAGACATGTGTCTGAGTTCGTCGGAGGGAGGAGAGGACCTCCAGAGGCGGTCGAAGCTGCTGTGTCTGCTTGACTCGGTGACGGATGCTCTGGTATGGGCCATCTCGAAGACGGGCCTGAGCTTTCAGCAGCGCTCCACCAGACTAGCCCATCTGCTCATGCTGCTCTCCCACATAAGGCACCTCAGGTACAAACAATAAATGCAGTGCTTTCACTCTGCATGTCTGGCTTCATACACAGTCATTTGTCTGAATACGGCAACATTTATTTCTCTAAGTCTCCTAAAAAAAAGAAAAAGAATGAATTACAGTTCATTTGGACACATTCTGCTACTCGCTATTTTTGCATTTGCATTTGCATTGTCTGCTGTATTTGAAACATCACTTAAAACATCAATTATTTACAGGCGTGGGTTTTTTTCAGTTTGGGGTATAGCTGTCTAAAAGTATCAAGGCTACTTATTTAACTACACGTTTCAGTGTCCCAGTAGTTAATCTGTTTTTAAAGTAGCTTTTCCAATAGCTAATTTGTCTAGCAATTATCAGTGTGGTGAATCAGTTCTTTTAGATGGTTCATGGAAATATAGAATAGTCTCTTTTTGAACCATGTCACAAATGCAGCATTTGCTTACTAATTAGAGAAATACAGCTCTGATTAACTTAGATCTGATAATTATATATTTTAAAATACATTAACTTTTGCTTTAATCTGGTTAGCTACTTGAGCTTTACTAAATATAGCTATCCTCATTTACAAAACGTTAGCTTACTATACTGCCCTACAAAGCAAAAAGGCAGTAACTACGCAGAGTGCAGAACTGAGAAAAATGACTTTAAAGTTATCCTGTTATCCTGTTGTTACTGATTGATATGTACAAAGAATAAGCTAATATAAAGTAACAAAACAGCCACATGTCCAAAAATCTATGACAGGATAACTTTAAAGTCATTTTTCTCAGTTCTGCACTCTGCGTAGTTACTGCCTTTTTGCTTTGTAGGGCAGTATATTGAACTACTTTAAGTATCTTATAGTTTAGCTAACTACTTTTCAAAGTTAGCTTGACTGTGTAGAAGACTCCTGAGCTTGTAACCTGTCTCTGTGGTGTCGTGTGCATTTGTAACTCTCGACCTGTGCAAAACCTTCCACTGACCATCTGTAGTAACAAAGGCATGGACCACCTGCACTGCATGAAGATGAAGAAGATGGTTCCTCTGTATGACCTGCTCCTGGAGATGCTGGACGCTCACATCATGCACGGCTCACGTCTGTCTCACTCGGGTCCTGCTCCCAAAGAGAGCACAGGCGTCCAGGGGGCCTTCACCTGCACTTCTCAGCATGGACCCTAAACTCTATCAGGTGAGTTTCAGAAAGGTTTATAAAAGATTTAGTTTGTACATTTCATTTTACAGGCAGTTGCCAGCTAAAATCTTTCCTAAAATCCTTAAAAAAAGAGAAAGAAATCCCATTAAATTGCTCTTCTTTCTCTCCAGTGCTGAAGAATGATCTGTAGTTCCGGGAGGATGGACAACAAAAAAAGCCACACAAAAAGCGTGGAATAGGATTTCACAAGTTGAAAAACATCACTGATGTCTTGAATGTTCTGATGTGAAATCTATTTTTTTTTTTCAGACAGGATGGACACGGTGTCCAATTTCTACTTTTTCTTTTCTCTTTCTATACAGTAAGCTTTCTGTAAACTAAAACAAATCAGCAGCACCATGATGCCTATAGCATCACTATAGCAACTGCTGTAGATAGAGCCGCTATTGACGACACTCTCAGAAGAAGAAAAAAACACATCAGATTCCATCACTTGTAAAATGACAGTATGGACGATGAGAGAGATTTGTGTGCAGTGTGATCAAAGACTAAATTCTGGTCCGAAGCTTTTTTTGTCACTTTATTTTTGACAAATTGTGTAAAGAAAATAGAAAAAAAAAAAATCATCCTGCTCCAAACCCAGTAAACCCCTTTAACACCATAAAGGCCTTGTACAAAACATTTATACATTTTCTAGATTGATCACCATTTTGTTCCACTGTGAAAACCTTTCCGTTTGTAAGATCACGATACTTTTGATATTGCACTTTAAAATTTCTCTGAAATAGAAGAGCAAACCTACCTTGAAGATTAAAAGCATAAAAAATATGTTAAAAGTACTTCATTTTAATAATTGCACAAATGGGACTAAAAGTATTTATAAAAGTTATGGCATCTGCCGGCAGCCATTTGAATTTGAATTGTTTTGATATGAAGTGTTAATATTGAATTTACAATTTGTCAAATATTAAGAATTAAAAAGCAGATGTAACACAGGTTTTTTTTAAGTAGACAATGTTTATTTTTTAAACACACAACATGTGTTTAATTTGTAAAAGGTTTTTAAACTTTAATGTCTGTAAACTTTGTGTTCTACCTTGCAGCGCATATGTAACAACGTGTTATTTACACTGGGATGAATTAAAATGTTTTGTGTATTTGACATTTATTTTTGTTTTGGGCTTTGCAAATACAGTTGATTCAGACCATATCAAATTTGAAAAATGAGACCCCATAATCCCCAAAATAGCAGCCACCCATCAAGTCATCACAAACTGTGGATGAAAAGATCATCCTTTCCAGTTGCAAACTCTTATCATCTTTAATCAGTGCATGATGTGCTCAAATCTAGAAATATTTCATAAAAAAAAAGAAAAAAGATCAGTGATTTACATTCAAGCTCATACAATGATTGACTTTACAGCATTGTGACAAGAAAAGATAAAAATTTTTTTTTAGATCACATCCAACTCAACATTAACAACAACAAAAAAACATCTCAGTAGTATGGCTCTCAAAGGGGAATAAATAGTATAAAATCAATTATATAAATACAACCATTAAAAATATTGCTTGGACAAAAGTGGTGCTCCACCGCACGTCTGAGTCACGAGAAGAGTTGACGAGGGACTCATGTGGGAGGAGGACCGTTGGTGTAGCGTAACATGGGGTGGAAAGAACGGGCAAAATTGTTGGAAAGGGTGCAGCTGTAGTCGTCTTCAGAAAGAGGGACCAAGCAGGCCAGAACCAGCAGCAGGAGGAACAGGAGATGCAGAGGGAACGCCGCTCGCAGGACCCGATAGAAGAATGAACGCTGAGGGGATGGCTCACGCTTTGACCTGAAACAGAAGTTTGTTTTTTTACTTTTACTGCTGCTCTATTTTTCCAAATCAAAATGTAATGTTGGTACTGTGGTACACAAAAAATACTGGGTATATGCATTTTTGTGCATATTTTTTTATATTCTACACTTTTTTAATATATTCTTTCTAACTATTGATTAAAAATGGTTTGTGTGTGTGCGCAACGGTACCGAGAGCATTCTGTGGATATCCTGTCTCCTGCAGCATCAGCTGTGTTCTCCTGCAAGCACATGACAGAGAAGAGTTCACAAATGAAGCTACTCGGCCAGATCCTAGCACTCTAAATAATATTTCAATTAAAAGTATATTACGTGCTCATGAATTATAGTATGACTGAACAGTTAACTGCCTTATCTTGGTTCATTGCATTTACTTGTTGACATGATGGGGGGGAAATGTGCTCTTAGATCAAATCATTTTAATGTTTACAGCCATTCAAAAGTTTGGGTTTGGTAAGATTTTTTATGTTTTTAAAGGAAGTCTCTTGTGCCACCAAGGCTGCATTTATTTATTTATTTATTTATTTGAGCAAAATACAGTAAATAAGTAATATTGTGAAATACTACAATTTAACAACTTTTTTAATTTAATACATTGAATTTTCAGTCGCATGCTCCGTCAGAAATCATTCTAGCATGCAAATTTGGTGCTCAAGAAACATTTCTTATTATTCTTATTAACATTTCGTATTCTTATTATTAAGTTGAAAACCGTTGTGATGCTTAATATTTTATTGAAAATATTTTTAATAGACTTTTTTTATTATATTTATAATTTTATGTTTTAGCTTTTTTCAGGATTCTTTGATGAATAGAAAGTTCAGAAGCATTTATTTGAAACACTTTTTTATTTTGATTTTTTTACTTTTGATAATTTTAATGTGTCCTCCTTGCTGGAAAAAGTATTAATTTCTTTATACAAAAACCAAACTTATGAATGATAAAAAAAAAAGAAGTCTATGAATGAAGAAGAAGAAGAAGAGAAATGGGCTTCTGATGACTTAAAATGTTCAAGGTTTTAATAAATCCTCAAGGTTTGATTAAAATGTTAAACATAAACTGACTATTAATTGACCCTTGATTACCGGAAAGCTCCATCCCCTCTTTCAGTGAAGCTTTGCAGAAAGTCCCATAGGTATCAGTGCATTTTTCACCAAAATGTGCTTATAAAGACAGTGTTATTTAAATGGATATTATTCATTCATGGGTTGCAATGAAGTGACACAGTACAACATTCTTTTTACCAATTGTGAAATAAATGTCCCCTCAGTTAGCGTCCCTTCTATTACTCTTTGTTGTGTAAATGACTCGAGAATGTTTAGCAAAACGCCCTTACCAATCTCTCCTGAATCATCTGGAGATCCTGCTCGACCTGCCGTGACAGCAGTCGTAGTTTGCTTCCGATGACGTGGAGTTTTTCCCTGGCTTCAGCACTGTCCTCCCCAGCAGCCTCGGGGAGCAGCTCGGAGACGATCTCCTGCAGGGAGCTCACTTGCTCCTGCCTGCCCTGCAGCTCCTCGGCCAGATCCTGCCACCAGGGGGCGCAAAACAAAAGCTCAGCACACGAGTAACAACACTAACTAGAGATGGTATATCCATGCCTGAACAGTCTTAGACGGAGAAGCTGATGTTTCAGCCGGTTTCTCTGGCTCACCTTCAGCGTGTTCCTGTGTTCCTGAAGCATGGAGGGCTGCACAGAAGGGTCGTCCATGTTCACTGTGTAGCGCCTGCTCTCTGCATGGGCCAGCCACAGCAGAAGAGAGTGGACCATCCCGTGAAACTCCTACATGAGAGCAGATGGTCAGCGATGAGCGTTAAAGTTTCATGTGACATCAAACTCGATAGACGTTCATTGAGGGTTCTATCACCTGACAGCGTCCTAGGGTATTGCGTAGACTGTCCTCCCATCCCTCAAGGCCTGCACAAGCCTCTGTCCAGCGGCGATTCATGTTTCGCAGGCCGTCCTGAAGCTCATGTCCAGTGGACCCCTGCTGCAGCTCTCGCCCACCCAGGTTCAGAGACAGCATCATTGTCTTATAACAGGCGAATGTCTTCTGCATTTCCTGCGTAATGAGAAACAAACCAGCGTGTGAAGACAATAATTTCTTTTTTTTTACTTTCTAGTCACTGTATTTATTCAGTCTTCACGTGACATCACACCATTATAGCAGGGCAAAACAAGGCTTTCCTCCGCTGTCCACCAGTTATTTTGTACCCGGTTTGTACTAAGTACAAATGTACTAAGACATTAAAAGTCAGTATACAGCTAATTGATGATACAGGCAAGCAGATTTGCCCAGATTATAAAGGCAAAGTGCTAAAATGCAACAAAAAAAAATTATAAAGAAAATGCTTCATGTGGCTTAATGTATTAAGACAGTGAAATTGGAGGACCAAATTCATTAGAACTAAACCAGAAAGTTTCACTTTAGGCATTTTTTCCAAAGACAACCATTATAAAGAAAACTTTTTAGGACTGCAAATTTAGTGCATTGCATTCATATACTGGGCTCATCAGCTTACCTGTATATGGTATGCATCAGCAATACGTATATATAATATACTGAAGTTAATATTTCTTAGTACATTAAGCCACGTTAAAAAAAAATGTCATGTTAAGTGTTTTAGAATGTCCAGCTGTTTTAAGTGACTGAAATACTATGACAGGTGCTGTATTTGGAGAGCTTGTAATGTGTTCACTATCTTTGTTTTTCTTCTTTTGAGAGGAGATCTAAATATTCATGGTTTGAAACATGGAAAATTGACAGGCCTGTGCTACAGTTCAATGGATGCTTTGCCCTCCAGGTCTCTGCCCCAGTAATGTGACTGACAACAATGAATAATCTACCATCATCAATAATATTAATTGCATTAGGAACATCAATGAAGGTGTATCTGTAACGATTCACATTTGATTAGATGCAGTGTAGTACTGTAACTGTGACACTCACTTTAAGCTGTTTGACCCTCTCTTCTAAAACCTTGACACTGGCAGATGTCTCGGGTTTCTGCAGTCTATCCAGCTCAGGGGTGACACGATCCAGCCAGGAAGTGATGTCGTGCAGGTCAGAGGTCAGCTGTTGGGGGTCTCTGGTGCAGCACTGTTCCTTACTCACTGCTTGAGCCTGCAGCAGCTCCCAGCGCTCGATCACTCCTGCGGAGAATAGAGGACACATTCACAGGACACTATTCTATTCCATACTTTTGTTTCATTCATCTAACCATCTAATTATCCACATATCCATCCATCCATTTGTCCACTGATCCATCCATCCATCTATTCCTCCATTTGTCTAACCAACTCGCTATCCATCAATTCATCCATAAATTTGTTGATCCACCTATCCACTCGTCTTATCTTTTCCCTCATCTATCCATTCATCCATCCTTTGTCTAACCTCTTACCTACCTGTTCATCTACCCATCCTATCTATCTATCTATCTATCTATCTATCTAACCATTTCATTATCCATCCCTTCATGTCTATCAACTACCTACTCATTAATTGATCAATTTATCCATCCAGTCACCTATTTACCAATCCATCCATCTACCCATCCACCGTTCCTTCATTTATCTACCCATCCACTGATCCATTCATCCATCCACTCATTCAACTATTTATCCATCCATGTGTTTACCCAACTACCTATCTATATATCCATCCATGAGGTGGCATGAGGCTGTAATTACAGTATGTGCTATTTTTGATAAATAAGTCTTTATGCTTTTATACTCATCTAAAAAAAAAAAAAAGCCTTCCCCTGTACATGTGATCTGGATCAGTGCTTGTACAAAACTATTTGTGAAGAATTTTGTTACATGACTCACTAGACAAAAAAGGACTAGTACTAGACAGACATCCTCATGTCCCTCTGTGTCTGTACCTGACTGTTTGTCTGCAGTGCTGAGGCCAGTGAGGCCTTGTTCCTCCTGCTGTTCTTCATCATCCAGGATCATAGAAACCCTCTTCATACTCTTAATGCTGCCGCTGCATTCAGACATCAGCTGGACCTGCAGAGTGCACATACACATCACACATGTGCCTACTTTTATACTAGCATGGAACATTGACAGGCCTTTGCTGCACTGTGCACCAGTCACGTGACATAAAACTATGAATAATCTACTATCAATCACCCTTCATGCTGATACTACTTGAGAATCCACATTTATGCTAGCAAAGTCTGCAAGGGTAAGAGGACAACATGCAAAATTATGTACTTATAAATTAAAAAGGTTAAAACATGGTTAAAAAGGAAAGGGTATATACTTACGTAGCCTTGTTTAAAATGAGTGCTTGTGGGTATAGCTGAGGAGGAGTCCATCTGGAAGGATTGCCTTTCAGGTATGTTTTCAAAGAGCCAATTCTGTCCTGTGAGTGTGTGAGAGAGGGAGAGAGAGATTTAACTCTATGCTCTGCACAGACATTTCATTCGGGCTTTAAAAGAAAATAGACACAAGTAGTGTAAACCAGTCAGTATCAACCATTTGCCTCACGCAGTGCAACACATCTCCTTCGCATAGAGTTGATCAGGTTGTTGATTGTGGCCTGTGGAATGTTGGTCCACTCCTTAATCAGAATCCACCTCTTCAATGGCTGTGCGAAGTTGCTGGATATTGGCAGGAACTGGAACACGCTGTCGTATATGCCGATCCAGAACATCCCAAACATTCTCAATGGGTGACATGTCCGGTGAGTGTGCTGGCCATGCAAGAACTGGGATGTTTTCAGCTTCCAGGAATTGTGTACAGATCCTTGCAACATGGGGCCGTGCATTATCATGCTGCAACGAGGTGATGGTCGTGGATGAATGGCACAACAATGGGCCTCAGGATCTCGTCACGGTATCTCTGTGCATTCAAAATGCCATCAATATTTCTAAAACGCACCTGTGTTCGTTGACCATAACATACGCCTGCCCATACCATAAACCCACCGCCACCATGGGCCACTCGATCCACAACGTTGACATCAGCAAACCGCTCACCCACACGACGCCATACACGCTGTCTGCCATCTGCCCTATACAGTGAAAACCGGGATTCATCCGTGAAGACAACACCTCTCCAAAGTGCCAGACGCCATCGAATGTGAGCATTTGCCCACTCAAGTCGGTTACAACGACGAACTGCAGTCAGGTCGAGACCCTGATGAGGACGACGAGCATGCAGATGAGCTTCCCTGAGACGGTTTCTGACAGTTTGTGCAGAAATTCTTTGGTTATGCAAACCGATTGTTGCAACAGCTTTCCGGGTGGCTGGTCTCAGACGATCTTGGAGGTGAAGTTGGAACTATTTTGAATCCAACAGCAAATCCACAGCATGAGTCTTAGCAAACAAAGCTCTGTCACCCATTTACCATGCACAATTTGTGTTTTTTAAAGGCAGAGGGGTAAAAACAGGCCATTCAATTCAAAGGACCAGAGACAGGGTGGAAAATGGTCATTAAACATAAAATATGTTTTACACAAATGTTATTGGCATAAAAAAACAAGTATAAGTAGATTTCAGGATAAAAGTACAACCCATTTAAAAGCAAAAGCATCAAACAAACATTTTTCACATAGTGACACACTGGTGGTACATCATGTACGCTTCTCCAGTAATGAGCAAAACTTCAAGACTGCGCAGTTTAGATTAAATGAGTGTTATTATCTTTTGCATGAGCATGAAAGCTGTGGAGGGGGATGAGCAGGTGCACTGAGCTGTGATGAGCCTTGGGGACACAACCTTCTCAAAAACTCCCTGAGATCTGGAATTGCCCAGCTCTCAGCCCTCCTCTTAACCAACAGAACCTAATCACAAGCCCAAGTCTTTCATGATAAGAGCACATAGCAGAGCAGGGTGAGGGGAGGACACTTGCATCTTTTGATTTAAGAGAGAGAGAAAATCCTGCACTAAAAAAAAAAAAAAAAAAAATACCAGGCCTTTGATGATCCAGCAAACCTAGTCAATACATAAAAGTATCGACAGTGGTGTGGGAACGGAACAGGATGGAGAGAGAGAGAGAGAGAATAATGTGGAAAGGGAATGAGAGGCTGGGAGGTGTGGGTACTGGACACATGTGAATGCACCAAAAAAAAGGTAATGAGATCTTGTGCACAACTGAAGCCAAGTACATGTAAAGGGACATGGAGGCCTACCTAAAGGCTCACCAAAAGATGACTGTCACCTCAGGTGAAAATTCAGGGTTTTTTGTGACATCTAAATCTGGAGGGAGAGAAAAGGAATGGCTAAAGCAGTAGTATGTCTCGGCCTCAGATGACATGCCAATGGACATACAACTGGCAAAAGTTGCATCTGATCCGCATCTGATTTTTTTGTGTGCACAGATTTTTATCAGTCTGCCAGGAAACACTGCTGTCAACAGGTACCAATTCGATATAATAAGTAATTCTAAGGAAGAACAAGGCACTGGATTTGGCCAATTTTGTATTTACCTGACAGGGCAGAGAAGAATGCAGCATCCACTTCCTCATCAAGTGAAGAAGAGCCACCAACGTCTCCGGTGTGGTCCCACTCTAGAGGGATGGAATCCACGCTGACGGGGGTTTCACGGCCTGAGTGCTCCTGAGGCAGTGATAACAAGCACATGGAGGGCTGGCTGGAGGCAGGGGTGCTCTTCTTCTCACTGGACCGCTCTGGCTGCTCCTGCAGTGATTTCAGAGAGAAAACACTATCATTCAAGTCTCTTATGCTCATCAAGTCTGCATTTATTTGATCAAAAACCGATTGAAAAACAGTTTCTGCTTACTATTTTTGTGGAAACCAGCATTTATTTGAAACGGTAATCTTTTGTACGGTAAGATCCTAAATGTCTTTACTTTTTATCAATTCCTGCTACATAAAAGCATTCATTTTTTATCTTACTGACCCCAAACATTTAAATGGTAATATAGCACAAACACACTTTTCAAGAAAACAATTTCACAAAAAGACAGTGGATAGGCTCCAAAGGGGCTCAAAATGTCAAAATATGTTAGGGGCCACTGTATAGAAAATGAAAAGAAAAGTTAATGTAAATAATACCAGGCGGAGGCTGGTGAGGCGCTGGTGGAATCGGGCCACTCTGCCAAACACCTCTTGACAGTACGTGTGCAGTTCCTCTAACTCATCTTCTATCACAACGGCATCTAGAGGACAGCTCCTCTGAATCAGACCCTCCCCAAACACGATCAGAGCATCGATCTTATTGGTGTTCAGAGTGATCTCCTTCTTAAAACTCTGGAGGGGGAGGGTAATATAGTTCAATTAAATTCACCTAAAATGTACATTTGGTTGTCATTTTATTCATTTGTTCTCATCTACGGACTGATTAAATGACTGAATGAATGAAACACTGTTGATTAACCTTGAGCTGTTTCATTTTGTCTTGAAGATGGATCTCTGAGAAGTGCTCTATGTTGGTCAGCTGGAGGTCAATCTCAGTCAGCCAGACAAGAAGGCTCTCGCGAGTTCCCTCAAACTCCTCTCTCTGGCTTGTAAAATGCTGAATGAGAAAAATATTTGGGAGAGGTTTGTATGGGCACTCAGGGAAATATAAACGCATAGATAACATAAAAAAGTGTGTCAGTGTCCTCACCCGGAGTCTGCGCAGTATTGCAGCCACTCTCCTCTGGAGTGCATCCCAGCGCTGGTTCCCCTGATGCACCATGGTCCTGAGACTGCTGGCAGCATCAGTGCGGTTCTCCCATACCAGTCGCCTGTACTGGTTATTAATGATCTCCAGCTGGGGCAGGCTCTCATGTACCTGCCTTTGGGAACCCTAAGACGAGAAACCAAACACTTCTAACTATGACCATAAAAACTAACATGTGTGTTTTAAACATTAGAAACCTTTCACAATATATATGATATATATTATATATATTGAATGACTAAACATTCAGTAAATGAGAAACTGCAGGGGAACTGCAGGGATCTGATATTCTCCTAATAACTGATTGTGTTCCTAAAGCAGCAGGATTAAACATTTGAGATTCACTAAATGACGTATATATAATGGTTCTGTAGCACAAAGGCTCTTAGTTGAGCATTTTGTTGGAATCAAACCTCATATTTCTGGAGTTCCTCTTTGGCATCAGTGTAAAGGACGTCTGATGAATTGGGTTCAGCAGCGGAGCGCTCAGCTACGTTCAACCAGTCCTCGAATGAAGAATAATCCTCCTGAAATTTACACCACAGTCTCCAAGTCTCCTCAATCCTGCAAAAGTGATTAAAAACAAGTAGTCATTTATTTAAATTTATATTTACAATAATAACAATTTAATATTTTATTTATAATTTTGTAATTATTAATTATTTTATGACATAATTATATATTATGTATGTGTAAATAAATATATATATACCTAATATTTTATAATAATGATACATATAAAATGTACATTAAAGTACAAATAGTGTGTGTGTGTGTGTGGGGTATTAAAAAGAACAACTTTTATCAAGCCAATAGAACATTTACAGCTATCCCAGACACAGTAGGTGAATCAGAAAGCGGTGTCTTAATCTGGATCGAGAGTGAACTGAGATTTCCTTCCCATAAAGGGATGCAACAGATTGACTAAATATCTGTAAGCAGCAGTGATGGTGTGTTTGAGTTTAGAGTCATCTAGGGTAAATGGCCATACTGTACCTCAGCTTCCTTTCCAGAGACATGGAGCAGATATTTCTCCAGCGCTGGTCCAAGCGCTGCGTGGTGTGCTGGATTGAGTCATTCTCTCCATCGCTGCTGCAGGCGTCCTCATCGTGCAGAAGCACGTCACACAGGGTGAGCACAGACGCCACCCTCTCAGTGTGCAGCTCAATGTCACGCTGCAGGTCCTAAACGCACATATAAGCACATATGTTCGATTTCTTTCACCTGTTTATGTATTTAATATAAAAATTTGTTTAATAATAAACACCAATCTGCCAGTCCCACAAGACAAAATTCAAATTCAAAAAATATTATCTGAAAACAAGCTTTGTCTGTATTTATGATTAATAGTTGTTTCTAAGTGTTGTGCTGTGTTGACATCTGCACCACAAAAAAAAAAAAACCTTATATAATAAAAAAATATTGAAATATGCATTGTTTAAGGATATTTAGGTATTATTTATACTGATTGAACCAGGATCTTGTATTATATATATTTGCTGACCTGTTGCTCTGCCAGTCTCTTCTGGATCTCATCACTATGGCAGATACTGTAGTGAATGGGTTTGGCCAGCTCAGCCTCAATGCGAGTGAGCCAAGAGCGAAGGTTATTCATGTTCTTATCCAACTGCTGTACTGTCACCAGGGTTTCTGTCAGCTTTTTCACCCTGAGAGAGATAGAGATAGCAGCATATTCATTTAGAATCCAGAGCATTTTTGGAAAAAGTTGTAATACCATAAACGAACTTGAACGTTTTGATGAAAATCTGATTGTGTCCAAAAGTCCTACATAATCTCTCCAGTAGATAAAAAAAAAAAAAAAAAAAAAAAGTATTTTCTGTGAAAACAAACATTGTGTGCCATATTATTTTAAGAAGAAAACCTACTAACCCTATTATAAATCAGTCAAATAAATCTTTTCTTTGGTATCTGAGACTGTAGTTTGGCAGGAACCTAGTAATACAATCATGTCAAAGTTCAACACGCTCCACTTGGCGCAAAACATGACTAGAAAAAGGTCTGATAACCCCAGGTCAGATCACCGTGAAACACAGACAAAGGTTGTTTGTCCCATAGGGATTAGATAGAACCATTTAAGTGTGACAGTGTGAAGCTTCTGGTTACGCTGTTTGAGTGACCGCGTGACCTCTCAAACTGTCTGAACGGCCATACCTGCAGATGGCCGGCTGTGATTATAGCGTGCCTGAGTACATACTGTCCATTTAGCCCCATTGTGCCCCTGTTCATAAGAGCTAATATGAGGTGACAGACCATTGCCCCCCGCAACCCCCTCCACCCAATCTGAGCTATACAGAGGGACTAGAACAGACTACAGAAGCCTGAACATGCCATATGGCAAAGCCGAAGCAAACGACACTAGTGAGGGCTACGTTAATTCCCCCTTCCTTCCAATATTAGCACCATCTGCCTGCTTCAGAGCACGTCACACCGCAGCAAGACTGACCAATTACATGAGAGGTTGTTGACGTCACAAACAATTTGAGAGGTATCAGTTCTTTTCTGTTTGCTTAGGACCACATGATTCATACACTCGGTATGTACAAATGAGCATTTTACTGGTTCTGTAGATAATGCTTATTTGGCAGCACTGTCTGCTTGCTTATTACCAGAGATGCCTGAGTGGCCAGAATACTCCAACTTAAAGGTGCCCTAGAATGTTTTTTTTTTATTATTTTATAATGTTTCCTGGGTTACCCTTATAATGTTAGTATGTTTTTTAGATAAAAAATAATCATAATTTAGAAATAAATGGCATTTTTCCTAGCCTGCTTTTAGCCTCTGATTTGAACACTCTGTTTGAAGGGGCGTGTCTGCTGTGGGATTCAGTGTAACCGCGGCCACTGCTGTGATTGGCTGACATGCTTGCATATGAAATAGCTATGCATTACATGTGAAACTCTCTCGAATACTTTTACTACTGCTATTATACGTTTTTACTATAACAGCTATCGAGATTAACGAATCGTGAGATGTTTTTAAAGTATTTAGATCTATTCCCATCACATAAAATGTTGCCGTGATGAGCATTGAGCAGATGACAGTGTGTTGATCGCGAGAATGAAGATCTTATCATTGCAAAGCAGTTTCTGCACTCTCTCTGCTTTCACCAATGCAAACACGATGATGTAAATACAGTAAGAGCTTCGTTGTGCAGTAACGTGCGTCATTGATTTCATAACGAGTTTGGCAAGTGTCCAGATAAACTGGACAGTTCTCTCAAGTATGACAGAGTTTGGCACATGATCCTTCCAGCATACACCCAGTATGGAACGAAGGCAGCGAAAATGGAAGGCGTTGAGGCGATGTTCGTGCCTCCTGTATGTTGTCCATGTCTCACTTGCATATAGTAAGAGATGAGATGCTCATAGTAGAGAGCGCCCGGGCAAAACATTTAAGTGAAAGGATGCTCGCCCAGGTCAACCTTCCACCTCTGGACTCAATGCTACAAATTCCAACGGAACACAGATGTGTGACGGTTGGTGTAGTTATGAGTTGCCCCGCAGTGACCAGCTAACTAGGTCTATTGCCCCGTGACCATTGGCGAGGTGCTCTTCTGCTCACCGGGCGGCTGAGACAGACCGACTGAGGTGCTGTGACAGCAGGCACGATCTGATACTCAGCATACCAGCCCCTGCTGCCGGGCTAGCAGGGTGGACTGGATTTCGTCTTGTCTCTCGCCTTTGACCTGTCTGGCTTGCTTGAAGCTACCAGGGGTACAAGGCCCCCGCCAGCATAGCTCTCAGGGTCATAGAGACTCACAAGCTGTTCCGCCGCGGCAAGGCACCAGTCCATAGAACTGGCTTGACTTACTGATGCATAAACAGTATTGAACGATTTTGAGAGAAAGATTACCTGTCTGAACTTGAACAATTACACATCAGAAAGTGTTGCTTGGTAGCTCGATCCGAGGCCAGCTCTGTATTGGCCCAAGTTGAGGAAACAGTCGGTGAAATGTTTGGAAATTTCCAGAGAAAATAAAATTAACCCATTGTTTCTTCAGAGGCTCAGATGAAGGAACTAAAAAATACTTCGGCTGCGCAGTTCCGCCTGGCATTGAGGGCTGGCATTATGCAAATATTTGGAGGCGTACATATTAATGATCCCGACTATTGCGTCACAGTCGGTATTGTGTGGAGAACCGACCGTTTTTTAGGGGTGTTTTTCATAAACGTGAATTAAATGAGAACGCGAAAACAGTCCAGTTTGAGATTCACTCTATGTCATGTCCATGCACTGAACTCTTGTTATTTGACTATACCAAGGTAAATTCAATTTTGAATTATAGGTCACCTTTAGATTTATTTCATATCAGTCAGGCCCTGTCCACACGGACACGGGTATTTTTATAACCGTGACTTTTTTTACGCGGTTCGGCCGTTCGTCCACACGAAAACGCACTGAAACCGAACATTTTTGAAAACCCCTGCCAGGGTGAGGATTTTCAGAAACGCCGGTTACAGTGTTGTCGTGTAGACAGTGAAACCAGGGTTTTTGCCTTGCGCCGTAGAGTGTGCGCCGCTATCAGCTGTGTTTGACATCAGATTTGCGCTTCTGATTGGCCAACGTGGCTTTAGGGTTAAGGTTTATATCACCGCCTGCTGGCGTGGCATGCTCTTGACCGCACTTGATTGCGTGTTTTTACGTTTTCATGTAGACGGAGACCGAGCATGTGTGGACGGGATTTTTTTTTTAAACGCTGTAGGAAAAACTCCGGTTATAAAAATACCCGTGTCCGTGTGGACATGGCCTCAGTTGCCATTTTCCAAAGAACGATTACGAGAGCACATGTGCCAGCTGTGGTAACCATCACCATCACTGAAGATCATATAAAATGCTGAAGGAATTATTGAGTATATGCAGACTCAAGAGCTTTGATCAATTAAAATAATAATAAAAATATATATATCATATATTTAAACATTGTAACAGCATCAGTGTTATTTTAATATTATTTACATACAATTATAATATTTATTCATGTTGAATTGGCTTTTATTTAGATTTTTTTATTTGAATTTATTTTAGTGGAAGTTTTAATAAATTTTGTTATGTGCTTATATGTATGTGTATGTTTGTGTATTGACACTTTCATTTACTTTTATTTAAGTTTTAGTGATCTTAATACTCTAACTTATTTTCTTTTCCTTTTTTTGGATGCATTACAAAAGGGAATATATTTTTTTCTCAACATCAAGATTTATTTCACGTAATTGTTGTTTAAGCACTGACCCCATTCCGATTGCCATTTATTTTTGGTGTATGCATTTTTAATGTTGGTCTCAGGTCTGTGAAAGATATAGAGCATTTTACTGGTTCCGTAGATCAGTGGTTCCCAACCTTTTGTCCATGACGCCCCCCCTCCTTACATATAAGAAAATCCGGACTGAGAGACCACATTTAGAATCAAAGAATACAGATCAGTGGCTGATCATTTGAAGCATTCCTAGTACTATACCTATGAAAAGTTTTTTCATATCCATATTTGACCTCAAAGCAAATAAGAGTTTACCCATACAGAAAAAAACGGACGAAAAAAATAAAGAAAAAAATAAGGCTTTTCGCATCTGTATCTCTCAATCATAGCACTATATGATAAGCCCGTTCTAACAACAGTAGATGTTCATGCACAATTACATGTTTGTATTTGCACAGGAAACAGTTATTTTCCCAGCAGCGACTTTTTGAACTACTTGCTAACAATCTGTTGATCACAACAGCCTCACATGTAAAGCGCTTTAAGGAAGTCTGGATAAAAGCATCTGTTAAATGCTTCAAACATTAATGTAAATGTGTAATCAATGGTTTTGTTATCACCAAAAGGTCTAAATGAAGAATAAATGCACAAATTATTGAATGAATCAATCAATCCTTGAATGGAAACCAGAAATGAAAGGCTTTCAAACAAACAAAGAGCTTTGATCACTGGGAGATACAACGACCAGCCATTAATCAATCGAGCAATAGCAAACACCAGGCTGAAATGAAAGAAATTGATTTAAATAGCGATTATTCGGAGTTCAGTTCAGTGTGGCTCTTTTGTTTTTTGCTCACCTGGTCTCAATGTGGTCGAACAGGTGCTGCCAGCGGTCGTTGACATCACGTAAGGCCCCATGGATCTCTGCCTCCTTAGCCTTGTCGCTGGCCAATAGGAGCTGCTCGCCCAGCTGCTTGAGGTGGCTCTTGTTCTCGCTGAAGAGGTTAATCTCCTCCATGCAGTCCTGAAGTGAGAGGTACACAATGAACACTGGCCTTTCATGTGCTTTAGTCATTAACAAATCCATCCCAAACAAAACCCACTAACTGCACTTTGTCTCTGGATGGGTCTGACAGCTGTCAAAACTATATTCCTTCTCTCAGCATGGGACCTCTTTAAAAGAGAGGAACAATTATTCACACTGACCCCCTCAGCCACCCAAATCCTTTTCACTTTCTCCACTGCTTTTAAGGGTTCACCTGTTTGTTTAGTCCGGCCAGGCTCACTTTGATCAGAAGGCATCTGGTTGTCATCACCAGTTACACAATAATATGTACGCTATGTGTAGAATTCAGAAACCCTTGTTATTAGCGACACCGGTGGCCCTTAAGTGAACTGCAGCTAGCAACTTATAGCTTGTACTCTCTCTCTCTCTCTCTCTCTCTCTCTCTCTCTCTCTCTCTCTCTCTCTCTCTCTCTCTCTCTCTCTCTCTCTCTCTCTCTCTCTCTCTCTCTCTCTCTCTCTCTCTCTCTCTCTCTCTCTCTCTCTCTCTCTCTCTCTCTCTCTCTCAAATGTACTTTCCTCTTAATAACATAATAATAAATACACAACAAAAATGACAGCGGTGAGAAAGCAGCAGAAAGAAAAATCAGATCATAGTGACGTGGATATGTTTGCGCAAGCTCTGTAATTTACCAGCATAATGTCGACTTATGTCGAGTTATGAAGATTATAAAGTATATTTGAAACTATATAGATCTGGTTATGCGAGATAGTTTGAATGAATCTCTTTTCTTTGCACTACAGAATATCTCTTTCGGCATATTATCCTGAACATTGTACAAGCATTCGTTCCATGTGTCAGTACGGAAGAGAGGCTCTCGGGAGCGCACATCACATCCTTTTGATTTTCCCGGAAAAAACATCCCGAGTCTTTCATATGTAAATCAGTCTACAGGCACAGGCAATCTAGGAAGTCGGGGAAGGTTTTGTTTTTTAAGTTTTGTTACAAGCTGTTCACACATTGGCAATAAAAAAGCGATTAATACATGAATTAATAAATTCTCACATTAACTTCATTACATTTTAAAAAATAAATAAATTAGATGTTAACTGAAAAGTATCTTACTTCAGCTTGTTGCAGAGGAAACATTTCTCATTTAGTTCAACAAATAACTAAACATGAAATAAAAATTAACAAAAAACTTTATAGACATATTTTTAGACAATTGCCCAAAATTTCAAAACCTATTATAATTGTAGTATCTCACTGATACAAAATACATCATCAGTAACTGCACTAGAAAGAGACAATGGCCACTTTTCTGAAAACCTCAATGGTAAACTATGCGCTAATGACTGCAGAGTGCTTGACGTGGCACTGTTTGATGGTGAGAGAGAAACTGCACATATAAGGCCATTGTTGTGCATGAACAAAGAGGTAAACAAATGAACCAACAGTTATGCAGTACAGAACTCTGCCCTCAGTTTTACAGTGATGCAGTAAGCTAGATTAGCACTAATCTTTCGTGTTTTTTAAATAATGTACATTTGTAACATATTTCAGTAAAAATGAACAAATGCTACAGTATGTGAGTGGATAAAATGTAGCCTCTGTGAAATGTAAAATCTGTGGGGCCTCCCTTGGGAACGCTTAAGCGTGCTGTTCATTTGAGACCGTTTTAATCCTTCATAGATACTCTAAATAGCATATACCATATAATAGCATATTACTGACCTACTTAAGCTCCTTACAAATGTACAACAGAAACTCACCATGACAAAGGCACATAGAAACAGATCCATGTTTGAGGTTATATAACCGCAAAAAAAAAAAATAGTCAAGCAATTTTACATATTAACACATAGGAATTACATGATGGTTGATTTCAAGGGATAGTTCACACAAAACCGAAAATTCTGTCCTCATTTATTCACCCTCGTTCCAAACTATTTCCTCGTACCAAACGTAAGACTATTTCTTTCTACTGAACACAAAAGGAGAAATTATGTCTTGTATGCCCTTTTCAATGCAGTTACAATGATTGGGCTCTGGAGCTTCCAAGCTTAAAAAAGGACACAAAAGGAAAACCAAATTATCATAAAAGTGGTTCATATGACTTCCTGATTTTTTTTATACAGAATAAAGTGTTCAGAATATTCATCAGAATTTTCACTATTCAACTTTTGTGTTACACGAAAAAAGTACACTACCGTTCAAAGGTTTGGGGTAGCAAGATTTTTTTTAAAGAATTTAATACTTTTATTCAGCAAGGATGCATTACATTGATTACATTACAAACGATTTCTATTTCAAATAAATGCTGTTCTTTTGAACTTTCTATCCATCAAAGAATGATAATAATAATAAATGTTTCTTGAGCACCAAATCATCGTATTAGTAATAATAGCTGCTGAAAAGTCAACTTTGCCAATTATACTAATATTCCTGTAATAATCAACAATAATAATCATAATAATTTACTGTATTTAAAAAAACAAAAACAAATGCAGCCTGGGTGAGCATGATACTTATAAAAACATTTAAAAATCTTTGGGTTAAGAACAAAATGGTGTAAATTAGGCTGCACAATATATCGAAATTCTCGAAATATCGCAAATTTATATATCGCAATATGCATATCGCAACGGCTCGAGAAAATCACTCACTGCTCTTGGCTGAATAACTTTTGTAGCTTTAAAATTAATCAGTATATATATATATATATATATATATATATATATATATATATTTTTTTTTTTTTTTTTTTATTCATACAGTGAAAACTAAGCAGTGTTTTATTTTCACATTTGATTATTCAGTTTCTGTTGTTAAATAAACCTAATGTAGGCCTACCTGAAACCCTGAACCCCGTGGTTTACACTGATGTTAAAATAACACTTACTTCTTATGTTACAGTAAAACACTGCTGTGAATGGGAAGACATGAAACACGTATGTAGGTTACATCATTTTAAATATATTTTAAAGATAATAATTTAAGTTTATTTTACACACTTTCAGCATTATTGTATCGCATGGCGTATTTTTCTTCAATGTCGTGCAGCCCTAGTGTAAATAAATAATAAAAAGTAAATAATGCCTTAAAACTTATAATGAATTTTCATCACTTTAAGCCAGGTAATAAAATCAATGACAGGAAATCATCTCTACCTTTTTAAGTTTCTCCACCATTTCCTCAATACTAAGGTTTTCACCCCTGTGTGCCACTTTTTTCTCCATCTGTGTCAGCCAATCACAGAGCTCCTTGTTTTTATCATTGAAGATGATCCAAGCGTTCAGGCGATCAGCTATTTCCTGTTTGCGAAGTGACACCTACACACAAGAGGAAGATTAAAATGCTTCAGCATGACAAAAAAAAAAACAGCCTAAAATAACATTTTATTACAGTAAGTAAAGAAATGTTTGAAAAGTCCCGGATTTCTACACTGTTAATGACAACAATTTATTTAGATTAGAAACAAAACATCTCTGAGAGCACAAGGCCCACTCTTAAACTCTAGAGAGAGTACAGAAGAACTTGCACTCTTTGTCCTCATTGAATTTTGTAATGCGCTCTCGAACTGATAGACCGGTTCACTACCCTAATTCATGTGTGAGTAAAGACTTCAAACCAACTCAGTACAAAGGTATAAGGTTACAACTATGAATTTATTTTAAGCTTTCCATCTGAAAGGTTTTTAACAAAAAAAAACCACTCATCTCATGCTGTGAGATTGATTACAGGACTGTTAGGCAAAGAGTACAGCAAAGGCCCGCTAGCTTTTACTACTTTCTGTCAGAAAGAGGCTAGTCTATTTGTATGTACTAACACCAAGACACACTAGGGGACAAGGGCAGCGCTTTGTAGTTCCTCTTTTGCTCGTGTCATTCCTAGATCGCCATGGCTTACAAGCAGCCTTTTAAAAAGCAAGAAAGCATTTTCCATGCTACGTTTGTCAGTGAAGGCTATACATTTTCCTTAAACCATTAATGCCACACTATTAATGTGCCACACATTAACCATTAATGCTTTCTTTCAACTATAAGAGAAAGTATTTCTAAATACAAATATTAATCACAAGGTTAAAAGAAAGCACAAGGACACTGAGATAAATTGGTTACTTCTATTCAAGGTTGTGTTGTCAAACACATAATTCATGGATTTCCTTGGGCTCACAAACCTAAGCGAATTACTACAAACATATGCAACGGCAAATAAAAGTCCTTATTCCAGGGAATGTTTCCACCTGCAACCTGTTGGCAACAGACAATGAAGAACACGTAGACTGACCTCATTGGCTCTGTCCTGGCTTCCGGCCAGAGTTTTAAAAAAACACGACTGAAAACTCAAACAGCAACTCCACAAACTGAAAAAACGGTTCATTAAACAAGGCTCCCTGCGTAATGTGGTGAGAAGTCCAAGGGTTGGATATAGGCCATGCAATGATCTGTCCTAAATGTGGCCTTTCTGTTTTTAATTGCTCAGGCTGTTTACAGTTACAAGAGCAGCTCCATTCAAATGTCAGCAGGCCATTCAGTTACTTTACTTAATAACGGCAGGCTGGACACCTGCGCTAGACAGATAATCTTGAAAAAAAGTCCTCAATCAGCCTGGGAAATTGTAAAAAAAAAAGTGAGCTACATAAGTAATGCTTATTGACGTGTGCGTTAGAATAGATTTGCACTACACAGGAGTATTATTTTATTTTATAACCATAATTACAAGAGCTTAACTAATGTAATTGTAGTTAATACGTTGTAATGATGTTAAAGGGATCAGTCACCCAGCAATGACAACTCATAATTGACCAAACCAGAATCACTTTCGTTCTTCTGTGGAGCAGAAAATACCAATTTTTGAGGACGATTCTGGCTAATAATATTTCAATATAATGATATTAAAGGAGGACTGGAGCTGTCAAGCCCCCAAAAACTGGTCCATGTGACTCATGTGCTATATTTCAAGTCTTCTGAAGTCATACGATAGCTTTGTTTGTGGGCATTATTTGCACACAATAAAATGGTGTACAGAAGTGTGCTGATTGATTCAGTTCACAACATTTTTTTGATCTGAAGGATTTGTTCATGAACCAGACTGAGATCAACTCTTAATGGCTAAACGATCCAATTGGAGTGGTAACATCCCAATGGACGAAGATAATTCCAAGTATTCTGAAAGGGATATAGTGCATGAGTCATACTGTATAAACTACTTTCGTGATACTTTTAAGTATCATGATTTTGTGTTCCTTTGAAGCTTGAATGTGCTTCCATTCCTATTTGTAATTGCGTGGAAAGAACGTATGATTACAAATTTCTCCTAATGTGTTTCACAGAATGTTTTGACCAACATGCGGGTGTGCAAATGAAACAGGTGAAACATATTTTCTCGTACTATTTATCATGTCAGAAACATTTATGTGTTCTGTACATCTTGTGGCACCTTCTGAGGAGAACATTTTTATCATGAATATAAATCTAGATCAATTCATGTACATTCTTATTTTCCCTCTCTTTTCTGTGCCATGCGGCACTGTGAAGTTCCCCCCACTTCCAGGGGTGAATCATTGTGTGCCTTTCAATGCTGCTTGGACAACAGCTTCTCTTTCCCTCCTACTCTCACACTCTTTTTCTCTCCTCTCAAACTCAAACACTCACTCACCTTCAAGCACAGTTCTTCCCATTGGCTATGAAGCTCTTCCACCTGTCCCTGAAGAAGCGCGGTGTCCCCGGGCAGCACGTACTGGGACACGTCTGCCTTCATGGTGCTCAGCTCTTTCAGTTCTCCAGCCCAAATCTGCAGCGAGTCCTCGTATTCCTGCATAACACGGCAACCAACAAGTTAAACTCCCCTCCTCTGCCGCACACTAACCCTAGCCCTCTCTCTCTGTCCCTGTCATTAGCGCACAGGATTAAGGCCCGCTGGATGGGACGGGGGAGGGTTGTAGGCGGAGAGGGGGAGGTGTGAGGGAGAGTGGGGGGAGGGCAGAGCACCCATAACAGCATGGAAAGGGGTGATGGGGTAAAGGCCAAACATGTTAAGGACACTTATTTTCTTTTGTTTGTCAGTTTCACCCACCTCCATTAAGAGGCAATCACAGCTTAATCAACAAGAAATCAAATCAGTCTCACCAGATGTTATTAACACATTTCTAAAGCAACATGATTATATCAACATGTGTTTTTTTTTCTTTAACAAAGTCCTTGGAAATAGATTCAGTGCATTAAAATGCAGGAGATTAAAGTACTTTGAGGGTATGTTTACACAACAACGATGTACTAAAATCCGACGACAACGTTGTCAAAATGATCTCAGATCACACGGATCTGCGATAGTGACTAAAAAGGCTGTATTATACATGCCAGGCCAGTAGTTGGCAACCGCAAACACATAACACGCATGCGTGAACATGTAATACGCATGCGCATGATGTCACCGTTTTCACAAATTCATGTTTTTGTTGTTTACATGGAGACAGTAAAGGCATCGTTTTCAAAAGCTTGCGTTTTCAGCAAGTAGTCATGTAAATAAACGGCCAAAACGCATACAAAGTTTTTCGTTTTCAGTTGAAAACGGTGTCGTGTAAACATACCCTTATAGTCATCAAAGCCAAATAGGAATTGTAAACAGTTTCTGCCAATTGACGACTAATTTCCCAATAGCGTAAAATCTTGGCACTGGCACAATTCATGCAGCAGGTTTCCAAAGCTTGGAGTGATCTGTATGCTTAAAGGAGGTGCCAAAAAATAAACGCAAGCAATGTAGAGGCCTGTACCTTTAATGTTAGCTGACTTAACACTTATAGAGTAGGATCCAAAAGTCTTGAGAATATTAGTGAAATGCTTCTATTTAGCTTTTTTCTGATATATAGGCCTACAGTATGTAGTTTAATTACATAGCAATTTGTGAAAGCAAGGTGTATATTAAAATATACACTACTGTTGCATAAGAAACTTTAAAGGAAAAATACAAACCCCAAACTTTTGAACAGTAATGTATATGAATTTCAGAATGTCTAAGTGTTTGGTTTGTCCCCCTTTGGCTTTATTAACTTTACAAGTTTATGTAAAACCTGCATGACTTGAGATGATCTGATGAAGAACATATGAGCATCTGTAAAATACCATCTCAAACTAGCCTACTTGAGGGAAAAGGAAAAAATGTGTCCAGGGTGCTCAAGGAGTTCAAAAAAGTAGTTAAAAAAAGTGTGTGAAGGTGCTCTTTGGAGTCGGGAATTCACGCTACGCGTGGGTTGTTTTTTCCCCCATGTTTTTTAAATTTTCTACTATGAAATAGCCAGTTAAATAAAGGCTTTTTATTAATTCCTAAGAAGAGTGCCTTGGATTTCCTTCTACTACATGTCAAACTAGCCTACATTTGAAACATGGAACTGTTAAATATTTCTTCATTTTGTCAAAACCTTTCCTTGAAAAAAAAAACATGATTATAAACAGATTATTAATATGGTCAAACTTCCTAAATCCCTAAATGTTTAGGAGACCACTGTTATCACTGTCAGATGCATACATTACCTTAGTGAGTTGCTCATGTGTCTTTAGATCTTCTAGCTTCTCTGGCAGTGGACTCTTTAATCTTGCTTTTATCTCTTCCAGTTTGAGAGCACAATCAGCCAGTCCAGTTTCACAGAGCTTCCAGTTCTGCAAAGAAACAACAGGATCTCTTAATCACTGCGGAAGATGTGTACAAAATCATATTATTTTAGATTTAAAGGAATCTTACAGGTTCAATACAATCTTAAGCTTTACAAACAGTATGTGCGATCAACCATGTTGATTATGAGAGTCACTGGTGTGCTTGTACTGTGTCTGTCTGCCACTGTTTTATCTCATATCAGATCTTAGATCAGTAAAGAGGGATTTCCTTTTCACATGGGGGATACACCATCCCCCTGTCTATTGTGAGCACATGCACACATAAACACACTTCTACCCACATCACTCTCTAAACCCCTCTCTCTTTTGGCAATCAAAACAATGACGCCATCATTCCAAAAGAGATGAGCCAATCAGAGTTGGTTATGAGTGGGTGTGACTCTGGTGTTATATATAATGTCTGAACTTTTCCACCCCACTGCTTCCCGGTGAACACTGTAAAGTAATTTACATATGGGGAATGTCAAAGTTATTTCTTCAGATATGGCCCAAGCTCTCCAAGGTGCTAATAAAGCAGAAAGGTTTACAGTCATCTGCATGTTCACCTGTAATCAACAGTCCACATGACAATTTATGTTGTTTGTACAACTGTAACATGCTAAGCACTGTAATGCATTGCAAAGTGAACACAGGTGAAGGGTATGTGATGATGTGGGGCTAGTTTAATTCCAAAGGTCAGGGGAACTTTATCAGGATGCATAGTATCCTGGATCCATGAAATAACTGGCCTTTAAAAATAAAAATCTGCCTGCCTCTATGGGAATTTAACATGGGGGTGTCCTGACGTGTGCGACGTGTATTTTAAGGAAGAACATTTATTTATTTATGATACATTATTCATTCACAAAGAAAATTGGTGTCCTTAAAGGTTGGATTTTTCCTCATTTTTTTAAATTACCATAAGACATTAAGATCAATTTCCAAAAGATGATTTTTTATTCCTCTTTTTAGTCAACTTTAGCATGGGTGCGTTCACTTATGCCGTCGGCCGTCATGATCTTCCATTATTGTGGTTTTGAAAATGAAGTAGAATTTAATAAAGATTTTATTCAATAGCAATTCTACGTCAGGTCTAAGGGCATTATGGGATTGTTTGTGAACAATGACAGATGATCCATGTAGACACCGAACTGCACAGAGGCTTAGGAGCCGTGGTTTTCATGTTCTGTGTGATATGGCCCAGCTGCCTCGTTTATGGATTATGGCGAGATTACAGCTGATCTCTCATCCTCAAAATGAAGCACTTTGTTAGTGAAATGCTCAGTAGGTTATGTAGGTCAATTGCGGCTAAGAGCCCCATGATAACTTTGCTCTGTCCATCTAAAAATATACATAATTCAACAAGACAATGGTGTCAGCACTAATCAGATTGATCCAAGTCTGTGTTATGTTTATGTTTTAATTAACAGGCTAATTTTTGTTTGACATTCTAGTGACATTTGACCCCTGGACAGTCAAAAACATTCAAAACAGTTTTGTGTTTTACCAAAAAGTTGCAAGAAAAAAGATTATGAAATAAAAGATTAAAGCAACAATCCAAAAAATATATATTAAATACCCATACAATAAAATGATAAAATCAATTAGTATGTAAAAAATAAATAAAAAACAAGGTAAATGTAACGTGAATCATCGGTACCGATATATTGTGAATTTGACAAATAATTTGTCTGTCCACACTAAAAGACAATGGAAACTTTCACATCACAGCTATTAAAGACACTAGGGGTGTAACAGTACAGTAACAGTTTGGTATGTTTTTGGTACGGCAGAGAAAAAAAGCTAAACTTTTTTTAAATTATAAAACAGGTTACGGTGCTATTGTAGTTGGGGGAAGTGATTTGAAGTGCGTACACTGGGATGCAAAATATGTTAGCAAGATATTTAGTTTCAAGCGATTAAAATAAAGCAAGTCTCATGTTTAACACAACTGGGATCGTGCACTTATCCAGTAGCACCTCACTCTGTGTCATTTCATTATTTTTTGAGATGTGTTCGCAACATCAATAAACTATATTGTCCCATCCGAGGCGGGAAACGCAGAGTTTGAAGTTGCGTTCTACACACCAGGGTGTGTAAGACTTTAAGACCTTTTTTAAGGCCTGCAAAAATAAAATTAATAGCGTATTGGTATTAAACCATATCCTAAACCATAAAATGACTGTAAAAATGGTGATTTAAACAACTATACAGCTCAAATAATACAAAGTTTTTATAAAATTACAAACCTCACATTTCAGCCTTTAAAGCAACACCAAGTAACTTTTCTTCTGCGGTCGCCCTACAGGTTGGAAGCGGAATTGTCCATTACCGCTGTCGTAAATAATTTAGCCTACCGCAGCCTACTTTCGCACGCACGCTCGCTGTTTATCCAGCACCTGCTTTGGAATGTTGTAGGGGTGTGCAAAAAAATCGATTCACATTTGAATCGCGATTCAATCTTTACCGATTCAGAATAGATTCATAGAATTCCAAAAATCGATTCTTTTTTTTATTTATTTTTTATGGCGTGCACGGGCGGAGTGGCAATCGGGTGAGTCGGGACTTTTACCGGTGGTTCGGTAGTGTTTCGAGGCTGCGAGGGCCGGTCTGATAAATAGTTACATTGCAAGTTCTTGCCGCCCGCTGGTCAAACTGTGCAGCCTCTCTGCTCAACCCGTAAATAAATGCATCGATCCGCAGATTATGTTTGAGTTCTTAATGGTCTGTAGATCTTTTGCCAAGCGTGTCAGAGGTTACGGGTTCTAAACCGCACTCGTATAGTTTTTTCTCTCTCTCATCAAAACCGAATATGTTCATCACGTTTGTGTGCATTTTATTTTGAGATTTCACCGGAACCACAACGGCGATATGAAGCGCGCGTCCGAGTGAAGACTGCGCGAGCCACAGAGAACACTGTATCCATGACACTGATAGCAGCGGCAACGAGCGCTTGATTTCAAAAACAACAGATCTCTTATTTAATAGCGAACTAAATGAATGCTCTGCTAGTTAACTGGAGATACCCGCAAATTACGCCTATGAACGACTTCACTGGATCTAAACAAATCAATCTAACCATAGATGTTACCAGTAGCGGTGGCTTTTTAAAATCTATTTAAAATTATTTCGCAAGGGTTCTATGACATTAGTATATTTTTAGGAAGTTCAATGTGCCCAGTCGAGTTCACATTTCAACAGTCAGCCTGGTAGCTGAAGTAGTCCTTAAACCACATTTAGCATAATTGTTTGTTTGATCTGACTACAGCACTTTAAAGCTAAATGTAAAAGCTTTTTATTTAAGTTTTATTTTAAACTTGAATTAAATGTATTTGAAAGCTGGCCAAAGCTTGGCACTTTGCACTTTGCACTTTTTAGTTGCAAAAGTTTTTATTTTTGTATGAAGACATAAAGTAATATCAAACTATATTTTTTTTTTATTTTTATTTTTTTATTGTGTCTACTGCAATCAATCACATAGGAAAAAGTAAACTACATTTATATACTGCGAATCGTTTTTTGAATCGAGAATCGTTTTTGAATCGAATCTTGAGACAAAAAATCGGTATCGAATCGAATCGTGACATTTTCTGAATCGTGCACCCCTAGTATGTTGCATGATTTCATGAAAGTATGATCTATTGCGACATCAGAAACGAAGAAAAAACAAATAATGACTATTGTAATGCTTGACGTAAAGCAAGTAAAATTAGTAGTTTTCTTATGTCTCATTAGAACTACAGAGACGCGACCCCGATCTGGCAATCTTACATAGCGTGGTTATAGCAGATATAGGACCGCAAAGCGAATCCAGAAGTGCCTTTCACCCTGTTATGACTTAATGAACCACTAAAACGATTTTGGAAACATTATTTAAAGGTAAAAAAAATCTTACTTAGTGTTGCTTTAAACCATTTTTAAGAAAAGGGATGTCAAAATGATAAATTATTATATACAATAATTTCAAAATATGATTATATATATTATATTCTAGATGCTTTATTCTAAAAAAAATTAATGCACATTAGCTTCTTATCGATCCACCGGTTAACATTTACAACACTACGAGTAAAAAATGGGTCAATCTTCGCATTGGTCTAAACAAAAACGGCAGATGTGCTGAATGAAAATGCAATTTCACTCTTCACGAGTTTGCAAGTACGATATAAACATGAAGTAAACATTGTCATAATTCATCAACAGCAGATCAAAGCAATCGCTTAGCACAAATGTGGACTATTCAGTGATTGTGAACTGCCAATTCCAACCCTATAAAACGGTCTGGGAGATGTGAGAATTGGATCACATACATGAGTTATGGTGTCTGCAAGAGCCTTTCTTTTCTCCACAAGGCCACAGCTTCGCTCCCACGTCTCCATGAGGGCATCCAGTTCAGACTGCAGGCATGTCTGTGTATGTGCATCTGTTAAGAGAAGGATCTGTCTGCCTGCCACCACAGTCTGGCTGTAGAGTTCTTCATGAAGCTGTAGTTGCTCCTCAGTCCACTGTGGGAAACAGAGCATGTAAGATAAACAGTATATGATATACAGAAGCTATCTGCATCCGAACTGGCGTTCAATGTATGCAGTCGGAAAGACAAAGTCTCATCACTAAATGATCTTACCTCAAAGTCTTTTATAGAGCACTGGAGCTGCTGTAAGCTGCACAGCGCCAGTCCTGCCGGTGGCAGAAGTTCTTCGATGTGTTTGATTAACTTTGAAAGTTTCCTCGAGCCTGCCTCATAGAGCTGCCAATGTCCCATAAGCCCCTCCAAATATTTCCCATGCTGCTGGACCCTCTGCTGTGTCCCCTGCCAACGTGTCTTTAGCTGGGTAAGCCTCAAGATCAGATGACTCCTGCTCACACTGGAATTTGTCAAATTTTCAAGATTTGCTAAAGGTAAATCGAGCCGCAAGTTATCATAGGCTAGTGAAGAACATTTACTTGGGTTAAAAGGGTTTAGTTCACCTAAAAGTTAATATTCTGTCATCAACTTCTCACACTCATGGGTTAAAAGGGTTTAGTTCACCTAAAAGTTAATATTCTGTCATCAACTTCTCACACTCATGTGGTTTCAAACACATTTCTTTTTTGGTCAACAAAACACAATTGAAGATATTTTTAATGAAACCAGAGAGGCTTTTGTCGCTCCATTGAAAGTCCATTCATCCAAAACATTGATGCTTCAAAAAGTTCATAAAAACATTGTAAAGTTAAATCGTCTGAATCGATCATAATATAAAGCTTCATGTCTCTTCATAAGACTTGGATTGAACGGTGCGATTCATATGGATAATTTTTGAACTGTGAAAGTTTTGTGGGTTGGACTCTCAGGTTTCATTAAATATATCTTCACTAGTGTTTCGAAGATAAATGAAAGTTGTATGTATTTGGAACAACATGAAAGTAAGCAAGAGATGACAAAATTGACATTTGTGAGTGAAATAACCCTTAATGTTGTGGTTTTAATCATTTTTGAAAAGAGACCATAGATGTCACAACAGATGAGCAACACATAACGAAGATGATAATATCATAAAACTAACTGCATTCCACTAGCCATTAGCTTTGCCACTCATCTGAAACACGAACTAACCACATTTATGTGCCTCTCTACATGACATTTGTTCTTGCAATCAAAACCAGACCTGAAAAACATCTTGAATGCAACTGTCCACGAGTTTCATATGAAGCAGCACTTATCGGCTGAAAAGAAAAATTATTTCATGCTGATAGCACATGCAGTTTCATTTCCTGAGTGCGAGCCAGCTTGTTCCAGTGCTGAGCTCAAAGGAGCTCTTCCACACCACATAACTCAGAGTTATGGCCCCAGCTGAAGGCCGTGGAAAAAAGAAAACGAAATAAAACAGTTGGAGAACCTTGGTTTTAATTACTCATCAGGTGACATCCAGTTCAGAAATTATTACACAACATTCTTTGATTTCTTATCCATGGCAGAGTCCCACACTGGAGGTTAGTAAGAAAATTCTGAGGTTACGGATTTTTTATAGTAGGGAATTAATTATTCAGTGCAGTGCTATAAAAGCTCACCTGTCCTCATTCTGACTGCTCTCCATGAAGCGTAAAACCTCATTGATCATGGCATCATGTAGCTGCTGGCTGATGATGACCTCCACTTTTAGCCTCTGAAAAATGTATTAATAATATATGAGCAGATGAGTTCTGTACAACCATTTTCAAAAAGTACTCTATTATAAACAGTTCCTGATACTCTTATTTAAAAAAAAAATGGAGTGAAGTAAAAAAAAAAAAGCCAATCAAATAACATTCAATATTAACTGTGTTTACATTAACAATATTCCAATATTAATCAGAATATAGCAATATTTAAATGTTAATCAGAATATGGTCAACTTCTAATTATGTATGTGTCATGTAAACATCTCAAATGATATAAAATTATTAGGTCAATATTCTGGTTTCTACAAATCATTAGCATTTAAATCATGTAAACTCCTTATTCGGAATGTCCACTGCAATGGAATATTCATTTATATGAACACATGTCTAAATGCAAGATATTCTGTGTGTTCTGTGATTGAAAATGAAAAAAAATAAAATTCAAGCAGTAGCGGAAAAACAAACCAGATTGCTATGTATACAAGAATATTCCAGCAGCATACACTACCGTTCAAAAGTTTGGGGTCAGTAAGGGTGTATTCACACCTGCCTTGTTTGGTTCGATTGAATCGAACTCTAGTTCGTTTCCCCCCTTGGTGCGGACCTTTTGGGCAGGTGTGAATACAGCAATCGAACTCGGGTGCGGACCAAACAACCGAACCGAGACCCAGCTGAAGAGGTGGTCTCGGTACGGTTCCAAACAAACTCTGGTACGGTTCGTTTACGGTGTGAACATGAACCGACCCAATTGCAAGAAAGCACTGCGCCTTTGAGTTAACAGGCTTCCGTAGTCGGAGATTTTTGCATAATGGTTTGTGTTATTGTTGTTCAAGTGCGAAAGAGAATTCCATTCCGGCGCGCTGTCTGGCCACACGATACTGTTGCGCGTCTTTCTGCGCGTCGTGTGTGTGCATCATTGGAATGGAATGAATGAATGAATGAGTGTGTGCATCAGGACATTCACATACAGAGCGTTCTCTTTAGTCTAATCGCCCATAGCTGCAAAAAAAAAGCTTTTACAGTTCATATAATGTAACGATAGTTACAATACAAGGATGATGCTGCGTTAAACTGGACAAACTTAAATCGCAAGCGTTAACATTGACAGCACTTGTTAGCAGTAGCCTATATACAATAAGAATCTCATTATTTGAATGTGTGAACATAGCCCCTCTCTATGAATGAAAACGTTATACCTTATCCGTCTTCTGCGCAGTTTCTTCATATTGCATTTGTACAGAATAACACAAAATTACTAAAATAACAAATATTGCAGTACGAAATCTCTCCATGCTGTGCCTTTTTTGCACTTCCTGATTTCCCTACTTGAGAATCCTTGTCCAATGAATGGACGACCTTTGCACACGTGTGGTTTTGTTGACAAATTTTGGTTCACTTGCAAAAAGAGCAGTGTGAAAGCGAACCGTACCAAAAAATATATAAATATATATAACTATCGGACTTTCCTGGTGTGAATATAATTTCCCTTATGTTCACCAAGGCTGCATTTATTTGATCAAAATTATACAGTAAAAACAGTAATATTGTGAATATTCAATATTACCCCCCCTCTCATTGTGAAGCAACAGTATTATACAGTAAACTGAATAATAGAAAATAATGTTCTAATGTATTTAACCGTATGCTCATTACCTGATGCGCAGCTAGCTGCTCTCTTACAGTAGCGTAGTTTCCAGACGTCTGATTGGATAAACCAGCCTCGATTTTGTCCAGGAGCTCCATCCAGCACTGGCACTTCTGTTGGAAGTTCTGAGCACGCAGTATCTCTCCATTCATCTTCCTACAGATAGAGATGTGCATTGGCATTCACCAGACACAAGGGCTGAGACAGTTTAGCTACAGCTAATGTTAGGGTGTTTGTTTTGGGGAAAAAAAGTAATAGTTTACCCAAACATGAAAATTCACCCTCATGTAATTACAAATTATTTCACCCCCACTGAACACAACAGGAGAGTTTTTGAAAGGGTTTGAAACAACCCGAAGGTGAGGAAAATGACAGAATTTGCACGTGTAGGTTAACTAGCCCTTTAATAAGATGTAATGTCCATATGGATAGATGCATAAAGCACTTTTTTTTGTATATTTCAGGGCTAAACCAAAATGTTTGAGAACTGAATAGCATTAGTGCAGTGAAGTTTCACTTGCCTGTGTCTATCTGTAGCCTGAGAGAAGACCTGAACCCACTCTGTGTTGAGGGTCTGCAACCTCTCTTCCTCCGTAGAGCTTAAGGAGAGGCTGAGTTTATTTTGATTCAGAGCAGCAAGGTTAGGGTTCAGCCCACTCAGATCTAATAGAACCATCTTTCAAACAGGAAATAAAAGGAAAAACATTTACATAAAATCAAACTATAACCTTTTAGTTCCCTCAGAAACATAAAGAGGGGGATGAAAATAAAATGATTGAAAATAACCTCAAGAAATGTCACAGATTCACCTTTAGTCTTTCCATGCTTGTGGTGACAGAGTTCAAAATGCTTTCAAAGTTTTTAAGTTGTTGCTCCAATGATTTCAAATCAGTGCTGAAACGGCAGTGCTCCTCTAGCTCCTCCTATGGACCGAGAACAGCACAACACTTTGCCATCATGATTGCCATCGGTGTGCAGATCAATCAGATTACTTTTACGTAATGTTGTATTTAGTAATTTAAAAGATCTAAACATGTCGCCCTCACCTGAACTTGTGCCCCAATCTCAGAAAGCGCCTTACCAAGATGCACATGGTCCCGTAATAGCAACCTGGTTTCTGATTTGATTAGCGAAACTGACTGGGGTTTCATCTGCCCAATGAGAAGCTTTGAGGCCTCCAGGACTTTTCCCACACTGCTTTGTAAGGCCGCCATGTCTTTCTCCAAAGTCTGTGAAAGACGAGCCACACAGGACATGACATAATTTGTCATCTCATACATTTGTTTTCTTAATGATTAAACTAGCTTTCAAAATTTGAGGGTCAGTAAGATTTCTAATAATTTTATTCAGAAATCATTAAATCGACAGTAAAAACATTTATAACATTAAAAAATATATTTTAAATAAATGCTGTTCTTTTAAAATGTTCTATTCAATGCAGTTTCCACAAAAATATTTGAGCAGTAAATCAGCATATTAGAATGATTTCTAAAGGACCATGTGACACTGAAGACTGGAGTGAAATAAATTCTCAATAATATTTTGTACGCTGCACGTTTCCCTTTAATGCTTTCTTTTTATATGTTCAACGTTTTATTGCACTTTGGTTAAACTCTGTTGCTTTTAAATGTGCTATAGAAATACATTTTGACTTGACTTGACTTATCTAGGAAGCCACTTTAACTATTTTTCTGAGTTAAGATGGAATTGGTAGAGGTTAGGATTTTTTTTATTACAAGAACTTCTGGCATCTACTAAAAACATTACAATTAAATAATTCGAGAAAGATTTAATTGAGGAGTATATGCAGACAGTGAGGGAGATTCATGTCATGAAAGCAAAAAAACACCAATTAGGGCTCTGGATAGATCATTTCACAGAAACATACTGTTGTGCTTTTGATAGCTTCAGAGTGTTTTGCATTTCTACATCATTCCTTTTATTTATTTAAAAAAATGTATCCACACATATTTGTTTTATTCAGACAATAAATTACTATAAAATATGTATTACTAATATACACTGAACAAAATTATAAACGCAACACTTTTGTTTTTGCCCCCATTTTTCATGAGCTGAACTCAAAGATTTCATTTTAGAGTGGCCTTTTATTGTGGCCAGCCTAACTGTGCGTTCACACCGGACGCGAATAGCGCGTCAAATTCGCGTCTACCGCGTCTAGTTTGACGCTTGACCACTTTGTGTTAATTCGCGTGTCAATGGCGAAATTGACGCGCGTAAAAACAAAAGTTTGAAGCGAAATTTACGCGCGTCAGAGGCGAAAGTTTCGAAACCCGTTGGCGGCCATCTTTTTAGATGTTTATCGAGCATTAGCATTAGCATTATTCGAGAGAGTCACCGCTCGTATATGCTCTGGAGAGCAGAAGCAGCTCCGTAGGGGACATTGTCGCTGTACTCGGGTCCACCAGAACCTCCGGAGGGTTTCAGGAGTTTCACAATTTGCTCCAGGAGCCAGGTTTGGTGGACCTAATGGTGAGGACGCCGACGAGGACAGCGTAGGCCGTATAAGCCCTCGGCCTCGAGTGGTCTAGCTATGCCTGTCGAGCCCGCTCTCTACAGCCCGGCGCGAGGTTCACCCTCGCCCGCATCCACCTAATCTGTCATTTATTTTTGTTTTGATAATAAATGAAGCCAGCCTCCAAAAGTGATTAATCTGTCCTGTGATTTTTCTCTCTCTCTCACACATCACTGTCCAGACACGAACTTATATGTTGGTTGTCTTTACATTATAATAATATTTCATATAATCTAGATATGGAATAAATAGCATTCAATGCAAAATGAATATGTCTCATATATTGAAATCAAGTTTTATGTGATAAAATATTTGCTTTGTTGTGCATTAGAACCACAGTCATATATTACAAAATAATTTATTGAAGCATCCAGATACTTCACCACGTGACAGCAGCAAGCAGCTAGGCTCCTGATTGGTTAACGCGGCGCGAATTGACGCAGAAGTTCAGATTTTTCAACTCGGGCGGCAGACGCGAATTCGCGTCAAACGCGTGAATGCACAAATAGCACTAACTAAATCATTCGCGCTTAACGCGCCAGACGCTCAATTCGCGCGAACTTGACGCGCGAATGAGGCGTATTCGTGTCTACCGCGCCGCGCTCTACGCCTCATTCGCGCCGCAGGAATTTTTTACGCGCGTAACGCGTCTTTGCATTGACTTAACATTGAAATCACTCGCGCCTGACGCGCTATTCGCGTCCGGTGTGAACGCACCATAAGGCACACCTGTGCAATAATTTTGCTGTCTAATCAGCATCTTGATATGCCACACCTGTGAGGTGGAGGGATTATCTCAGCAAAGGAGAAGTGCTCACTAACACAGATTTAGACAGATTTGTGAACAATATTTGAGAGAAATAGGCCTTTTGTGTACATAGAAAAAGTCTTTAGATCTTTGAGTTCAGCTCATGAAAAATGGGGGCTGAAACAAAAGTGTTGCATTTATAATTTTGTTCAGTGTATATTAAATATTATTAGTTATTATTTAACTGTAACAAAAAACAAAAAAAAACAAAAAAAAACAGAACACCAATGATTAAATAAGAATTAAATAAGAACTGATAAATAAAGAACTGATACAAAATTCAATGTTATTTTGTGTTATTATTTGTTAAGAGTAGTGCAAGTCTCATTGGTATTTTTAGTCCACTGAAAAAAACTCCATCTCAGATCTCAATGTTCCTTCTTTTCAAAACCACAACTGAACTGAAGTACTTCAGACTCATCTGCAGGACTCAACAACAATTTAGCACTTACCAAGCACATGCTGAAATTGGTAAAAAAAAAAAAATCAGATTTGTTTGTCACTGTGCATTATTACTTTGCAAAATATGTTATTTTCTTAAAGGTACAACCCAAACCAGTACTTTTGTACTTATTTAAAGGATTAGTTCACTTTAAAAAAAAACTTTTGCTTATAATTTACTCACCCCCATGTCATCCAAGATGTCCATGTCTTTCTTTGTTCAGTCGAAAAGAAATTAAGGTTTTTGATGAAAACATTCAAGGATTTTTCTCCATATAATTCAGCTGCACTGAAACTGTCATTTGGACATTGAACCGTTTGGGGCCCATTGAAGTCCATTATATGGAGAAAAATCCTGGAATGTTTTCATCAAAAACCTTAATTTCTTTTCGACTGAAGAAAGAAAGACATGGACATCTTGGATGACATGGGGGTGAGTAAATTATCAGCAAAAGTTGTTTTAAAAGTGAACTAATCCCCCCCCCCCCTCCTCCTTTTGTTGGCCATTAACCTGTGTACTTGCTGTGTTTTGTAACTAACCTATTGTATTTTGCTTGATTTCTTGTATGCAGTGGGCTCTCACCTGACATTAGCATGCATTTTCAGTAATTTTTAGGTAATTAGAGGCCAATAATCATATTAGAGTTTAAATCGAAAATGACCACCTCATTTAATTATCAATATTAATTTGATAATTAATATGATAAATAAGATAAATAAGTAATATGTAAAATATTTTAAAAATTTTCGATCATACAGCATCTCTCTCTGATTACACTGGAGATGAATTTGTAAATGCTTTCCAGCTAAAGAATATCCAGATACTATCCGAATGGGAAACGGTGTGAAAGGGGCCTAGATACTATAAATTACTCACACTGATGCTCTGCATCCTGTTGTTAAGAAGCTCTACAGTGTTTTCTTCTCTGTCTGAAGAACTCATTAGCTCTTCAAGCCAATTCCAGTGCTGATTTAGAAGAACACAGCACTCTCCTGTGAGACGGTTGTATTCCAGCCAGAGCCGCAATTCATTCTGGGCCATTCGTAAATCTGCATGCACATCCTCAGTCACTGATAGATGTCTGAAAACAAACAAAACAGACATTAATACCCACATAGGGGCAGACAAACACAACCTAATAATCAAACATGTTCTGTCCTCTCTTTGCATCACATTTCCTTTTAGTGGATCAGTTTGTTTGCTGATTCATTATTCAACTAAACCATCAAATGAACAGACTCATCTGATAATTTACACAGCTTCCTCAACATTGATGTTGACAATATTGCCAATTTGGTGCCATTTCAAAGTGCAATTTCAGATTAAATGGCGAATATAAAAGGAGACGGACTGGAAAGTAAAATTGCTTACCGAGTTCTCTCCTTCTCGAGATGATCGGACAGCAGTTTAGATGCGCAAGGCTTGAGTTTGTCTCTTAAGTCAAAGAACACCTCAGTTAAGTTGTTCCAGGTCTCTGATAGGTTCAGCTCCCTTTCAAGTTCCTGTTAGGAAGTATGCATGATATCATATCCTACAAATAACATTGTTCCTGTACCACTGATGGCAATGTTGAATATTAATATTATTTGTATTCCCATGTTGGGAGAATAAAGTTGGTGCCTAAACATTAATGTTTAAAATGTTAACTTCACAACTTACAAGTACAACATTCACTGTACAATCTTTTTATTTTGTCAGACTGTTTACTCACTTGCAGATGTTCCACATGAATTCGGTTCTGCTCAGTTGAGAACACAGGAACTCTGCACAGCTCCAGTCTGTAGGCCACCCTGGTTGTTTGTAGTTCTGCTGCACTCATTTCAGATTCAAAGTGAGCCCACTTATCCTTGATTGGCTGCAAATCTAGCCTGAGAGCATTTATCTAAGAAAAAAAACACACACATGCTGCTAGGAAAAACATTTCTTTGGCCAATCAAAAATAATGAATGAACTCTGACTGGACACATTTGAAGTTGTTGTAAAACAATCAATAAAACACAAATCAAATGAATTCGTATATGTATAAGGAAAGTATGCTTCTTAACAACTGTAAAAACAACTATATTTCCTGAGTAACCCAACAAAGAGGAAAATAGAATAAAGAAGAAAAAAAACATGTACACACTGCAAAAATTGAAACACGCATTTAAACGAGGGAGTGAATACATTTTCATTCTGTGTGTGTACGGAATACAGAAGTCACTCCTGATCATGCAGTGTTTGGCACAGTGATTTCACAACATTTCTGGCATCTCATGGCTGTAAACAAGACACATGGATGCAAAAAGTGCTAAAGTACAAAAAATATTGCAATATAAAATAAATAAAATAATATATCGATGATATATTTTTGATGAAATAAATATTATTAATAATTCATATAAAAATATTAATAAGTACCAAAGACTTAAGACCACTGAGTGTTTCATGCTGCCTTTAAACATACACGGCATAAAATGTAGCTGCAGTGTTTACTGTTCAAAAGTGTGGGGTTTTTGGAAAAAAGTCTCTTATGCTAATCTAGGCTGCATTTATTTGATAAAAAATTCAGTAAAACAGAAATATTGTGAAATATTACAATTTACTTGGTTTTCTTAAAAATGTCATTTATGATGGCATGATAGCATCATTACTCCAGTCTTCAGTGTCACATGATCCTTTAGAATCATTCTAATATGCTGATTTGCTGCTCAAAAAACTTTTTTCTTTTTTTATCAATGTTAAAAACAGTTGTGCTGCTTAATATTTTTGTGGATATTGTGACACAGATCAATTTAATGCATTTTTGCTGAATGCAAGTAGGTATTATTATTTTAATCTTACTGACCCCAAACTTTTGAAAGGTATATGGCCAATGTGCACAAATTTACTGATGCATTCCAGAACAGGGAGTACAAACTTGCCTGTTGACTCAAAGCTTGGCAATCCTGGATGGCTGAATTCACCTGCTTGGAGAATGCTTGATCTCCAGGATGTTCACCATCCTGCAGCCCGAACAGGTGAAGAGCTCCCAAACCTTTCAACTCAGAGGACTTCACCTGCAGCTTTTCCTCTGTCTCCTGGAATGAAGCAGTGTCAGAGTTTCCAGATATCTCTCACTCCCCTTTTTACAAAGCAAGTCATTTGACTCACTGGATTTCACTCTCACACCCACAAACAACATTTGCAGCATAAAATCGTCAAGCTAGTTGTGAGATAAGAGACTCACCTCACACTCCTGTAATGTTTGCTCAATCTGCAAGCAGCTCTCTGGTCTCCAGCTGCTTCTCACCCATTCCATACGTTGAGAGATCCAGCTGTGCAAACAGCGCAATCGCTTTTCTTTATCTGTGCAGACCTGCCACTGGTCCTCAACACTGTGTATCTGGAGACAGAAGAACCCATCACGTTTTAAATGTGATGGCTTTAGCCGGTTATACAGGTTAGTACAGCATTGTTGTATGTCTGCACTAACCTCACTGTCAATCTTGGCCTGTAGAACAAGCCAATTAAGATTGAGAGCACTCAGTCGCTCGGCAAAGAGGATGCGCTCACTGCGATTGGTGGGTTCGCTCACTGACCCCACCCCCTCCACAGACTGGTGGTTCAGAAAGTCAACACATGACTGGTGACTGCTTACTTCAGCCTTAATATCCTAATATGTAAAAACATGGAATATAATACATGTCAGAGTTTCCTACATAATTCATTTTTGTAGAAGGGTTATCAAAAAGTGACAGTAAAGACATTTATAATGTTACAAAAGATTTCTTTTTCAAATAAATGCTGTTATTTTGAACTTTCCATTCATGAAAGTATCCAGGAAAAATATCCAATCAGAATTTTAGAATGATTTCTGAAGCTGCAAGTATAAACTTGGAAAAAATATTGTTTTGTTCATCTAGAGTTATTTTATTGCTATATATATATGAAGAGTTCAGATGCAAAAGCCTCTAAGTGCCATCAGAAATTTTCTTCTAGAATGATCATTTTTATCAAGCCGTATATTTATTCAGTAATTTCACTTAAATGACAATGAAACTTACCTATTAATTGTCATTTAAGTGAAATTACTGAACTTAAATATACAAGCTTGATAAAAATGATTCAGATGGCACTTAGAGGCTTTTGCATCTGAACTCTTCATATACATATATAGCTATAAAATTATGGAGGGATTATTGGGTCAGATTGAAAACTAAAAGTCTAAAACTAAAAGTCTTAAACGAAAACCAAAAGTCTAAGTTTGAAACTAAAAGTCTAAGTCGAAAATGAATTTGGTATTTAGGATTGGGCATTTGGTATTTAGGATTGGGCATTTGGTATTTAGGATAGGGCATTTCGTATTTAGGATTGGGCATTTGGTCATTTAGCCATTTAGGATTTAATTCAAGATTGCAATGTTGGAGTGTGTGCGCAAAGTTCAAACTGCAAAGTGTGTATATTTGTGTACACTCGCAATAAAATACAACATTGTGCCTTTGTCACACTCTAAAATCTTGTCAAACTGTAACCTACAACTGTCACCCAACCAAAATCACACACACACACACACACACACACACACCTAGTTCGATCGCGCCCGCGCCTCCCCCCTCTCTCTCTCTCTCTCTCTCTCTCTCTCACACACACACACACACACACACACTCTCTCTCTCTCTCTCTCTCTCGCGCGCGCACACACACACTCCAGCATTGCAATCTTGACATCGCAGCCTGTTTATTATGCTGCGTTCACACCAAACGCGAATAGAGCGAAATGTATCGCTATTTAGAGTTTTGTTTATTTTTATACCGTATATTCTCCGTGTAAATTCGTGCACCGAACCGTGACGCCCGTAGGCTACCGTTTCGGTTCAATAGGAATACATGAACTGTTCCAGTACCCCTATACAACGCTGTCATTAAGTTGAAGTTATCACATTATAAAGTACAGTCCTCGCTCCAGACCATGACCTGCTCACTCGCTCTGTTCGGTTTCATTACAGTGTGCTCCTTAGCACTGGAGCTCCCTCTGCTGTCCATAAGGTGCATCTGCACCAGCCATTTCAAACCCAGCCTCCAGTATTTGGGCCACACCTTCTTATTTGCATACACTCCTCAATCCTCAATCCTCAAATGCCCAATCCTAAATGGCTAAATGATTAAATGCCCGATCCTAAATCCCTAAATGCCCAATCCTAAATCCTAAATGGCTAAATGACCAAATGCCCAATCCTAAATACGAAATGCCCTATCCTAAATACCAAATGCCCAATCCTAAATACCAAATGCCCAATCCTAAATACCAAATTCATTTTCGACTTAGACTTTTAGTTTCAAACTTAGACTTTTGGTTTTCGTTTAAGACTTTTAGTTTCAAACTTAGACTTTTGGTTTTCGTTTAAGACTTTTAGTTTTAGACTTTTAGTTTTCAATCTGACCCAATAATCCCTCCATATAAAAATAACTATAGAGTCTAGACGAACCAAACAATATTTTTTCCATTCCTACCTTGAAATAATCAGTAGGAATTTATCCAGAAAACCAGAAATAATAAAAGAGTAGGTGCAATACCTTCAAAGCCTGTAGATGTCTAGACAGCTCAGAGGAGCCCAGGGCACAATGGACCCCTGAGCTTTCATCCTCCAGTTGTCTCTCTACATGCTCCAGCCAGGAGGTCAAATCAGCCAAGACTTGACTGTGAGACTGGCTTGTCAACATCTATCAGGAGGGCAAAAAGATGTTTACAAAAATATATATCTGCTTGTTAGAGCTTTGCTTCTAATAGATCGACGAGGGAGGAGATGGAAGGAGAGAGAGAGAGAGAGAGAGAGAGAGAGAGAGAGAGAGAGAGAGAGAGAGAGAGAGAGAGAGAGAGAGAGAGAGAGAGAGAGAGAGAGAGAGAGAGAGAGAGAGAGAGAGAGAGAGAGAGAGAGAGAGAGAGAGAGAGGAAGAGAGAGAAACTGAGACATTATTTGTACTTGTTGCTGTGTCTGGTGGAGGGTGGGTAGCATGTTAGTCAGGTTCGTCCATTCCTGCTCAAGTTGAGCCAGTTGTCTGCGCAGACCAGGAGCTTTCCTCTCAGTCAGCTGCAGAATCTGCATGCCTGTGCTTTCTGCAGAAGCTTTCTGTGCCGAACGGAACACCATCTCCTTGAAGAACTCCTGTGGCACACAACCAGAACCAAGGTCTCATATTTTGCATTATGTGGTCACATGATATAAAAAAGAGAGATGAACTCTAATAAAATTCTAGTCACCATGATCTGGGTCAAGACAATTCTGGAGTCCAGTAGACCAGAATCGGAGAAACTGTTCCACTTCTGAACCCGTTCATGAGCACAACTCATCCACTCCTCTAGTTCTGTTGAGTCACGCTGAAACCTACCCACATACAAATACACAGAAATACACACCTTTATGTTACCTGATAGAACAATGTGTCTTCTAAACCAGTATTTCTCAACTGGTGGGTCGCATTTACCACTACACCATTTAATTCTTCCAACGAAATTACATTTTGCTCATTTTAATCATTTCTTATTTGGTTACTGTGTTTTTCTCAAACCTTTCATAATTCTTTCTGATCTTCTGTGTGGAATGTATCTTCTGCTGTAGTTGATTATGAAGATCTTTCCAGCGTATTAACAGTCGTGATTTGGGGGAGGTCTGGCAGCAACCCTTTTTCTGTAGGGTCCTGAGTCGGTCTTGGATCCCCCACATCTGAGGTCTTGTGTCTTCCAGGACTTTGTGCAACCTCTGACAACGAGAGAGTGAAAAAGGAAAGGAAAAGTTTGCAAGTTAATGGCTAAAATATGGAAAACCATGGAGAAAAAAAATATTTCAATTAACTCAGTTACTCAAACCGATTGTGATTCAGATGTACTGATGTGGTCAGATGTAGTACTTTGACTGCAAAGTTTGTGAATCGCTGCTCTATCTCATTTCATCCCTCCACCCCCTTATCTCTCTCAGCTTCACCCGCTTGCTCAGATGGAGCGACTTGTGGGAATGGGAGTGAGATATACATCTATTACAGACACAAAAAGGGTTGCTTGATGTTCCTCCTATATCAATCCAGAGTAATGAGCTTTGGTAGTTATAAAGGGGGAAATAATATGAACGCAACCAACCATGCGCTGCTAACTGTTCCGCGTGAGTCACCATAGCTGAGAAATTAGCTTTCGTAATAGTGAGAGGGACAATCACAAAAGTGCGGCCAATGCAGGCAGCAGAACATGAAGTTTCCACAGATATGGCACCTGTCGTTCTGAGTAATTTAATCAGGAACATTGTGTGCTGGACCAAAAAAGATTCTCATGCAACATATAGCCAAAGAAAGGAGAAGACCCTCTAAGTGCCCTAGAATTTGAAATTGAATTTATCTTGGCATAGTTAAATAACAAGAGTTCAGTACATGGACATGACATACAGTGAGTCTCAAACACCATTGTTTTCTCCTTCTTATTTAAATCTCGTTTTTGAAAAACACCCCTGAAAAATAGGCGAATCTCCACATAACAGCCCATGTTCAATGCCAGGCGGAACTGCGCAGCCGAATCATCGGAAGTTCTGCAGGTGAAGAAACAAGCGAGGATCATAGGGAAAATGGCAGATTGTTCTAGGCTGTGCAGGGGATGTGAGGACTTTTCATACCCTTCCCACAGAAAAGAAATGTCAACAGGCGTGGTTTAATTCAACAGTTTAATTCGAAGTTGTTAGTTTGCTCTGCCCATTTCACCACGGATTATTTTCTAACCTGGGACAATTTCAAGCAGGCTTCTCTCAGCGTCTCATACTGAAGAAGGGGGCAATTCCAACTATATTCCTGCAAGCGGTAACTAGTGATTTTATTAACAATAATTTACACTGTGTTATCTAGATCCAGCGCAAGATCCTAGTACAGTAACAAATAGCAAGCTCCAAGTAACGAGCATACATAACTAAATAGTATGACAAAGTATTTACGCTGAGGTTAATATTTCTTGCTTGTGTTGTCATATAAATCTACAAAATAATACTGTAGATACATATGTAAATTCCCTTTTGTCAAATAATTTTACTTTCGTCTATTTCATCAACAACACGTCAGGGGCTAACTATGTTAGTGTAGTTGCTCACAGATAGTGTTAGCTCACTCGATCCTTCTAGCTAACGTCACATTCTCCACCACATAAGTTGAAGCTATATTTATTTGACAAGGCATCTAACGTTAGTCCATTTGTTAAAATGTTTTAATTTTTGAAAACTGACTTATGATTGTTTTGCACGCTTGTATTTCAGAGTGTGTGCAGTGAAACAGCCAATCAGAGCAGAACTCCTCATTACTATTCATGACCCTTCCAAATAAGGTAAAAACAGACCATTTCATTCTAGTTGAAAATGGACCTGTAAAACCATTTTAACATTTTAAATGCCCTTAAATAAGCCACATACCCTCTATGTAGATATCAGAGACAAAATTAAAATATTATTTCAACACATTCTAGGGCACCTTTAACTTTGCTCCCCTCACACACCTCAGATTTGTATTACTTCTGCTGCTTTAGATGGGTAGTACTCAACCAAATAACTAAAATGGACAGGAGTCCTCCATCGCCCAAGTCAATTATAACTTCTTTGTGACTTAATAATTCAGACAAGAGTAAACTGTGTTGCATCTAATTTGGACAGAATGTTTATTTTATCGTTTACAACACGACATGGGTCTGAGTACTGAAAAAAATATTTTCTTAATCTGCAATTGTCTTATTTTCCCAGTAAAATTCTTAAAAAAAAAAAAAAGAAGTAAAAAACAAGATTTTTTCTATAGATTTATATAAATAAATATACAGAACCATTCAAAAGTTTGGTTTAGTAAGACTTTTTTTTAATGTTTTTTTAAAAAGAAGTCTCTTATGCTCACCAATAATGCAATTATTTGATCAAAAATGCAGTAATATTGTGAAATTATTACAAATTTACAAATACAAAAATGTCATTTATTCCTGTGATGCAAAGCTGAATTTTCAGCATAATTACGCTAGTCTTCAGTGTAACATGATCCTGATGTTTTGCAACTCAAGAAACTTTTCTTATTATTATCAATGTTGAAAAATAGTGCAGATTAATATTTTTGTGAAAACCGTGATTTTTTTTTTTCAAGCTTTAAAAACAAGGCAAAGCATTTATTAGAAATATCTGAACTCTTTTGTAACTTTATACATGTCTTTTCTGTCACTTTAGATCAATTCAATATACCTTTTCTGAATACAATTTCTTAAAACAACAACAACAAAAATCTTACAGCAAACTTTTGAACAGTTATTTTTTCCAATAATACCCAGGAGGCAGGGAGCCATTAGCATTCCCATAGATGTGGGAAACAAACCTCATAGGACTGCTCTTGACCCTGCAGGTCTCCTTCCAGCTCTAAATCCAGACTGGACAAGTCTGTCTCCATCTCATTCAACTGATTGCACAGTCTCTCGGTGACCTCCTCGTACCAAGACCACTCCTGGAACACACATACAGAGCGCTAAGAGAGTGATTTTGTTGCATAAAATGGATCAACATAAATACGCATGTCATATACTCCTATGAAATATCTGTTTAGTAATTTTGAATTAGTCCTAACTACAGTGTTAATCGACGCAATGAGTGCCTATTTGTAAATTGGATCAGTAAAAGACTAAATTATGACAGCGATAATGAGAATGTTTAATGAAATGAATAAGATTAATGAGATTAAGGTCTGAGGAAGTATCATTTCTCTGTACCTGTAAACTGTGCTGCATTTGGATCCCATGACTTTGTGCTTGATCCTGTAGATCTGAAATAAACTGCTCCACCTCTGCTTGGCCCGGCAGTGCCCCCTCTGGCAGCTTATGGTATAGCAGCTTTACAGTTACAAGGTTCTGCCCCAAATCTTGGAAGTATTTCTGGAAGTGTTACCAATCAAGTGCAAACATTGTGAGAGTCATGTAAGAGGTCAAAAAAATTGGTCCTAAATTGGTCAGTTAAAATATATAGTGTACCTTGTGTCCTCTGAGCTGACTGTGCAGCTGGCTGTAGTTTTGTGGCTGTGCATCCTGACTGCGCAGCAGCCGCTCTGAGCCCAGCTCCAGGAGACCCCGTAGACCCTTCAGAAGAGCTTCAGAACATCTCTGGTGCTCAACATTAATCTGTCCTGCTGATCTCCACCGGTCAATTGCAAAAGTCCACGTGCTGCCCTGCAGACTCTTACAGAACAAACACTTGTATTAGTACATCAGAACTGACCCTTCGCTAAGCCGTGCTTTACACGTCACTGATCGATCCTACATCAGCAACTATTGCTAAGGCTAATATAAGACAAGTTTGTGAACTTTCTAAAGTACAATGTGTATTTGGAAAGTTTTAAAACACAATTTTATGGAAATGATGCAAAAACAAAACAAAAAAAAAACAGTAAAACACAAGGTACTAAGAGAGGATACAAGCAATATTTTCTTAGTCTTGAGATTTTTTTATTTATTTATTTATTTTTATAAATCTTTAGAAGGTCATGCTGTGTATTAAACTTACACATTAAATATCATTTACATTATGAGGAGACAGCTTTGCACCAAGTTTTGTGTGGACTTTAAGTGAATTGATTATACCTTGATGCTTGAAAAGAGTTTGGTCGTGTCTCTCATCTGTATTTCACTGGCATTCAATGCAGACACAGGAATCTCTAACAGATGCTGTCTAGTCTGTGTAGGCAGGAAATAAAAACACAAAGAAAGGCAGAATCAGTCTCATAGCTTCTGAGAAATGTGTTCTATCATCCACTGCCACTGATATAAATCAGAAAAAGTAAGTTTTTTTTTTTACTAAATTAAAAAAATAAGAAATTTTGCTCAAATGGCAGATTAACTGCTTCACGTTGTCATTTCTTAGTTAACTACACTACCGTTCAAAAGTTTAGGGTCATTAAGATAAAATAAAAAGGATTTTATTCATCAAGGATGTTTTAAATGCATAACAGTTAAGACATTTATAATGTTACAAAAGATTTTTACTTCAAATAAATTCTGTTCTTTTAAACTTTCTACTCAAAGAATCCTGAAACAAATTAATCATGGTTTCAGCACAACTGTTTTCAACATTGGTAAGAAATGTATCTTGAACTACATCAACATAATTAGAATGATTTCTGAATGATCATGTGACACTGAAGTAATGATGCTGAATTTTCAGCTTTAGATCACAGAAATAAATAACATTTTAAAATATTTTAAAACAGACAAAACTTATTTTAAATTGTAATAAAATTTCACAATATTCTTGTTAAAATGCACACAGACACTCATTCACTTGTTGGTTTTAGTAAGCATTAGGCCTGAAACTGACCTCTGAAGAACTGATATCCTGACATGACCCCAGTGTCTCAGATGTGTCCTTCAAAGAGGTGAGAAGCTGGACCAAACTCTCTTGATATTCACCTCCTCCTTCAGACTGTGAGAGATCACTGAGAGTTGCTGTGTGCTGAAATGAGTGTTCCTGAGACTGGCTGCTGTTCTGGCGAACGATGGCCTCAATCAGATCTCTCTGTATTTCCTAGAAAGTTGGAAGGGCAGTTTTTAGTCATACAGATATTTCAAAATGGACTGTACTTCAAAATGAAATGATACATGTGTGTTTACAGTTGGATTTCACATAGAATTACCAGCATTGTATCTTCCTGTGGCACACATTCTTTGTGCTGGGAAGGGAGCAATACAGGAGCTGTGGGGTCTATGGGTTTTGTCTCCGTCTGAGTCTGGTCATCATCAGTAACATTTACAGTCTCTGTGTCGGGAGGCTTTGGGGTCAAACCTTCCTTACGAAATGCCATTTTCACTTGATCGCTTGTACTCATTTCTGTGTTTATAGATACTTTGTTCAGATCTACAGATTCAGACTGTTTGATCGATTCACTGGCATCACTTGCTTTTAACATGGTGATTTCTGAGTCTGTTCCTGGCTTTGCTGGTACTGCTTCAGTCACCTTGGTTTCTGGGCACTCATTTTGTTTTTCCTTAGCTCTAGTTGCACTGTCAGGCTGCAGATAACTATCATTTGTAAATTCTTCGAAGTGTTGGGATGTTAGTGGAGGTAGACAACTTGTCTCTTCAGTCACTGGTCTGCTGTCTATGGCAGGCATTTCAGAGAATCCAGGAGGCTCTAGTAAACAACTTCCAGTGTCAGACTCCTGTAATACGTGCTTGATTGCAGCAAAATCAGTTTCTTCTTCAGCAGATGATTCCTAAAAATGAAATAATGATTTGTTTCATTATCAGTGAACTTTTATCAGTGAATCAACTTTTCAGTTATTTTACCATGGGTAAAGCAAGTATTTTGACATCTAAAACCACCTTAACCATGGCATAAAAAAACCAAAACCACTTCAATGATATAATATATTACACCAATTTTCAATAAAGAGTTGTTTTTTTAATAATTATCAAAATAATTATTCCGCCATCTACTGTAATATGCACTACCATTCCAAAGTTTGGGATCAAGGACACATTCAATTGATCATAAGTGACAACAAAGAAATATTCAAAAGTTCAAATGTTACAATTTATAACAAAATATTTCTATTTCAAATAAATGCATCTTTTGAATAAATAAATAAATTCAGAACTCCTGAAAATCACCAAATGTTTTTAAAAAATACATTATATATATATATACAGTAACTGTTCAACATTGATAATAAGAATAAATGTTTCTTGGGCACCAATTCAGCTCAGCATATTAGAATGATTTCTGAATTATCATGTGACACTGAAGACTGGAATAATGATGCTGAAAATTCAGCTTTTTATATCACAGGAATGAACAAATACATTGCAGTTATTGTTATCATTAGAAACTTTCTTTCTTTGTTAAAAGAAAAAAAATCATACAGACTTAAGAACTTTTGAATGGTAGTGCAGTCTATTATTCTGACGGCAGGCAGCTTGTGGTTGCCAATCAACATTGCAAGTGATCAAATTCATACAAAATTCATACAGAATGATCCCTTTGAGCAGGGCTCATCCAATCAGAAGTCGGTATTACACATTCCACAAAGAGGAATATGAGGAATAATGATGATGATGTCTGCCATTAACCAATAAATCACAAAGTTTGTTCCTGAGAGTCAAGTAACTCCATTGGGGCCAGTCTATACCTTAGTGGCACACTCTGTTACAGCAGAGGCAGCATCCATCTCTTCCAAAACGGTCTCACCTGGGTCCTGGTACAGAGAAAGAAAAAAATTATTAGAGATGATGGTCCAGAGTATTAGAAGAACAGACTTCCAAAAGACAATGGAGGACAGCAGCTGTTACTGAAAGAAGTGGAGGTGTTACTGTATATTCGGCATTCTGCAATAAATGCAGCCTTAGTCCACAGAAGGAAAAGCAAAAGAGCTTGGCCGCAAAGCTGACTGAATTATAAACAAATTGAGACATTAATAATAGCATAAACTCTATTAACAGCAGTGTTGAGAAAATTGTGATCATGCAATTCCAAGAATGAAAGTAATTGTCACAGGACCAATCCCTGTGAAAATATAGTGAAAATAGCATAGCAGAGATATATAAACATAAAACATAAAGATTCACATACATTTATTTATATTTATAATTATAATTATAGTTGTATTTGTATATTCGTATAATTTCCATTCATAAATTTATATAAATAAAACATTAAATACATGCAAATGAACAGCCATAGCAAAGAGGTCCAGGGTGTACAAGAGTACAGAAATGTACTCTTGTTCAGGGTTTGGCAAAGGGATGCATCAAGACTGGGAGATAAATTGGAGGTTTTGGAGGCTTTACCTCTGGAACACTGCATGTGAGAGTTCCTGAGGATGAAGACTGACTGTCTTCATCTTCCTCCTTATTGAAAGGGCCTTCCATTGACACCTGTTTCACCAGGGTTATGCGAGGACATATTATTCTTTAGGTTTTTACAGTGACACAACTAATAAGCTGATTTAGTCCTAAAACGGACTAATCCTCATCTTAGATGTCATCTGAGCTTAAGTGGGCATGATTTTGAGGTGTATATTTTTGATTGAGCTGCTTGACTTACCATCCCATCTCCAGAGTAAAAGTGTGGCATCGTGAATTCTGTGATTTGGTCTGAAGGGAGAATCATTTCAGATGGTTGTCCAATAGAGGCCTGAAAATAAAATCAGCAAACTATTCAGTTTCATCAAGTTTTAGAACTTGGACCAACCAACGCTACATGATAAAGATCATGAGAAAAGTCATGGGAGCATCTTTATTGCATACTGCTGCCTTTGCCAATAAAGCCATGTCTGTAATGATTTACTGTTGCACTATTGAGGTTTTAAAGCACTTAATTTTTTAAGAACAATCAGAAAATTTAAGGTTCCCACACATCCTTTCTCCGAGTTGGCTTTAAATTCAAGGCTTTTCTCCTCCTCTCATTCCCATAGTAGACATGAAAGTGAAGAGGAGAGGTCACCCGCCGGTCACGGTCACTAAAAACTTGAACAAGTAATAGGTTCAAACTAGATTTAAAAAGACCTTTGGTCCAGTTAGCTATTTCATTATAACTGTCTGTGTTTGATGCTGTAAATATTGTAAATGGATGTGTCAAAACTGGTCAAATAAAAAAGAGGTTTCCCTAACCAGACGCGATGCGATAAGATTCAAGCGAGAAATAATTTGTCTGTCCATACTGTACGCGACTGCGAGATGCGTCAAAATCAATCAAAACCCACAGCCAATCAGAACAGCGTGTGGGCGGGCTCTCGCGCCAAGTGCACAGCACCAGAGAGTATTCTTGACGCCAATCGCAAGAAAATGGATAAGCAGGCTACATACCGGTAATCAAATTCACAAATATTACACCATTTAAACACAATTCAAATACATAGGCTACTGAGTTACTAAAACAATCTTTGTCAAATAATACACTTGTTTGTTCACAGTTTGAACGTTCTTGTTTCCATTTGTTTAATTTCAAGATCTGAGGTGAACTATCCATTGTTGTTTTTACGGCTACATAGCTGGGAGCACTAAATGATATTCAAAGTCACATTACACGCTTTTAACATTAAATAAAGCACGTAAACAGTAGCTGAGATTATCATTGCCACACTTTGTGTTTGTTGTTCCAGCACGACGTCGCAGAAAAATAGAGACCGTTTCTAAAATAGAATAGTCGTGTGTCGCCGTCGTGGCTGGTTAGGACAAAAACTCTGAAAAGATACCTTTTATCGCGTGTCGCGGCGTCACGTGTAGTTAGGACACGGTGTAACTGTGTGATTATTTTGATCTAAAAGCTCCCTATATAAAGGAGATGGCTGTACTGAAACTGAATTTTCAATCAATGTCATTCTTATGGTATGACATGCTACAATAGTTATAATTCAAGCAATGCAACATAATTTAAAATTCATCATTAAAACTCCTCTATCATTAAAAACTAAAACACACCGTTTTTGTGGGCTCACAATTGAAAGACCGATGACAGAAATATTTGAACTTTTAAAAAAGCCATTCACACACCATGGAAATATTTAAGTGATCTGCAAAATAAAATAGTTTTTTTTAGAAAATGGTGAGCAGGTAATAAGGGTGCAGTAATTTTTTCTCAATAAAAAAGTTTGACCTCTAATGAATACTGAAATTACTTTTTGAAAAATGTTTAAAATAGTGAGCACTCATGTGAGATGAAGACTCCAGTCATATCAGCAGACTAATCAAAGGGGTTTTATTTTGCATGAAGCAATTACTATCAATGAATATGCTGCACACATGCCTCTAGGTGTCATTAGAGATGTGACTGTCATTGCCAGATCTACCAGCTCAATCTCTACAAATATGAAACCTTTAAAATGGCCATTTTCCCTTATGCACCAGAGAAACGTGGGAGCCGTCATCTTTAGAATATTGTCTTTGAACATCCGTTTTTGCGGTCGCTCTGTATATTTCTATGGCATCCGTGTCCTGGAGTAATTAGCTGGTGAAGTGGATTTACTTATTGTAGAGTTAACGAAAGTTATCATGAGCATTGTAATGTTTATCATAAGCATTGTAAAGCAGATGTCTTAACAAATGTCGACCGGGAATTTTTTTACGAGCAGTTCATTCATACCTATGCAAGATCGCTGTGAAAATACAGACCGGAAGTCAAAAGACAACGAGCGCAGCGCTGGAAAGGGGTGGGGCTACATAAGGTCTATACAGTAAGTTGTAACTTAAAATATTTATGTTGTATAAAAAAAAAACAAGGCTAAATGCCATAACTACGGAAATCTGCTTTTCATGAACTAAATAAGCTAAAACGCACTCCAGCTCAGTAAACAGGAAACCTCTGACTCTTGGTAAACACAAGCAAACTATTAAAGCGACAGACCCTTAATGCTGTGCTCCGCTCCACACTGAGCTGCTGTAGCTCCTGGATGGGCTGCAGGAGCTCTTGAGCCCGGTGGAAGGCTGTGAGAGTTTGCTCTGCCTCAGTAGGAAGCCCTAGGCCTGGCCTGCAGCTCTCAATCTCATCAATGGTCCTCTTCATGGACTGGATATTATCCAGAATCACCTGTAACAGAAATTAGGAGGGATATGAGATAATGTAAATGTTTACAGTCCAAACAGAGGATATAAATATATGACGCACACAGTACCTGTATGTCCTCAAGATATTCCTCAGGAGAAATGTTCTCTGTGTCAGTAGTGGAAAGGATTGTTCTGATCTTGGCTATATTATTCTCCATTGTCTTCACCTCTGTTTCAATGGCATCCATCTCCTACACATAAGTTATAAGTGAATTACAATTAAAATATAGGCAACATAATTAAAAAACAAAAATTATCACAGTATTATATACTAGTATAAGTAATTCCAGCAATGCTATGTAGGTCTCATAAAACCCTCCAAATTATCTATACATTGTTAGGGATATCAAAACTGCTAATACTAACTCAATACTAATATTTTACCATTTTTACCAGTTACCAGTTTTTCTGGTATCCCAATTTGCCCAATGCCTCAATTTGATGTACTTCTTGGTCAAATTTCCCATATTTATGAGATATTAATGCAAACACAGTCAGCTACATTATAGTTCAAAAGTTTGGGGTCAGTAAGATTTTTTTCCCCAGTAAGATTACTTGAATATTTGATTTTATTGAAAATACCTGAAAAAAAAAGTCAAGCATGATTTACTTAATTTGTATTTTTGGACTATTGTAATTAACTGTTTTTAATAGAATGTTTACTTCACACAAACACTACTGTTTTAATTTAAAAAAAAAAAATGACGTTAATATATTTTAAATAAAAGGACTGTATTCAAATTTTAATAGCATAATTGTTTTGCTGTGGTATCGAATGGGTAACAGTGATCATAAAATTTCACTGGTATTGATACAACTAAAAACTTGGTATAGTGACAAACTTAGACACTGTAAATCCTAAGAAAATATGTAAATCTTACTGTAAATACATACACAATTCTTCATTGAAAGTAAAGATATTTCTTACAGCTGCTAGGTGCTGAAGGTGGGAGAGAGGGTCCAGGACGCTTTGCTGCATAAGTGTGATATTTTGTATACAGAGGTGGAGGAGCTGTTGTTGAGGAGTGGTGTCACACACCGGAGTGATCTCCTGCAGGACAGGCAGGAAGGCCTCCAGAGCTGCCCTGTATCCCTCTGATTCATCCAGCATCATCTACAGACATGCCATAAGAGTTGCCAACAAGTTGCAACATACCATCTACATAAAGTATGATATGTCTCACTAGAAGTGACCTGTAAACGGCTTCAGTGTGAGGCTTTGACCTGACCTTGAGGGAGTTGGCGTGGCAGTGGATGCATTTCGCAGCGGTGTAGGTTCTTGGGACGACCAGCCAGGACTGAGCCTCTTTCAACCAGCAGTTGGAGCTACTGAGTAAACCCTCATAGTCCTGCAGACAGGCAGGGATCTGATGGGAGCAAAACACAAGGCACAAAAAGTCATGGTTGCTATCAGTGGCATTATGTGTTGGCTTATGTTGTGAAACAAGGATTATGGGTCAAGTCTGACTTTGCTGATGAGGGCGGTCCTGTGCTCGGCCTGTTTGGCTGTGGTCTGGTAGAGCTGCAGTGGCTCCGTGAGCTGGTCCATGAGGACGTGTGCTCTCTCAGGCTGTTGCTCAGCCAGATCCTGCACCTCAGCCTCCAGCTCAGCTATCCGAGTGTGCCACTGGTCCAGCTCATCCCATATACGCTGCACAAACACGCACACATGCACATTAGACTTCAGTTAGTGTAGACATCATATTTCACTGGACACAAATGTAAAATGTGAAAGACGGAAGATCAGTTCATTAAATATGTCATGAGTAAAGCCTTGTTTTATTTTAAATATATGTTTTGTTTTTACGATTCTACTCATTTATTATACTTTACAGAAGTTTTCTGTACATACAATAAGTGTTCACATTCTCTCTCTCTTTCTATACAGCGTTATGTATCATCTGAAACGTGCTGCGACTTATATAATGTAAAACTAACGTCAAGCACGCAAAATGCACACATTTGGATCTGTGCTGAATGAGAGAAGTATGCGAGCCCAAATTTATTTGTATAGCACACTTTCCACATGTCGGTAGTTTCGTTATGTTTTACATAAATTATTCTTGGCATTTATAGCTAATGTTGTTTATAATGAATGCCACTGTTTGTTTTATACTTGTATTTTTCATCCTGATCTGTTCTGAATACTGTGTTGTGAGGAGAACTAAAACTAAAACTTGTTTATAGTGTTTATAATGTTTGTAAATGCTTTGTTTTAATTATCGGTATTATTACAATATTTCTAAATGCAATAATAAAATGTGACTCGTACATCTGTGTTTTTTTTCTCTCTCACCAATGCAATTTTGATCCGTGCAACTTATTGTCAGGTGCAACTTATGTTCCAGAAAATATGGTATATACATAAAATCACAAAATAAAAAAAAATACAATAAAAGTATAAGAAAACAAATAAATAAGAGAATAAACAGAACTAAATAATACACAAAACTAAGTAATGAGAGAAATTAAGCTGCCTGAGTAATAGCCCATGTTTTCCTGAGTGTATTTTCAATAAGGTGCATGTGGAGGCAAGAAGGGAACAAGTACCTTTTGTGTACGTTCAGCCTCAGAACAATTAGGACTTGTTTGCTTTAGCAGGGCATGCACACAATTCAGGCCCACCGTCACCTCTCCAACCTGCTCAACCATTTTACTAAGAGGACCACTTCTCTCCATGACCATGGCCAACTGAAACAGAGTTACATTTTTATTAGGTTTCATTTAAAAACAACACAGACACTCGAACTTAATATATATATATATATATATTAAATATGGCAGTTATAGTTTGAGTGTCTTTGTGTTATGTTATGTGTTATATACAGTATATAAAACAATTTTGGAGGTTATAATGGAGACTGACTGCCTTTTTCACAAGTTCAAAGGATTGTTTTATTGTATAATTTATTTTAGAATCCCTTATTGATATCTATATTCATAAAAACATGCTCATTAATAATATTCATATACATACACACACAATTAGCTTTTTCCAACATCAAACACACTCTACCTATCGCTAAAACGGTACTTGATCCCACAATATCCTAAAATTAAAGATAAAGAAAGTAAATACTTTGTCCTTAGCCTCCAGCAGGGAGACGTTGAGCTCATTCTGTAAGATTTGAATCTCTGATGGTACACAGCTCCATCTGTTCTGCACTCTGTCTATGACGTCCTGCAATCGAGCCTTTTGTGACACCAAATCCACTTTGACTTCCTACAGTGTGATACAACACAGTGAATACAATATCAACAGCAAACACTGCAGAAACAGACTCTCCTCTTACTCTCCCTGTAAAAAAAAAAAAATATGCCATAAAGCACCAACCTGTAGTTGTTCAGCAGCTGATTCGGACTGTAAAACCGTCAAAAGAGAGAGAACGTTCTGCTGAATGGCACTCATCTCCTCCTGCACACGACCCGACTCCTGGATCTCAAAAAGCACCTCCTGACGGATCTTATTGCTCTGATCTCTGAGACTATGCATGAAAAAGAAGCTCTGTAAATGTAGAGTCTGAACATGTCCTCAACATATATATGTTTATGTGCATGTGTGTATAAGTCTTACCTTCTGCACTGACCCTGTAAAGACTGCAAGTCCTGACAGATTTGAGGAGAAACTTTCAGCTGCTGCAAATTTGAGACCCCAAGCAAACGTGCCACATGGTGTTGTAGAGATGCAAGTGTATGATGCTCCTGCTCAATCCTATCTTGAAGGTGCTCAGTGAGGCTCAGAACACCCTGAAGATCCACCAGGGATCCCGTCACTATAGATGAGTCAGGGAGATTATTCTGCAGACTGCCAAGACCTTCCTTTGATTTATTGAGCTGCACAGCAAACCCAAACATGAAGAGAAATGAATTAATGCACAGCTTACTTCATTAATCATAATACAAGCTGGATATATAAATAAAATGTATTATTAATTGTCTTTTTTATATTATAAAATACAACAAAATAAAATAGAAAATTACATACACGTATCACAAAGTTTCTCCACTCTGCTTCTTTATGAGACGTGCTTGCCTTGAGTGATTCCACTCTGCACTGCAGCACTGCCCAAGACCTCCACAGATGTCCCAGCATCAGATCCACAGGAGCATTGCATCGATGACCTGGGCAGCTTTCCCTCAATTCCTCCAGTCTTTTAGCAATGTTCTTCAGCTCTGTCTGGAGCACCTGCAGATGAAGACAATTTCAACGAATGCTAATCTAGCACTACTAGAATTGTTACGAGATGAAAAGTAGCACAAGGAACCATTCATACACCATAAGAACTAGAGTATATACAGTAAATAGAGTGTATACAGTATATTCTCAAGTTTTCATTGGTCCCCAAGTCATTTTCAAGAGTTTCAAGGGTATTATTGCAATGCATTTAAACCAAGCACAACATGCATGATAAACAAAATGGATTAGGTTCTTCTACATGGTGAATATTAATGGCATATAATGACCACAAACCTTTATTTTCTGCTGGTGTTCTTGGCAGGCTTCAGAATCAGTCGGTTTTTGACTTGAGCATTTTGAGATTTGAGAATCAATGTTTTTGAGAAGTTGGCTCATTTCTTCATGGTGACTCATGTGCACAATTTGGTCTCCCATGCACCTAAATTGTAGCAAAAAGAGTGAACCATTAAAGCAACTAAATAAAACTGCCTTTAGTACATTTCATTTAACCAAATAGATGTATTCCATTCAAACTAATTGGTTCAGACCATGGTTTCCGAGGGAAATGTTTCCAAGTAATGTACAGTATATGGCAGACATTTAAAGAGCTTTTTGAGAACATTTTGGATTATTTGTAAAATACATTTTTCCCCCTATTTTCCGTCCCCCACACAAAACAATTATACAATGATTTTCCAATTTGATAAGAAAATCTCAACAACAATCAAAGAACATTGTGAATGCAACAATCTGAACCATAGGGCAAGGATCAATTTTGATAAAAAAAAAAAAAAAAAAAAATCAATACTTGATCAAAAACGTGCTTATAGAGTATGGCTAACCTCTGTAAAGCCTCGAGTCTGAGTTGAGCCTGAGCTTCTAATTTGGCATCTTGTACCAGAAGGTGACTAAAAACCTCGATATGAAGCTGCTCAGTTAGAGGGATGGAGAGGCATGTCTGATGGGGTGTGCAAGCACCAACTTCAGACAAGCGGGCATGGAAACCCTCAACCAGAGTGCTGAAAATCTGCTGAATATAATGATGCTCCTCTTTGTAGCCTTTGAAGCCAGTAGATGGAATCATGAGATTGGATCTGATTTGGTGAAAAAAACTCTCTGCACCCTGAACAGCCCAGCTGTAATGCTTCAGTGCCTCCCGAGCTTGGAGAAGCTTGTCCTGGAAAACCAAAAAATATATATATTATTATTATTAGAAATCGTAAAAACAACATTCATAGTTTTACTAAACTAATTCACAAATTAAATAAAAAAAAAATGGTATATTTTAATGTATCAGTGTTTCCTTCAAATCTGAGATGTAAGTTGTGAATGTGAGTTCACTGTGTTATTTTTTCATCATCAGATTGAATATAGACTATGTACCATGATATTTATGGCAAGAAATGTCTTTCAAATTAGTTTTTGTTGAGGACTGCATGCAAAAACAGACATGACCAGTATAGTCTAGTTAAAAAAAAAAAGGGAATGCCGTGTAGTCTCTACCAGCCGTTTGTTGTCCTTAAAAAAACAATTTCTTTAAAAGAAAATATCTCCATTTGCTTTGAACTTTGAGCGTTGTAACTTTGCAGATGTTGTTTATGCTCAAACAGCAAAATTACACACTAACTAAAGTTAGAAAAGTGAAATCCTAATCAACCACCCCTTTAATATAACTCCGATTGTGTTCGTCTGAAAGAAAAAAGTCATATACAACTAGGATGGTTTGGGGGTGAGTAAATCATGGGATCCTTTTTTTATTTTTGGGTGAACTATCCCTTTAAGATGCAGCCCTACTAGAAATTCTTCAAAATAACAATGCTGTCACATGCATATTTGAAGAAAACTACAACGGTTACAAAAGCAGCATTCTATTGGTCAAGTAGACATGGGGATAGTCATTTTAACATGCATGGTCACGTGGAACTTACCATGTGCACAGTGCAATCATTAAGAGTTCTCTGGCCAAGATCAACTGTCATCTGGTAGCTTTCAGCCTCTTCTCCTTTCCTGCAGCCCTCCAACATTTGAATCACTGACTCAACGGTCTGGACAAGTGTCCAGTGCTTTCTCAGCTCTGCATCAATAGTCTTATTATCTGGCTCCATGCAGATGGTCTTCTTCAGCTGCTGCCTAACACTGTTGAAGAGCTCAGAGAGTGGACTGAGGTCTGTGGGACTGCCAAGTCGCTCCACCAGAGAGCACTGGAGGGTTTTAGCCTCGTTTTTGACTGTGAGCTCCCAAGAAGCTAGCTGCTCAATGACCAAACAAATCTTTTGCCTTTCTGCTGTCAGCTGGGATGGATAAAGATCTTTTGAAATGGCCTCCAGGTGGTCAGCGGCCTCTTGACATATTATTCTCACCAGAGGCAGCTCCACTAGGACAGCCTGACAGACACAGAGCCTAACGTCAGTTCCTACACGTGAGTCTACAATATGCGACAAGCTCTTCTTTACTGCCTCTCTGGAGTTCTCCATGTGCTGCCTTGAAGTGAAGTACTCCTCATGCTCTTTGGCTTGCTGCTCCAGCAGATGTATTCTCCTCTGTAGATCTAGTACAGCATGGACCATCTCTTTCCTCCGAGTTTCTGGGCAGTGTGGAATTTCCTGCACCTTGCACAGGAGCTCCATCAGCATGTGCTTAGCGGATTCAAGAGCCGAGAGCGAGTCTCTTGTTACGGGATACCTCTGCCTCATGACATCAGCACTCAACTGTCTCAAGCTCTTCTGAATGACGTTATGTTCTTCAGCAGATGATTCCTGAGAATGAAGGAGCTCTTCAAACACCCAGCACGAGGCCCACTTACGGTTCACAACTCTAGAGACTTCTTCTTGTAAGGCTGTAAGCCTGTTGATAAGCTGAAAGCTTTCGGGTACACTCAAAACGTTATTCATAGTCTTGGTTTCATCTAACAAAGACTCCAAGTTTTTTGCTTGTCTCTCAGCATTCTTCAAAGCCTCAGTGGACACCTGAAGCTGAACCCTCAATTCTGGGATTGTAATTTTAGGTTCAGAGGCCAACGGTTTACCAGACTCTTTTTCCAATACTGAGGTCAACCAAGAGCTGCTGTCAGTGATCTGTTTCCACAGTCTTTCTCTAATATGTAACATTCTGTTCATTTCCACAACTGCACATTCAGTCTTCTCAGAAATCTTAACATACAAATCCTCTAAGGAATCGAGGGTGGGCAACATGGCTTTGGAATCCTTCTCGTCAAGACCTATAACTTCCTCTCTAAGCTCTTTCAAAACAGAGGCCAACTGAAACCTCTTAAGAGATGTTTCAGACTGCAGTTTCTTCATGTGGTTGACCTCGTGACTTGCCTCTTCAGGGTACAGGGACATCCTCCTTCTCCTACTGATTTTGCTTTCCGTTCGTTTAGCCCATGTAAAATAGTCACTGATGATCCTAATGGTCGGTGAAAAATCATTGCCATTTGAAGTCTGAGAGCTGAGCTTCTCCTGAGTCAGAGCAAGTTGAGAATTCAGACCCTGCACCGCATCCTCCATATCTCTAAGCTCTTTCTTTCCCAGCGGACTTGAGGAAAGAGCCTGAGAGACCTCAACAATGTAGGAATAGCGCTCAGTCAACACTGCCAGGTCTGCAGTTCTGACTGTCTCATGTAGTGCACTTTGCCAGTCTATCGGTCTGGGAGATCTGTGCGAAAGACAAACTGACTTCTCCAGAAGATCCAGTTCACGTTGCAGCTCTCTGGCCTCTTGCAGGAGTCCAGAAACTTCCGCTGTGCAGACATTAGCGTGCCACAGACTCTTGGAAGCAGCCCACTCCACAGTCCGCCATCTCTCCTGTAAAGTCCTAAAAGGTTCAATGCAGGCCACAGGTCCCTCTGCCTCATCCAGATGGGCTGAGATTTGAGAGCATGTCTGTAGAAGCTCTTCAAGTATGCCTCTCTTCTTCTGCATGCTCTTAAGGAATGCACTCAGCTTCTCTGCTTGCAGGGTGCTGCTTTCAATGCAATCTCTTCAAAATGGTGAGAGAAATGGGGATTACTTTTCATTGTCTATACTACCAGTACAGGTTTAGACACACCTACTTGTAATGACTATTCTCTAAATTTTAGAGTAAGAGTAAAGTCATCAATGAATAACAGGTATAGGAAAAAGTGTGTCAACATGAAATCTTAAAACATGTCATTTTATCTTTACTTTCTTATATTTTACTGTTTCAGTCAGAATATTTATTCAATTACAAATCATTTACTCCCAGTTGATCAGTAAAATACAGCATGAACACTATAGCCCTATCTGGACAGGACAGGACTAGGACTAAATTTGTGACCTATGGAAGTCAATGGCTACAGTTTGGTTACAAACATTCTTTAAAATATCTCCTTTTGTGTTCAACTGAAGAAAGAAACTCATACAGGTTTGGAACAACATAAAGGTGAGTAAATGATGAGAACATTTTCATGTTCTATGTTGAAGATGAATTCACAAAAACACACGCACACGCGCGCACACACACACACACACAAAAATGTCAAAAAGGATACTCACAGTGTCAGTGTGCTGAGTTCAACCTCCAGGTTGTGTAGAGTATCCGTGAGAACACGTTTTTGTTTGTGATACTGTGTGACCTGCTGTAGCTGTGCCTTTTTAAATTCTGCCATTGTTGAGGTATCCAGCAGTACTCTGTTCCAACTCCTCTCTATGCTCTGCTCAGGCTCTGTAAAGCATCCTGCACCAGATTCATTCCGAGGCAGTCTGGCCACCTGATCCATGACACATTGCCGGCAGATCTATGCATGGATGTAATGTCATAATGTTTGTTAGTTTTATTTTAAATATTTATAGTTTGAAAGTTTGATTTGCGAGCCAGTTTTGCATGCATAAGTATCACGGCTCAATGTGTCAGAATATCTGTGCTAACTATTAGGCCACAGAACCAAGTGATTCTTGTAGAGTGGGGTCCAAAAGTCCACTAATGACAATGCTTATACTTTGCATTTTTATAATGCAATACAACATTTTTCCATTACAAATTATATTATCAACATCATAATATGAAAGTACTGTACATTAATTTCAAAAGGTTTTAGTATTTGGTTTGTCCCTTTTGCTTTACAGCAGCACTCGAGCTGCATGATGTAAAACCTGATGTTAATGTTCTCCAGCATGACTTGAAATGATCCAAATATCATCTTGAGCTTTAAAAGAAGCAAAAACATCTGACCTTTTGAGTTGACATGATCAGTGCCTCAAATCTGATTTTATGTGACTTGAAAAATCTGATTTTAAAGTCATATGTTTTGTCATCAGACATCTCCTGAAGGTAGTAAGGGATTGTTTGGGCTGTTTTTAGGTTAGCTCTTCATGACTACTGACATCTTTTACTGTCAACAGCTGTTCACAGCTGGAGGTTTTGGAGAAACCACTCCAATGAAGTAATGTACTGTACCTCGGCTTCTTCTAGCTGAAGAGTCATATGTGCAATGCTGAGTTGGGCCGGTCGGTACCGGCATCTGAAAACCTGCAGGACAGTCCATGCCAAACTGTTCTCAGACTCTGAGAGTAATGAGTTCCGAAACCAGGAATCCTTCCATGGTCTAGTTTCCTGTAAAAAATAAAAGTATTAAAATTTGAAACTAAATTGAGACATTTAAAATGCAGACAGAGAAAATGGTACAGTTCTAAGCAGCACAGAGCAAAGCAAATCCTTCCTTCCTGTGCAATTTCCTCCCAGCCTTGAGGGAATATAGGGTCTTCAAGTCAAAGACCAAAACGAGTTGATTAACTGATAACAGTCAGTTGTATTTGAGAAAAAAAAAGTATTTCTTGGTTTCACCTTAACAGAAACAGAAATGAAAACTGGATTTTTCATGCATTCTTTATCTGTTAAAATCCCAAAGTTTCTTAAGTTCTTCAAGTTGTTCCTTAAACAATTTAGAACAAAACTATAATGTGTTAACATACGTACCTCAGAACTGTGACTGGTCACCAGAGGTGGCTGAATATTAGTGATGGTGTTCAGTAAAGTGGCCCACACATGTGTCCCTGTAGGCTGCTCCGCATGGCTCGTTTTATCCTTGCTGGCTGCTCCTGATCCTCTGTTTTCGGATGATTTGTTCCTGCTAGATGGATCTGAATTGGCTCTGTGCATTTCTTCATACTACAATAAGGAAAAAGTATCATAGTTCATATTTCAGGGCAAAAGTTCACCACAACACCGCTTTGCACCTGCTGTCAGAGCTCGTTTAAAAGAGAAACACAGTTCTGTTCCTTAAGTCACAATTTCAGAAAAACAAGGAATGCTGCCCCATTGGGAAATGAGTATTTCCTCTAAAAGGCGTGGTGTGCCTTCAGGGCTAAAACAGACTTAGGAGAAGCAGTACTGCAAGACCTAATGCCAACAACATGTAGTTGGTAAAAGGGAGCCAAGTTCTTGCTCATTGAAAAAATTGTATCGTAAGACAACTTCTATATGAAATCAAATAGATAAAAAATATGCATACGTGCCACAATATAACCATGATAAAGGGTAGAGGGTGATATCTGTTAGAATGCCAACACATGGAATGATGTATGAATAATGCAACAACATGCAAAGGTGGCCTATGGAAAATCAATCAAATGAATAATATAAAAAATAAATAATAATAATAATAATAATAATAATAAATAAATGGCAAAAAGCATTTGTTAATATATATTATAAAATGTATTAAATACATATAACTTTTAATGAAAATGGTTTTTGCCATTGCAGCTCATCAATTACACCAACATATAAGAGGTAAGGATATAAATAGAGTTCACCATTGTTGAACAAACGGCTTTGAGTGCACATAAAATTGCACAATGAATTCCAGCATTTCACACAGCTTGGAATAATGATTGCACATTCAGATAATGTAAGATCTTTCAGATTATTTTTTGAAACCATGGCTAGCCATCCTACATATTCCAATAGGAGAAAATACATTTCATTTTCTCAGAGTGAATTATGGAGCTTTTAAAATCCTTTCTCTTATCCTTTCAATGATTTTCATTCTCTGATATTCTTTAACAAATGACTTCTTGAAATGATCTGTAAATGGTGCAAAATGTAAAATGAAAGGCATCAATTGAACTTGAAAAGAAATAATTTTTGCAGTAAAATCACTGTAGGTTCACAACTTCTGTGTTATACAGCTATAACAAATGGCGTTCTTCTGAATCCTGTTAAACAATAAGGTTAAAAAGGTTTTGAATGAACACATTAAAAGTGCTTGAAAAGCATTTCATTCAGGTGCTGAACATGACCACCAAGATTTTTGGGAGTGATGTCACATTTTTATAAGAACACATCCATGTGAATCTTACCTGCAAAGGGAAACTGCCATCTGAATCATCTGTCCTCTCAGCTTCAGCATGGTGAAGCTGTGACTTTGATGGCACTGCAGTAAGGATTTGTGTAATACATTCAGCTCTCATAACGGGTGAAGCATCTGTTAGCATTGTTTCTGAGTCTTCTGTATGTGCTGACTCTACAGTCTCCATTGCGGCTAAGACCACACTACCTGTGGCTTCTCCGTCAAGTGAGATGCTAACGGTCTCAAATTGTTCATCCTTAGTCTCAGTTTTTCGAAGATTCAAGGTCTCTGGCTGCACAGCGTCCACAACTTTTGTTAGTTTGTCTTCTGTACTAAATGGCTTTGCAGTATTTGGGTGACTACAGTCTGAAGACACAGTCAGTGAAGTATCTGTGATGTCCAGCAGCCTGACCTCAGAAGTTTGAAGGTTTTCTGAGTCAGTTTTATTCTTCTGTTCAGATCTAGATGTCTTCAGCATTTTACTACTGATATTGCTTGCTTGTTTCACACCAGCTGATTTCCTGTTCTTCTTCCTACCTTTAGCAACATTCGGAGGCTTTTTAAGTATGTTTGCTTCATTTGAGGGCTCTACAAATTTGTTTTTCTTATCCTCATCATGACTCTCCAACATTGTGACATCCTGCTGATGAACTACAGAGCCCAAATCATTGCCTTCTCCAGTGTGGAAATCCATTTGGCTTGATGTTTCTGCTTCTATGATTTCATGTTGCTTCTCTTTCTCACCTTTTTGAATGTAAATCTCCATGATCTCATGGGTTTTGGGCTGGATTACTTCCTTCTGTCCTGGCTTTAGCTCAGAACTACTTGATTTCACATTGTCCTTCTCTGAAAGGCCTCCTTTAGCATCTTGGCCTTCAGGTTTCCTCTGTTGATTTTTTACCTCTGTCTGGGAGAATTTATCCATGGACGAGTCTTCAGGGCCCGATACATTATCACCAGACAGTAACTGACACCTGTCTGATGATAATGTAGGAGAATCAACATCGAGGATGATGGTAAATACTTTCTTTGCATTTCCAGAGCTTGCATGATGGTTCTCTGGGTATGAAACCATTGGGAAAAATGCTTGAGTAGATGAGTTCTTCTCAGGTTTAGGCCTGGAATCAAGGTCTGGAGTAGAATGGGTGGGTTCAACATTATCAGTGTAATGGTTTTCATTAAACTGCACTTCTGATGTGGAATGAAAACGAAAAGGCTCATCAGAAGAGCATATTACAGCATGTTTTTCATCTACATCAACATTTGGTTTGGCTTCCAAGAGTTTCAAACCATCATCTGATCTCTCTAAGTTCCTATCATGAACAACTGAAACAGTATCCCATTTAGTTGTAGAAGCTGGGATAGCTTGTGCCTCTGGGCTCTGGTTGGGTTTGGTAAGATCAGAGTCCAGCACTATGGTAAAGACTAGCTTTTGGCTTCCACAAGATGAGCCATGGGAGGATTTACTGTCATCTTCTCTTATTACAGATCCAGTTTCACCCCTCTCTTCAGATCTAGACATGGACTGCTGATCATCTGTGTCATGGCCTGGTGGGAGGTTCTCAACATCTGCAGTTGCTTGTTGTGTTGAGAAAGATAAACATGATGTATCCTCTGTTCCACTGACTTCCTTTGTGGGCATCTTTACATTCATTAGATACAATTCATCCACTACATTGCCAGTGGCAACCTGCAAAACAAGGAAATGAACTGCTATGACTCAAGAACATAACATAATTCAGCAATATACAGTACTGTATGTGTGTTTTTTTTAATAATCTATAATGAATGCTGCATCCTTCGATCAGCCCTGTTTTCAATAGTCTAAATCAGGTAAGTTCAACACTGGTCTCAGAAGATCTTTCAATTCAGTGCTACAGAAGAAGAAAACCATACATATTTGTACTGACAATGAGGGTAAGTAAACGATGACAGAAATTTTCCTTTTACGCAGAACTATCCTTTTAAGACATAATTTATTTAACTTATGGGCTTTCCTATTTCATTTTAAGATTTACACTACCATTACAAAGTTTTGGCTCAAAAATGAAATACTTTTAATTATTTAATTACAAAAATATATATTAGCAAGAAGACTTGAATTGATCAAAAGTGACAGTAAAGACATTTATATTGTTACAAAAGATTTATATTTCAAATAAATTGTTCTTTTGAACTTTCTATTTATCAAAGAATCCTGAAAAGTTTTACACAAAAATGTTAAGCATTTAATCTGTTTTTAGTATTTATAGTAATAAAAAAATATTTATTGAACACCAAATCTGCATATTGGAATGATTTCTGAAGGATCATGTTACAATGAAGACAAGTAATGATACTGAACATTCAGCTCTGCCATCACAGGAATGTATTATATCTTAAAATATATTAAAATACAAAACAGTCATTTGAAATTGTAATATTACTTTTGAACTGTTTTGATCAAATAAATGCAGCCTTGGTGAGCATAACAGTTTTTAAACTATTTTTAAACCTGTTTTGAGAAACCATGAGGCAGATCACAATAATGGTGATAATGCAGTCTAAAGATAAGCTGTGACATCAGAAAAGCAGAGCAAAACAAGGATTTTTTTACAAAACAGAAAGTAAAAAACAAGCACTTAAAAGCAATGAGGTGGCGTCCTACATTAATGGCCTAGAGTCAGTACAGAGCGGGCACTCCATTTAACACACTTATCCTGTGCCCACACCACAGTAGTACACTCAATGACTTTACTCCTGCTGACCCCAAAGCCAGACCCACAAAGAAAAACAAAAACAAATGTACGCCTGTCAAGGAATAATCACAGGCATATTTTTCTCTTTTAATTTTAATTTCTGTAATCACTTACTCATCCTCATGTCGTTCCAAACTTGTATGGTTTTCTTTCTTCTGCAGAGCACAAAAAGATATTTTGAAAAATGTGTTTTTTGTACATACAATGATGAAAGTCAGTGGGGTCCAATGCTTTTTTTGGAGCACACTTACATTCATTGTATGGACAAAAAAGTTGAAACATTCTTCAAAATATCTTCTTTTGTTTTCTGCAGAAGAAAGATATTCATACAGGTTTGGGACGATATAAATAAGGCAACTGATAATTATACTCGAAAAGAAATATACCATTACTGCTTGTAACTTTTTTTTTTTTTTAAATCCTGTGCAAAAGTGACATAACACTAACCTGAACTGAATGGAGTTCCTCTGTGGATACTCCAGGCTGCTGAGGCTCATTGCATTGTATAGAGCTCTGAACTGGATCAGAGTCCCCTTCCCAAGTCCTCAGGGCTGATGCCTTTCCTAACAGAGTCTGAAGGTCCTGGGAGACAGCAGCCTGACCCTCTGGAGTACAGCCTGTCTGCAGGACTTCCGACAGTATCTTAACCTCCAGAAGGCTTCTTTCCACTTGCTCTACAGCCTACCAAGAATTCACCAAGTTAGTCTTATTACATTAGACGTCTGGACTAATCAATTAGTAGACTAAAACTGATTAAATACTGAAAAGTAAAATAACGAAAAAAAAGGTACAAAAAATAAATATATATATATATATATATATATATATATATATATAGTCTGTGAGCTATGTTGCTGACTAAAACAAAAAAAAATTGCTGACAAATTTTTTTTGTCAAAAATAAAATCAAGCAAATAGAAATCAAGTCTCTGTAGCCCAGATAATGTCAGCTGTTCAAAAATAAATTTCCTTTAGTGCGTCAGATGTTCCTTTTACTATATGACAAACTAAAATGGAATTTGAATTGCTGTTAACAGTCAGTGCATAACTCTTACTAAAGTAGTTACTAAGAAACAAAGTTCTCAAAACAAAACATGTTCCCAATAAAACTGCTTTGTATTTCAGTTCAGGCCACTTTAAAGACGCAGACCCTTAGAGAACAAACAGACAAAAGACAAGAAAATTACCTGTACAGCTGTGAGTCTCTCCTCAAGTGTGACCTGTCTGTTTTCATCCTCAGAAATCTGAAATTCCCCCTTGAGATACAGTTCACTGGCCCAGCTGCAGGCCTGATCTTGTGCCTTCCCTCCATGTTTCTGTTCCTCTGTTTTACCATTAGATTCAGACTGTAACTCAGGTGCAGTATATTCAGTTTTTTTAATCTGAGGTTTGATGTGCTTAGGGTCTTGGACCATCTGATTTTCAGGCCTGTTGGGGTTCATTGCTTGCTCTCTCTTCTCTATGACCAGCTCTCTGGCCGTACAGATGCTTTCTTGAAGGTGAGCTCCATCTTCAGCCAGTGCCTGGAGGTTTTCTAGACCTGCAATGCTGGCCAGAAGATCTATCTGCTGTAGTAACGCATCTGCTTGCTCGGTCTCCGTTTGCAGCTGCTCCAATAAGCTCTGTCAGTTGAAATGGTTACATTAAAGGATTAGCACATTAAAAAAAATTGGAGTAAACTACTGATTGAAAGTTTGAACTCAAGTCGTTCCGAACTTTCGTTCATCTATGCTGGAACACAAATGAAGATCTTTTTGATGAAATCAGTGATCTTTCTGTCCCCTCCATTGTCAGCTGCGCAATTACCACTGCGCAAGAACCAATGAAGGTTGTTCTTTTGCATCAAGCAGGTTCGGTTGAGCTTTTCACTGATCAATGTTTATATGTGAATAAAAGCCTGTGAAATTAAAATTTTCATCATGAAAAGCGATAGTGTCTCTTCCGAAAATCTGGACTAAACCGCTCAATTCATCTGGATTAATATTAGAAATCTCTCATTGAGATTTCATTAAAAATATCTTCATTTGTGTTCCGAAAATGAACGAAAGTCTTACAGGTTTAGAACGACATGAGGATGAGTAAATGATGACAGAATTTTCTATTTGAACTAACCCTATAACATGTTTACTGGCACAAGTAAACCTGTCACTCACAAGACATCACAGCAATTGCAAAACACAACCATCCAATGGTCCAATCAATTCCCCATGGACAAAATCCTAAATTCTTTCTTGTTAAAGAAGGGTTTTCACTTGGATATACGTCATAACAGGGAAGAAAAGACTATCACAACTTCCATTTCATGTTGACTTTAAAATATAAACGTTCACCTGGATGATGTTGAGGGCATGTGGGCTTTCAGGTGTGGTCAGTGTGCTCAGAGCATTTGTAATAGTTTGGATGGAGGACAGGCGATCTGTGATATCAGACGCCACCTGGCCTTTGGCAACAACCAGCTGTCTGAAAACATCACTGGTCTCAGAAAAGAGCTCCATCACCTCTGCCATCTTCTTCCTCAGCTGGCTCTCAATCACCTAAAAATGAACAAGTGAATTTGATGAAATATGATGATGAGAGTTGATGAGCTATGATGGTGGTTAATACATGTGGAACTTGACACATTACAGCATTCTTAAATAAAAATGTCATTAAGTGAATAAATTAGCATTATGAAAGGATCCTGGTCTGTCCGAAAATCACCTGCAGCTCCAGTGGGAACTCATGACTCTGCAGCAGCTCCTGGATCTCTGAAGATCTGCGATGGAAATGTTCAATGTTCTCCTCTTGAACCTTCAACTCATCCTGTACAACATATAAATATAATATATAAAACATCACAAAAGGAGGGGCTGTACTAAAAGATACACAACTGTTCAAATGTTTGGGGTCAGTAAGATAAAGAAAAAATGTATTTCATGCTAATTAAGGCAAAATGATCTATTTTAAGAAAAATTATCTATTTTAATATAATTTAACATATAATTTATTCCTGTGATGCAAAGCTGAATTTTCAGCATCATTACTCTTCATTACATCATTACTCTTCAGTCTTCAGTGTCACATGATCCTTCAGAAATCATTATAATATGCGGATTTGGTGCTCAAGAAATATTTACCATCATCAGTGCTGAAAACAGTAAAAGTTTATTATTTTTTTGGAAACAGTTTCAGGATACTTTGATGAATAGAAAGTTCAAAAGAACAGCATTTATTTGAAATAGAAATATTTAACATTAAAAATGGCCTTATTGTCACGTTTAATGAATTTATTACATCCATGCTGAATAAAATTATTTATTTATTTTTAAAAATCCAAAATTTTTAAATGGTAGTGTAAATTTCACCATCATGTTTTCTTTTCCATAAATGTTCATTAGATGACAAGTTATAAGATAAAATGATACCTATTTTGTTTCATTTTTGACAAAGTAATTTCAAGTTCCATCTAAAATATTTAACATTGGTTTCAAATTCTAAAATAAGTGTATCTGAAAGTTATTCCTAAAATTGTTAGCGGACAGAGGTTTTACCTGCATTGCAGACACGTCAAGTTCTGTATGAAAGGGGTGTGTCTGAGCAAGTGTCATCAGATTTTGGGTGCTCCAGCCCTCTACCTCTCCAGCCAATAGAAGGAGTTTTTCCCAAAGAGAAAACCCAGCTTGAAGGTTGTCCAGATGACAGTCTGTTTTCTCAGTGACCTGAAATAAGAGCATTTGTAACAGGTTAATGCAAACACAGAATATTATTAGAGAGAAAGAGAGAGGACATGTGTGTGAAGAGATGACTCCTGCGAGGACTTCAGGTGAAGCAAACTCTGAATCAACATGCACCAATGCGAAATTTTCTATATTGTAATCATTATGTTCACAGCTTGTAATAATTACTTCAATTAGTTAATTGTTTTTGCCTAAAATTTATATATGATGTTAGCTAACTGAGTGATTTGTATATGGACTGTACATTTTTGAAATACATTACTAGGACAGTCACCTCTGATAACAGATAACTATAAGGCCCTGTATACACCTGGTATTAACATGCATTTTGGACGATTGGATCACAAGTGGACGCCGCTAAATACAGATGTAAGCGGGGTCTAAAACGTTTTGAGCTTGTCCACTTTTGACCACTTCCCGAGGTAGACGAAAACGCATTTCGACCGGATTGCTTTCGTAGTGTAAACGCTCATGTGGTTGAATGCGTTCGAACAGCCACAAAAGAGCCTACTCTACGCCTACTGACCTAATGCCTAAACATTATGGGAAGCGCGCTAGCCAGACATGATTTAAACTTTGTTGGCTAGAGACCCAAGTCTGGTTTAAAGATGAAAAAAGTACCAAGCACAATGTTCTCTCACCATTCATTATTTCTAACACACACTCACAGCGTCCGGCGTGGTCTTGCGGCTGTCAGAACAGAAACGAAAGCTGCTGTTCTCCGTGTGTTTTTCAGTCATCTACAGGTGCGTTCGAATGTAAATTGTTCATTAGATCGAAATATAAAAAAAAAACATACATTTACCCGGCCACAGACCGGAGAAGAAATCAGGACAAAAGTGATTGAAAGTGGACAAAAGATACGGATTAAAACACCAGGTGTAAACAGGTATGTGTCTGCTTCGTCTACTTGTGATCCAACCGACAAAAACTCATCTTAATACCAGGTGTCAACAGGGCCTAAATTGTAATGTAGACGCATGCATTTTCTGTAAAGCTGCTTTGAAACAATATGTATTGTGAAAATCACTATACAAATGTGAACTGAAATGAATTGAATATATATATATATATATATATATATATATTATTGAGGGCCCCTACATCAAGCCAGCGGTCCATGAGGGTGTCAGCCTCACTCTCAAATGGGGCATCTACACAATCAGGGATCTTTCTCATCAGAGACTGAAGCTGTCTGCACACAGCCCTGAACTCCTCCACCCCGTCCCCGAGACCACTGAGATCTGACTTTATACTGGTCACCTGGACACACACAAAATATATAAATTCATTTATACTACTAAATTCAACTAAATTATGTAGTTAATATTGCCATCTGCTGTCCACTAAGAATGGAAGCCCTGTACCCAGGATTTTCCAAAAGCCCTGTACCTTGCTGATCAGGAGCTGTAGCTTGTCTTTGCCCATGTAGTAGGCCTGATCACAGATAGTCTGCTCTGCTCTCTGTAAAGTGCTGCCCAATCGATTTCGGCAGCTCTGGAACTTCTTAAGTAGTTCAGACAGAGAGACACATTGCTCAAGACTGAAATAGAAGCATGAAACAAATGTGTCCAGTTAGCAATATGGTCTAATTCCATCAGCGTAACATCATTTAACAAAGAGCTTTCCTATAATCACAGGCATTTCTCGCCACCTTTCTGTCACTGCTCTGTGTGCGTTTTCCCACTCCGCCTGCAGCTCGCTGAGGCCTGTGTCTGAGGTGCTTGTCTGTGCACATGTATCTCTCAGATCCTGAATCTCTGAGCGTAGTGCAACCAGTTTACTCTCCATGTCTGTCAGGAAGCGAAACCTGAGAAAGAGAGAGACACTGGTGAGACTGAGACTTATCATCTACTTTATTGTAATAAATTGATATATTATAAAAAAAAAAAAAAAAGTCATTTCACATTGTTTTACATTGATATTTTTGTAATTAATTGTCTTCATGTCTATATATTGTATTGATAGTTTATTTCAATTATATTGTAGATTATTTTAATATAGTATATTACAAATAACATAACTAGAACCTTGTTTTATTATTTGAGTATAAACTATGCTTTAAAATATTTTATGCAAAACAAAGAAAAAAGTCCTGATTTATTTTATTATTATATTGCATTTTATTTTATATCGTGTATTACAATAGTTAGTTTAATTAAGATAACTCCTTGTTTAACATAACAAATTCAATTAAATTAAATCAAAATGATTACTTTAGAAATATTGTGTAAAACAAAGAAAAAAAAGTACTGTTTTATTTTATTGCATTTTATTTTATATTTTATATTCTATATTGCAATTGTTATTTTATTTAACATGACTAGCACCTTTTTAAATTTAACTTAAATTTAAATTCAACTTAATTTAATAATTTTCACAATCTTGTATGCAAGTATGCAAAACATGAAAGAAAAAAAAAAATCAGAGAAACAGTCAAATTTTGAAGTATGTTCACCTGTGCTGTAGTGCAGGAAGTGTGGGATCCTTCAGCCCGTGTCTTTCCAGTGCCGCCAGTACCTCCCTCAGGGTGACCTGCAGGCCCATCCTCTTCCTGCCAAACACTCTCTGCTCTCCCTTTTTTCTTCCTTTCCCAACTCTGTCAGGTCGCCTCGGCCCTACAGCCATTTTAGTCTCAACTTCTTCTGCATGCAGAGCCAAAGATGACACCATCTCATGACAGCTGCCTGGTTTATCATTCAAAGTTACTCCCATACCGGCATCATCTAGCAGTCGGTCTAGCTGAACCGATTCCTCCCTGGCCTGTTGAAGGCTTTGCTGGATGGAGACTAAGCTGTAGCTGCGGTCTGAAGTGCTGTGAGCTGTAGTAAGGTCGTCATTCACCTGGTGGAGTTGGAAAAGGAGGTTCTCGAGGGCCACAAGTGCCGATTCACTCTTTCTCAGACATTGTCTTTGCTTCTCCAGGCATTTCGTGCGGTCGTGGAGAGTTTGCTGCAGGGGTAGGCGGGCTTGGGGCTCAATGTGACTCAGATCAGCAGCGTCACTAACTGAACCATCACTCTTAAGCAGAAACAGTTCTTTCTCAATACTTTCATCTAGACGCTGAACAAATAACAAAGAGGTCACAATGAGTTTGAACATGCAAATTTACATCAATCCATGTGAAGTACATTACACAAAGATTTCAAATGTCCTATTTTCTTAGGAAAGTCTAGCATTTTAGACATCTTTCACATGTGATGATGTGAACAGTAGATGTTCTACAATACATAACGTCAAATAAATCAGGGCATCTAAATGAAAGGATTTAAAATACACAACTACTTCTGAAAAATATATGTCAGCTGGAGGGGAGAAAAACATTTAGATATACAAGTGTCTGCAAGCATGAAAATTAATTTGTACCTTTAGGTCTTCATGTAGATTTCTGGCATCAGCAACTGCAAAGTTTCTAATATTCAGAGGTTTCTGACTGATCAGTTTGAGCTGATCAGAAATCAGTCTGATCTGTATGTCAGTTGACTCCAGCAGCTTTACTGCAGTTTCAAGGGACTTCACCCTGAACAACATATAAAATAACATTATTATTGTGCCACTTATGGCTAACAGTATCTCTGTTCCACAACCTAGTGAGCTCCCTTGCAGTATCCCAATGTCCTCATAAGTGATAGATTTGGACCTGCTTTACATAGATAACAGCTCTGTAAGCCAGACAAATAGAGCACATGAGAGACCTAACAAATGATTTCAATAAATATGTATTATTTTTATTTACTGTAAACTATTTTTATTAATGCTTTTCAGAAATACATAGATAATGATAAGAAATGTTCCTTGGCTAATATAAGACATTTCTTTCAAAAACATTTAAAAAACCTTACCCCAAACTTTTGAACTGTAGTCTATGAGCCAGATTTACTAACAGCTTGCGCCAGCGCAAACCCTCTTTTGGCATTAAAAACTACTGTCAGGATTTACTAACGACTCACAGTATAAAAATTAGCACTGGAAAGGCATGTACACAGTTATTGTTGCGGCTGACCTTGCATATTGCATATGTATTTGTAGGAGTTTCCCTTTCAAACGCAAAATGTATGGGAGGAGAGTATCCAAATGAATCATGCAAGGTGATTTACTAAGGTTTGACCATAATTTACTGGCATTTGCGCCATTATTTACCGCCCGCAAAAAAAGCATGTCTTAAACCTAATTTGTGCTGCTCTGAGTAGATTGTGTTGGTCATTATGGAAATTATCCGGCAGGGTCTGTGTTCTTTAATTTGTCAGTAGATCAAGCGCACAACATTCCACTCCCATCGGCACATTTATGGGATTGCACTCTCGCTAATTTTCCCTGTTAGGAAATCTGGCCCTTAGAGGCTATTGGCCTTAGAATTTGGCCAAAAGAACAAATCTTAGCAGGCAGGATAATTTAGTTGTTTAATTTGAAACAAACCTAAACAGACTTCATATTGCAAAGCATCTGTAGGCAGGTCACCGGGTTTTGAAAGAGACCATGTACATATGTCTTACCTGGCCTGAATGCACATCTGTTGTCCCCTCCACTGTTGAATGAGCTGCGCTCTCTCCTGCTCCATGTTACAGCCATCCTCCATGTGCTGAGAGCTCTGGGAATACTGAAGCTCAAACTCACACCACAGAGCCTCCGTCTGGTCCTTCAGAGCCTAAATGAGCACACAGCCATTTGTATACAAAATGCACCCTATATGCAGGAAAGTGGTGCGTGAGACTTACCAGAAGGTGCTTGAGTTGACTTCTCAGTGAGTCAGCAAAGATACTGGTGCTGCTGCCGGGGCTGATGGGAAACTCTGATTCCAGCTGCTGACTGTTGTCAAGCAACTGCTGTTGGAGTACTGACTGTGCAGCACAGTAACTAGAAGAAAAAAAAACATGCATATATGATTAATTCAGCTACAAACGTGTACTCATGTTTAGCTTTTAGGTATTAGCTTTCACTACCAACATTATGATAATTGCATTGGATGGCTGTTTTCAGGTTTATCTGTGTATATTGTATCTGTCCCTATTCAAATAAACCATAAATAAATTAATATAAAATGCTTGTAAAGCAAAATTTATTTTTTTAAATAAAAAATGTGTTATTTATATAAAAAATATTTTAAATTAAATTATTTATTTACTTATTTCATTAAGTAATCATTATGAGCATTTTAAAATGTAGCAGCATATAAGCTACATATATATAAGGGTCCTAAGCCATTTCCATTGCCAAATATATATACTTCTTTAAACAACTTTAAGGCAGAGACTTGCATCAAAAGGGCTTACCTGCTCTTAGATTCAGTAACCCTCTCTTCCTGTGGTGAACAGGGGTGGATGATGGTTCTCTCTGGTATCTGTTTAATCTCCACAATGTTGGTCTGGACAACAGCCTGAAGGAGAACGACCACAGTGTCATTACAAGTACGGTCAAACGCCCCCAGAACAAGCAAATACACTCTTCAGCAGCCCTAACCAATCTCAGCAGATTAACTCCTCTGAGCTGTCCATGTGCTTAAGAAGGTCAACAACATCCAATCAGAGCTGAGAAGTTCTCACAAGGTTTAGCTCCATGTTTGGCTACAAGCAAACTCGACCATGCCAAGAAAACGTGCCATGTTAACACCAGGCAGATATAACGCTAAAACAGATGCTTTAGGTTCCGTTAGTGTAAAGTCATGTTGGTTTGAGTGACTGAGAAGAAAAAAATACTCTTAAAGAAATACTGCACTGATCAAAAAGAGATAAAACAGTCATGTCGCGCACACACAGACAACAACACATGAGCACGTGTACCTGTGAGTGGACGAGGCTTAGGTCATCTAGCAGTAAAGTCTCTCTCAGCGGGACACAATCCTTGACTGCTCCCCCCCTGCTGAGAACACACATGCACGTGTTCACTTAGCAGACTTTTATATAAAGCTAATTATAATTATAGTTTATATACATACTATGACTAAGTATGTACAGTACACAAACATAGAAATACTTAAGAGCCCACATTAGTTAGTGTAGTCTGGCTATAAGAAAGGCCAGAGTTTGAGGAAGACTACCTACACTACCGTTCAAATGTATGGGGTCGGTTGAATTTGTAAAAGAAGCCTCTTATGCTCACCAAGGCTGTGTATTAGATCAAAATTCAGCAAAAACAGTAATATTTTGAAATACGATTAGAATTTAAGATCACTATTTTAACATATTTTAAAATGCAAGTTATTCCTTTGATGACAAAGCTGAATTGTATGCAGCCATAACTTCAGTCTTTAGTGTCTCATGAGAAATCATTATAATATCCTGAGCTGGTGAAATGATCAATTCTGAAAATAAAGTTATGCAACTTAAATCTTTAGTAACATTATAAATGTATTTACTGTCACTTTAATAAATGTAATGCATTCTTGCTGAATTTCTTTTTAAATAAAATTCTTACTGAAATTTCATAACTTTTTTAACAAAAATTTGCATTAAATATAGAAAGTATTTTTTTTTCTAAAACATATACTGTACTAGAAAATATTTTTTTTATATAATATGACGACATTTAAAACTTGTCAGTATATAAAACCAAAATTTGCCCTCCATTTCTCACCTGTCTTGGCATGTGGAGTGTGTGTGGTGCTGAATGCTCTCCACTCTCTTTGTGTCTGTCCTCAGGTGGGCGGTGCTGCGAAGAACACTCTCTGCAGGCTGCAGACTCTCTTTAATTCTTCTCAAGGCTTCCAGATGCACTGAACGCTCAGATGCTCTGGCACATTCCTGAGGTTTGAACCCAGATCCTTCATTAATTAACTACTTCCAAACTCTTCCACAATAATGATATAATATATAATGATGATATATTAAAATGTACAATAAAATATATTTTTATCTATACAGATGGATTATAACGATAAATATAAAAAATTTGACTACAACTGTTGTCTGGTAGTGTACAAATACATTTCAGCTAATATGAGTTAATATTCTAGTATCAGATCTAGATCAGATCAAAGAGTCCTCTTTGTGGTGCATATATAATGGCCATTTCGAAAGAGTGCTGAAAAGGCTTGCTAACTTGACTAACTGGTTAGAGAACAAAGCAGGTAAAATTTGATTATATAGATGAAAGTAAAACATGTAACTGTCTATATCAACCTGTCCAAATATGCATGCAGTCAATTAATGATCCCTTTTACAACAAATCAATCCTTGATGATTCAACCATTATAAAATGAGACAGGTTTAAAAAAAAAAAAAACTGAATAAGGTTGAATAATTTGGATTTAATGCAGTTATGCTCACATGCAGAGGCATGTAGATTAAGGTATGTATTAGTTGCATGCACAGTATTACACTGCTTAAATAACATACACAAAGTACAGTTCATATTTATAGTAGTTCAAACAAAAGGATGTTGATTTAATCAATTACGCTGGGACAAGGTCACATAAGAGTTATGGTGGCATTGGCCACCCAGGAGAAGGGTCTGGCTGCAGACTTGCAAGTGATGGCACTGACAGAGGAGGTGCAGGTGACTGAGAGTGCAAGTCGGAAAGTGCAGGGGCAAGTCTGCAGCCAGATCCTATTGGCCACCCAGACTGCCGGCTGGTTCACCAAGTGTCAGAATATACCAATGGTTTGGAAATAAATAAACTACCCTTACCTCCCATTGGGCCCTGGCTGACTGAGACAAGAGGTCCATGTCTTTGAGCTGGGCAGCAGAGCAGAAATCCCCCATTCCTTTCACAGCTTCTAGAAACATCTCCAACACTGCAGGCCTCAGAAGACGTGATATTGCCTATAGAACAAAGACAGCAGCAGACATTAAGACATGTGTGAATGTGTTTTGGCCAACCATACGTTTTATTTTTTAAATCATTATTTGATTGCAAATAATTATTGGATTGAAAATTCACAAGATTTTGAAATGGTCTCACCTGTTTTTTCTTGGATTGTTTTTTAGATTTGTCTCTGGTACTGATTACAGTGATGACATCCTGTATGTGTTCATGCAGGTGCTGTTTGGCTTTATCCAGTCTGCTCCTGGCTAAAGCCTGAGCTCTGGCGTACACCTCATTTCGTACTGGGACATGAGGAACACCTGGAGCCTCTGATGGCTGTGGAAAGCTGTGACTTTTGGCTAGAACCATTTGTCTCTGGTCTTGGGTTGTCACTGAGGTCTGACGTTGCCATTTTGTTGGTGAACAAAGGTGCTGTTTGATTGGTGTTCGTAGTTGAGTCACTGTAACCGGTGTATCCAAACAAGTGCTTGGACAGGGTAAAGGTGAGGATGGAGACTGGGTTTGTGATGGCTCATTGGGCTGGGGAAAGCTGAGGCTTCTGGCTAGAACCCTTTCTCTTTTGTGTGGGGATGCCAAAGAGGTTTGAATAGCAGATGATTTAGGCAAAATGCTTTGGCTAAAATTAGCTAAAGATGGAGACCGGAGAATTTCTGATGGTTCAATGCCACTGGTTTGTCCCAAGTCCGTAGAGATAACTTGAAGGTCTGTTAATCCAAAGCCACTGGTTTGGCTTGAGTCTGTGGAGATAACCTGGAGAGTCCCTGATGGTCCAAAGCCACTGGTTTGGCTTGATTCCACAGAGATAACCTGGAAAGGGCTTGACGGTCCAAAGCCACTGGTTTGGCCTGATTCTACAGAGATAACCTGGAGAGGGCCTGAGGGTCCAAAGCCACTGGTTTGGCTTGAGTATGTAGAGATAACCTGAAAAGGGCCTGACGGTCCATAGCTACTGGTTTGGCTTGATTCTACAGAGATAACCTGGAGAGGGCCTGATGGTCCAAAGCCACTGGTTTGGCTTGAGTCTGCAGAGATAACCTGGAGAGGGCCTGAGGGTCCAAAGCCACTGGTTTGGCTTGATTCTACAGAGATAACCTGGAGAGGGCCTGAGGGTCCAAAGCCACTGGTTTGGCTTGAGTCTGCAGAGATAACCTGGAGAGGGCCTGAGGGTCCAAAGCCACTGGTTTGGCTTGAGTCTGTAGAGATAACCTGGAAAGGGCCTGACGGTCCAAAGCCACTGGTTTGGCTTGATTCTACAGAGATAACCTGGAGAGGGCCTGATGGTCCAAAGCCACTGGTTTGGCTTGAGTCTGCAGAGATAACCTGGAGAGGGCCTGAGGGTCCAAAGCCACTGGTTTGGCTTGAGTCTGTAGAGATAACCTGGAAAGGGCCTGACGGTCCAAAGCCACTGGTTTGGCTTGATTCTACAGAGATAACCTGGAGAGGGCCTGATGGTCCAAAGCCACTGGTTTGGCTTGAGTCTGCAGAGATAACCTGGAGAGGGCCTGAGGTTCCAAAGCCACTGGTTTGGCTTGATTCTACAGAGATAACCTGGAGAGGGCCTGATGGTCCAAAGCCACTGGTTTGGCTTGAGTCTGCAGAGATAACCTGGAGAGGGCCTGAGGGTCCAAAGCCACTGGTTTGGCTTGAGTCTGTAGAGATAACCTGGAAAGCGCCTGACGGTCCAAAGCCACTGGTTTGGCTTGATTCTACAGAGATAACCTGGAGAGGGCCTGATGGTCCAAAGCCACTGGTTTGGCTTGAGTCTGCAGAGATAACCTGGAGAGGGCCTGAGGGTCCAAAGCCACTGGTTTGGCTTGAGTCTGTAGAGATAACCTGGAAAGGGCCTGACGGTCCAAAGCCACTGGTTTGGCTTGATTCTACAGAGATAACCTGGAGAGGGCCTGAGGGTCCAAAGCCACTGGTTTGGCTTGAGTCTGCAGAGATAACCTGGAGAGGGCCTGAGGGTCCAAAGCCACTGGTTTGGCTTGAGTCTGCAGAGATAACCTGGAGAGGGCCTGAGGGTCCAAAGCCACTGGTTTGGCTTGAGTCTGCAGAGATAACCTGGAGAGGGCCTGAGGGTCCAAAGCCACTGGTTTGGCTTGAGTCTGTAGAGATAACCTGGAAAGGGCCTGACGGTCCAAAGCCACTGGTTTGGCTTGATTCTACAGAGATAACCTGGAAAGGGCCTGAGGGTCCAAAGCCACTGGTTTGGCTTGACTTTACTGAGACAACTTGAAGGTTTGATGGTCCAAAGCTACTGGTTTGGCTCGAGTCTACAGAGATAAGATGAACTTCAGCCTGGGGTTTTATTTGAACCTTCCTGACAACAACAGATGAAAGCAAAGGCTGATTTAACTCTGCTTGCTGTACTTGGTATATATCTTTCCAATGGTCACTGGGAGATTTATCGTGAAGCTGAGGAAGAACCTGGGGATGTAAGCCACTGGTGGCTTCCAATTCTGACAGCAGCTGAGAGGAATGATGTTCTTGGTTTTGAGGTTCTACTGGGCTCTCTAGAGAAATTTTGCTGCTTTTTGAGAATGCCTGATCCGAATTGTCTAGAAAGGTTTCAGATTGGGATTCAAGCTGAGAATGTGCATGGACAAAAACCTTGGTAGCCAGCTGTTGATCTTCAGGCTGTTCTTCACGCTTCACTCCATGAGAACTGAGCATCTCAGTAACCTCCTAACAGACATAGAGGAAGTTGTGAGAATTTACGACATCATGATTTTAAACATTCCCTAACTGATAGTGGTCTGCAAAGAAACGCACCTGACAGTGAGAGACAGTCCTTTTCAGTCGGTCTTGTAGGGCTGATGTGCTAAGGTAAGGCAAGGAGGATTTATTTTGCACCGATGTCACAAGCACCTGCAGATCCTCACCTTCTGTCACTACCTGTCCTTCCAATTGTAGACCTCTGGAGATCAGTGCCTGCAATGGGAATCAAAAGAGACGACAAATGTGAAATCTCTGCTTTGATCAACCAAATGAACTCAAGAATTGTTGATTCTGCTCACTTTAGTCCTGAGATGTGGCCTCCAGTGGCCCCTATGCTGCCTTTCTTTTAGGAGCTGCCAGACCTCTTGGGCCTCTGAGCTCCAGTTTTCAAGCTCAGCCAGCCTGCCTTCGAGCAGAGAGGCCGCTCTCTGGAGTCCCTCGCACACCTGATCCACCCGGTTCAAAGTTTCAAATATCTGCACAGAAACATGTCCACAGATTTGCTCAGTTCCTAGTTTAAAAGAACTACTCTCATTACAGACACAGGGTGTTTTAAATGGATAGTTAATCCAAAATTATACATTCCGTCATTGTTTATCCGCCCTCAAGATGTTCCAAGTTAAGGGTGGAATTTACCCACCTTGACGATAACCAATATATTGCATTAATACTACAAATATATTAAAAATGTAAATAATCAACCACCAGTAATTATTTGGTTGACCTTCAACATAGAAGTCAGCATTCCACCTTAACTCTGGTTGCCACCCATCGAAAAATGAAAGAAAAAAAAGACGTTGAGTCAGTGTGTAGCTACTAATGTCGTACAAAATCCTGTCAGAGAAGATTCATTTTACTGATAGGTTTATTTTATTAATTTTTTTATTATTTACTTACAACATTTCTATAGATATTGCGATAATATTGTTTTCCTAATTCTTTTGGCCACGATAATCATTTAGTAAAAATCCAAATAAATGGACATGTCAGATGAACAGTTTTTTTGGAAAGACCGACTTAAAAAAAATGATTTGTTCGCTCAAAGACTCGATGAAGGTTCTTTAAAATGTTGTTTATGTGTTCAACAGGATAACTAAGGTCAAGTAAATAATGACAAAATCATTTTATTTTTGAGTGAACTATTTTGTTCATCTACAACACATCTAATATGTTTAACCTGAACACTGGACAGAATATTGCCTAACCTCTGGGAGAGTTTGTCTGAGTTTCTGAATAGTTTCCTCTTTGCAGTCTGGAGATGGAGATAAAGAGTGCAAATCAAACTGGGAAATCTTCTTAGTTATGCCCTGAGTAAAGGATAAAACAAGCATAAAAATTAAGAAAGACAAACAAAGCAATTAAGAAACATCTAGTATAACAGTGCGAACTGCATGAAGCACTACAGTATAGCTAGGACAGAAAGATCAGTATACCTGTAGTTTTTTCCTGTAAATACGTAGAGGAGCAGATGACACAGCCACAGTCTCTCTAAGCATCCAGCCAGCTTCCTGCATTAGGCCCTGAGCAGCTTGAACACCTAGGACTGCACAGATGGGCTGAGGGGCCACAGTCTGAAAACATGCCATTAAAAATAGCATAAGCCCTTCATTGTTAAACAAGAATATATATTTTAAAAATCCATAACCATAATCTTTTCAATGGTGTAGCATGTTAAAAGACAAAGAACAAAACGCATACACATTCTTTGATCAACAGTAAGGACAAATGATGAAACAGAACAGAATGCTCCTGTGTTTTTGAAACACAATAGACTAAAGTACCAGCTTGTCAGTGTATTACTCAAAGACAGTGAAAAATAGTTTGTAAAGATCCACCAACAAGTTGTGCAACTTACAGGATAAGAAAAGGCTGGGTCTTGGAGGTTTAAAGACAAAACTCTTTACTCAATCCAGTAGAACAAGTTTTAATTGAAAAATTGCCAGGATCCAAAATAACCTTTTTTGCCACACCTTCTTGCGAATGAATTTGCCTACGGAACAACCACTGGCTCTGCACCCCATACCTAAACTCACTACTTCAGACTTATGTGCCCTCCAGAAGCTTGCGTTCTGCAAGTGAATGATGCCTTGTGGTGCCATCACAAAGAGGCACTTTCATGGACCATTACCTTGACACTTCCCTGCTGGTGGAATAACCTGCCTATTCCACCCGAGTAGCTGAGGGGAGTCTTTAGCCATTTAAAAAAAAAACAGCTAAAGGCGCATCTTTACCATCAACATTTGACCCATTAATACTAACACTTTCTATTCTATTTCTATAACAACTTGGTACGTGTACTGTGCTAGACTATCTGGGACTTGTCAGAGCACTTACATACTGTTGCTCTTTTGTTGGTACAACTGCTTCTATTGTTCTCTTCAAGTCACTTTGTACAAAAGCGTTTGCTAAATGATTCAATATAAATGTAATTCACCAGCCATAAATATTTCTTACCAGCTATGAAATTTTATTTTGTATTATTTTTGTCCTTGACATTAAGATTATTTAGCTTTTTTTCTTAAATAATTGTGAGAAACAATGCAGCCCATTGTGTCATCATGTTTTGCAGCTGCTAATACAAAAATGTTTTGTTCTCATACTCAAATTATATTCTGAAATTGGTGTTGTAAAGTAAGAAAATCTTGTGAATAGTCATGTGACACTATGTGTATTAATTTTTTAACAGGCATCCTAGATAAACGCATGGTAAGCTTTCCACTGAAATGTTGGTGTCGAAGTTCATGTTGCGAGAGATAGTGTATTAATTATGTTGCAGTTTCTTATAAAAGTTACCAGAAACTGCTTTATTTCTTTGTCAAAGACAACTTTTACTCACATTTTGGTGCTTGGCAAGTGTTATTTTAGACCCTGCTGAAAACTAGAGGGGTCTGTCTTTACAAACTCACAAACTTGGTCCTTTTTATGAAGTCAGCCCACTGCATGTTGAGTCTGCGGAGCTCTTCAGTCAGAGAGTGGCTGGTGGAGGCGTCACTCATCTCAATGAGAAAGTTTCCCGCCTCGTTCAGCTGTGCTTGATGTGAACTCCACTCATTCAGGCTGGCGGAAAAATGCTTCTGCTGGATTATGAAAGAGATCACAAGATGAATGACAAATGAACCTCTGGAAAAAGCAACCATGAACAAAAATCATGCCCAAACCTAAGCTATCACCCTTATGACTTGAACCAAACAAACATCCTAACAAAGATAAATGCCATTTGCTTTAATATTTTGGTGTCTAATGAAAGGACATCAATACATTTTAAACGCAGCTTAGTTGTCTAAATATGTTTGTGGCCACTGTATACTTTTGATCTTTTTAATGACAAATGCTGTACCTCTTTCCCCTGAGCCTGTGATTGGCCCTCCTGCCCCAACCAGACCTGTAATAGATACAGGCAGTCTTTGTAGGACTCCCACGCAGCCAGCACACGCTCCATGGTGGATCTGACAACTTCTGCAGCTTCTGCACAGACACCTGTCTCACTATCAGCCTCTTTTACTTGCCTGTTTACCACAGGTGTATCATCTGCTGAAAAAGAAAGAGAAGAGAGGGCAAATCAGACATAAGCTACAAGAAGCAGCCAACGGCTTTCATTAAACCAAAGTATAACAGAACTTCCATCAACACAATCTTACCCAAAGCTGCTTTGCTTGTATAACTGACTGCTGTGTCCTTCAACTTATGAAGTGCTTCCTTCAACATCCACACCAGGCCTCGCTTGTCAACAGTGTCCTAATTGGACATATACACATTGCTTACAAGTTAAGGAATTAAAGAACATATAGTGCTGTAGGAGTGAGTCCTAAATCCGGAAACAATTGATCATTTTAGCATTTACGGTTCATTCAACCTGTCAGTGGGTTTTTTAATTGGATTTTGGTTAAATGCTTGAAAGGTCTGTGGTGAACACAAGCTCAAGATATTTCATCAACAACAACGAAATACATCCGTAATAGGCCGCTTGAGATTTTTTTAAAGCTTTTACATGCTTTGAAAAAGGCAGGTGCTAATAAGTGGCTAACTGGGACTATAGCGGTTGTCAGGGACATTAAACGTCATCAGGCGAACAGGAAAACTACTCTACTCACGAAGATTAAAAGAGATGTAGGAAGTTTAGTGGTGGTGATGTTTAAGTTGGGCAACTGGTGTAGTTATATTCTAACTTTAGCTTTTTACTTTTGTATTGTAACTGTATTTAGGCTTCAAAATACATAAAAAAAAAAAACTACTGAAGGAAACCCATAAATGGCCACATACATGCCAATCCTGTAGCAGAGAGTGCACAGACTCCTGGGAGCCGTAAGGTCCTCTCCACAAGCTCAGCTTAGACTTCAACTGTCCCAGTAGGTCAAGAACATAGTGCATCTGCTCTCTATATTGTAGCTTGATGCCGTGGTATTTGGCTGTCACTCTGGCACTGGTGAAACTAACCGAGAGAATAAGGAACATTAGCAAGGAACCTGGATTTCTGAAGAGGACAACAATGAGAAAAAATGAAGGATGGCCCTGCTGAAAAGACCTTCTTAGATAAGCAAACTGTGCTGGTTTGGTGCTAGTCTAGGGAGTCTTGAAGCTATTTAAGAAGCCTGATAGGGACACCAGAATCCCATGTTCAAAACATATGCTGGTCTTTTCAGCAGGGAGGACTAAATAGATTTTGTTTTCCAACCGTCTCTTGATTTCCTCTAGCTTCTCGATTGGAACTTGAGGACAGCCATTATCATCTGTGTTACGGTAGTGATGAAGGGTGTTCAAGTGCTGGCTTAATTCCTCAACCAAGACCTAAAGAAATAGAAAGCATAAAAACAGAGACACACATGTAATTCAGAAATACACATTGACGCATGATAATACATGGTAGCACACTGACCTTCAGCTGTTCTTGCTTGTGTCTGGCATCTCTGGCAGCAAGAACATGATCTTCTGTTCTCCCACTGTCTTCAGAGAGCACAGTCTCCATATGCTGGAGCCACCGACCCAATGTGTTCAGAGGGGCTGGCAAACCAACATCGAGCTCTGTTCTGTACTCTTGTAACTGGGAAGGAAGAAAAAAAGTTTGCAAAATAATCTGGCTGTATTTTTACTAGTCCCAACTCAAAAAATAAGTGATGCATATTATTTTTTCACACATATATATTACATTTTAAGAATATATTAGAATTATTTAATTTAGATCTAAATAATTTATTATTAACATTTATATTTATGCATTTAGCAGATGCCTTTTATCCAAACTATCAATGGAGAAACAAGTAATTCATCACAGACCCAACAATATTTATAGTACACAATGTCAAGTTTATTAGAAAGCTAGATTACTGTAGGTTGTCATGTTTATTTAATTTATTTAGAGTTTTAATTTATTTTTAATTTAATTTTTTAGGTTACTTTATTTAGGTTGTTACTTGTTATGTTTATTACATTATTCATCTTTAGTTTATGTTTAAAAGCAAATAAAGTCATACTACTATATGGTTTTTCCATGGCAGCTTTAAATTCATAAACTCTTTAGCAGGAAAAAATGGTGTATGGCGATTTGTTGGTTACTATCAGATCTGTCACAGTTTCAATATGTATTTGGAGACATATTTAATCATCAGAATTTACCTTCTCCTCCATTGTGTCCCAGGCCTTCCTCAGAGCCATTTGCTCCTCACTGGGTTTAGTGCAGCGTCTCATTGCACTAAGCACTGGAATAACTGGACGTCGCTGATCATAATAAGTTCCCACAAAGTTCTGAAATGCCTTGAATAAAAACAAAGTCACTCATTCACGGCTGTTCATAAGACTTGTGTTTTACATTAGGAAGTGATGATTTAACATTCAGCATACCTGATGCCTTTTAGCATATCCTTCCCCCCCTGTGGAGGCCCATGCCTCCAGTAATTCCTGATAGGCTCGCTGTAGCCAGCATTTCATCTCTCTGGCTTTTTGATTGGGTGAAGCCTGAGGGCAGGGCAAGGAAACAGAACCGAATCAGAGATTAATTGTCAAATCAGAAAACATGTTGAAACAAGTAAAGGCTGACTCTGGAATGATATTGAGGAGGAATTCACAAGCAATCCGTGACGCCTATACCTGGTGCAGTGGGGAGGCCAGTACAGCAGGAGTGAAGTATGTAGGGAGGATGACAGGAGAGAGGCATGTGGGAAAGAGCAGAGTTTGGAGCTGCATCCAACCAGGAGGGGGTGACAGAGTAAAAGGAAGCAAAGTTGGAGGGCCATAATAAAGGCCAGGGGTTTAGAAGGAGAGAGAAAGTGAATATATAAAGAAAGACAGACCAGCAAAAGCACAGATCTGGCTGGGAGATTCAGTTGGCCTCACCTCAAAACCATCATCAGCTAAGGGCAGATCATTGGAGTATTGCAGGAACTGAGCAATGTATGTCATGATGGACTTCTCATCAGGGTTACTGACATCAATGTCTGAGAAGAGATTTTAAAAGTGCATAAACTTTCAAAAACCATAAAGAAGCATTTAACTTTTTTAACATAAACACCATTCCAGGGATTTTTCAAACTTCTTAATATGATGATACCTACCTATATTTTTGGGGGGTGCTTTTATACAGTATTTATAATTAAGTAAATTATTAAAATATACACAGCTTTTCCAGAAGTGACTTTTTCTTGGAAATCACTTTTAAAATTAGTCGTTGAGAGGGTAAATTATTATTAAAAAAAATCTTGTTTTGTAGTTGCTTATTTTTTTATTATTTTTTTTTGTCTTATCTTGAATTTTAAGTCATATTGAGGCCACCTTAGAAGTGTGAACCACAGTATTACAATAAAAAAAACAATTGCTAAAAAAACAACAAAAAAACTTTTTTTTTTACTTAAACTTAAACTAGTGATGTGAATAGCTATCATATTAATAACATGACTTCTGACCAGTCTTTAGAAAGCAGAATGAAACTAAATACATACAAACATTTATTAAATTTAATCAATGCCTTTTTTCCCTTACAAATTTCTCACAGATCCACATGCATTCCCATTGCTGACTCCAGTTTGAAAATACAGACTTCACAGTAGACTATTAGCCAACAGCCTATGCAAAGTGTGGACTTGGATGTGGGCCCCAAGGACTGAGGGTGGCATTTGGGGCTGGGACAAACTGGGATGCTGCTAGTGCTAATAGTTTTCACCTTCTGGCTCAAGCAGTCTGGGAATTCCAAGCTCCTTCTCAGCAAGGTGAAATGCTTTCTCCAGGTTTTCCAGGTGGCTGCTGGTCTGGGCTTGGGAGAGATCCACCAGGTCAGGTCTAAGGGAGCAGAGGATGGCCAGGAACACTTCACCACTCTTCCAGCTGGACTTAAAGTCCCTCACACTGGCTGAGCAACCAACTCTGGGGAAAGAAAATATTTAGATAAACAATTGGAGTGGCCATCAAATAGACTAAGCAATTTGACCAAACTTTCAAAGTGCTTGAAATCATTAGCTAGATGAAGCTCACTTCTGGCACTGGTCCCGAACCCACAGGAGCAAAGCCTTCTTAGCAGACAGACGGAAGCGGTTGTGGAGCGGTGATGCTCCTCGAGGAACAGGACTACTGCCTGGAGACCCAGAAACAGAATCTAGACTGGACAGGGAGTCCAGGGAGGATGAACGGGATCCATACGAGAGAGTGCTGGCTAGCTCCTCTATCTGTAGTAATGAGGAGAAGAGAGCATGTTTAATACAGATGTATTGGCAAAAAGCAAAGAAGAAGATTTATTTTCAGGAAAACATTCACAGGAAGGCAACGAGGAAGGATCATCATTTCTGCAGTAGATTTTGGATCACTTTTTCATAAAAATATGCATATAATATACATCATCATTGATTTGTACAGTACCGTTCAAAAGTTTGGGGTCAGTAACATTTTATTTTATTAAACGAAATTGATACATTTATTCAGCAAGGACATATTAATTGATCAAAACAGTAAAGACATTTATAAATGTACAAAAGATTTCAATTTCAAATAAATGTTGTTCTTTTGAACTTTCTATTCGTCAAAGAATCCTGAAAAAATTATTACATTTTCCGAAAACATATTAAGCATCACAACCATTTTCAACATTGATAATAATAAGAAACGTTTCTTGAGCACCAAATCAGCATATTACAATGATTTCTGAAGGATCATGTGACACTGAAGACTGGAGTAATGATGCCGAAAATTCAGCTTTCCCATCACTGGAATAAACTACATTTAAGTGAAAGTGAAAGTAAAAGTGAAGTATGGTGTCCCATACTCAGAATTTGCTCTGCATTTCACCCATCCAAGTGCACACACACAGCAGTGAGTACTGAACACACACACACAGAGTGAACACACACATGGAGCAGTGGGCAGCCATTTTTTGCTGCGGCACCCAGGGAGCGACTGCCCCTGTACATGTCGACTGTACACAACTTTTTTTTAATGTGATATTTCTGTAATATTACTGTTTTACTGTATTTTTGATTAAATAAATGCATCGGTGAACATAAAGAGACTTCTTTCAAAAACATTTAAGAAATCTTACAAACCCCAAACTTCAGTGTATATAAAATATAATGACATACATTTTATAAAAAAAATGTCATACTGTGCACAACCTTAAACTAAAAGCACTATATGACTAAATAAAACCACTAAACTCATTCAAACCAGGTTCCCTGACATAAAAGAATCTTCTGAAGGATACATAATACTATATGTATGCGTCATTATTTTTATGTTCTTTTCTCGTCTGGAGGAATAAAAGCATCTGAAATCTCAAAAAGTACAGACCCTCTCTGAACTCAAATAAAGGACTTAAAGTAAACTTGAAAAAAAACAACTCAAGGCAAAGAAAGATGAATATATGTATATATGATATGCATGTTTTTGTAAAGACACATCGTCTCTTCATTGTTATACGCACATGACAATGCAGGATGATGGTCCATATCAGACCCAGAATGATGGAAGGTTTCCCCTCGATGATGTCTGGGATGTTTATGTTCACCAGCTTGATCTGAGAGAACATAAACGGCTGTTTATGCCATTTGTATTTAAATCTTAATGTCCAAACAGATGGAAAACCATCATCAGTCATGTGAGAATCACAAACACCCTCTTACAGATTTATTCTTCAAGAAGTTCAAAGCGGTCTCAACGTTGCCTCTCTGCTGAAACAAGCCATGACCCCGCTCGCGCTTCTACAAAGAAACAAACAAACTCCATTGTATGCTAATCGGGACTGCATGCAAAACATTTATATGATTCGCTGTAAATAAATACCTTCTTGGCTGAATCTCAGTGTTATGACAGTGATATTTAGCACTCACCATGCGTTGACCGCTCATCACCTCCAGTAGGTCAAGTAGTCGAGTCCCATCTCGAAGATCCGAGAACAGATCCTGGACAGCGGTTGGAGGGCTCCTCTGAAACACACATCAGCATTTTATCTGAAAGTGTTGATAGTGTTCACATGCCAATACATCGAGCATTTCTGAAGTCAAACTATGGTGGCAGAAGTAGAAAAATAATAAAATAAAGAGCAAGGATTACATTTTTTTTGTAGAAAACATATTTATATAATTTTTTTAATTAAATACTATTTATTTATTTATTATTTAATCAATTAATTTTAAATGGTTAGTATTTAAAAGTTGAAGTGTATAATATTTTCCATGTTAAAATATAATAATCCATAATAATTAATTCAGTATGACCGTTCTTTTGGCACTGTTTTGTTATGAATGCAAGTGCAAACTGGCTGACAACAGTGCTGATGCACCAAGAACCTTTGGAATATCTACTACTATCTTCTGTTGCAGAAGACTGATGTTAAACTCTAAAAAAGTAGCAGTTTGGGAATGAGTAATGAGTTAATCTGATGTAAAATGATGCAACAGTCTTTAGCTGCTCTGCTGATCACTGGAGATCTCCACAGGTTATCACTTGCAGGAGGTTTGGGGCACCTGTGTTTAAAAAGCGGCCAAGAGGCAATGGATGGGCTACATTGCTCATGTTACAGCCTGTTGAAGTGCACCGCTGCTGGGCGGGAAGCTATAAATAAATCAAGCTCCTTGCCATATGCAAAGCTCAAAGGCAGACGGAGCAGAAAAGACCTTCCGTACTGACCAGTGAGTCAGCGATTCAGCCACGGCCTCAGTTTAACCTGATAAGACTCCACAGTCATTAACGTAAGTTATGAGTTGTTCTTGGGTTTACCTTGGAGAGCTGTGCATTGATCCAGTTTGTGAACGTCCTCTTCTGAATCTGCTCCTGTTCCACTGTTAAAAAAAATATAATATCAGAAATGATTTATTCCTGGACCAAGCTCGCACATTGAAAAACAGTGTGTGTGTGTAGGAATCAGTACATCGGCATGACTAGAATAATACTTGCATGCAAAAATATGTACACATCTTGCCAGAGAACAGCTTTGGGGCTTTCTGGTTTATAGCACATCAAAAACCCAGCATGTCTTAATACATAACTATTTATAAGCAGAGAACATTGCATGACAACTGGAAACCTGGCTCGACTTACCGATCTCTGAGCCACCAACAGGCTTCACCTCAAACAAGGGTTTGAGAGAAACCATATTCCTTCGTTTCTCTATGAAATTTTCCTTCATTAAGTGTTTCCCTGAAGACGCTCAGTCGGCTCAACCACCCACCCATCAAAGTTGTATTTAATTTAAACTTCTTCCCATGCTATTAAAGGTAGACTGGCCCATTCCCTCAATATGATATAGATATAGATCAGATACGGGTAATTTTATATATGCTATTTGTGCAGAAGCAGTATGTCTTAAATGCTCACAGCAGCGTATCGGTGTATGCATTGGCAGTAGCGAGTTCCTGTACTTGCTCTGCAGCAGCAGAAATAATCTACATCAACAGCAATAATAATCAACAGCAGCAGCAGTGTAGCAGATCTATTTCACCAAGACCAAATACATTAACATTGTCATATCCATAACCTTTAAAAATCTTCAGAGAGTTGTCACCATGACATATGTAGATATAAGTGTAGGCCTATGTAGAATATTTTTATAAGTGCTTAGTTTTAGTGTTACTGAATGTGCTCTTGAATGAACTACTAGCTTTATAAATTAAAGAGGGTCATATAAAAAATATATATGGATTTAGTCTCAGAATTCAGAACTCATTCATAAAATCTGTTAGTTTGAACTAACTCAAACTGCTAACTTGTTGAAAGTAATGTGAGCTCATTTTTATTCAAATGACATAAGTGTCATCATTGCACTAAAGAGAGAAACGTGTGATTTCACTCAAACATGATTTCAGACAAACTGTCGACATAGCAAACATTCGGCTGCCTGGAAACCATGCCCCAGTGAGCAGAGACTGTCTGAACTAAATCGAGCAAACACTGCAATGGTTTTTATTGACAGAAATACTAACACACATGACACAAACAGCTGTTAAAGTGAAAAAGGAAATGGACAACAACATCAGGTTCAAATGTCTTCAAGGGGATTTTGCTTCATAAAACAGCTAGGCTACAGTTGAACTGAGGAAAGGTGTGGTAAATGAATAATCATTCAGAAAAAAATAATTAAAGAAGAAAATATACAAGCTTATTGTTCCCACAATTGATGCCTGAGGTGTTAAATATGAAAAGCTGTGAGTTTTCAGTGTGGGACTAACTGTTTGGCCAACCAATGGCAGACACGGAGAGTGTTCGGAAAAGAAAAAAAAACGGGTTTCATGGAGCAGAACTTACTTACTTTAACTGTAAAGTTAGTGTACACTCACCATAACGTTTACTCAAGATGGTAATCAACAGGTTTTAGAAAAAGGAAAACGAGTTACTTAAGGCCAATTCATACCGCACCGACAGACACGTTCATCTGGATTTGTCGGATCAGTGTGTTACCCCTGTCGGCTTTGCTGGCATTTGTCGGGGTTTGTTTTCACCCGACTGAACATGTTCAATCGCCGTTTGTCGGGTCTTGGAATGTCTGAGCAGTGTGATGCAAACTCTGATGTACTCTAATGTAAATCCTTTACAGGCATGAAAATACCCCAAACCTCATGAAAATCACATTCAAATCATATAGGCTACTACTATCATAATCATGTGTTTAATAGCTTCATGTTTCAAGCGTAGAAACATTTCTCTGGGAAGTGAAAACACAGACAGACAGCGCAGGAAGCTACTAACGATCATCAGATCACATAAATCATAATGAATAGAAATGATGATTCTGTCTAATAAATATTAAGCTTGAGTAAATTTATAAATATTGTGTATTTCACCAAGTATGCACACTTTTGGACTTAAAGCCCTAATGGGCTGTTCAGTGCAGCTATCTGAACACAAATAAACCGCAGTACACGTGACTGAATATGAATGCGTGTTGTTTTTCTATTCAAAATATCATAAGTTACCGATTGATTATTTTGCACTCCTGACATAAATTAAGAAATAATTGTCACTAAAACCGAATTTTATCATAAACAGTAGACAAATATTGATGCTGGAGTATTTAATCTTTCTAATGAAACCGTTTGTCCAGATCAACTGCAGTTGTTTCATTCTTACTGACCGCCAGAGGCAGTGTAAACACTGTGGATTATCGCAGGGCCAGCTAGATAGGTCGAGAGAATATACCAACAAAGTCACGTGGCGTGACGTATGCTGAGCCCTGGAGGGTTAAAAGCTACAGTAGCTCAGCACTCTACCTCTTTTGCTTTCTCGCCTGGTTGAGAGGTTGTATTTGGTTGAGTGATTATTCGCGCTGTTAAGTGCAGCTTATAAGAGCAGCGAGATTCGTCCTCACAAGCTGGGACTGCGGGTCTACGCCATTTCAAGGATTTGGATTAAATTAACAGCACTTGGTGAGTTTTGTTTTTATATTGCTTCGTCGGTAACACTCTGTGCCTCTTGGTGCAAACCAGTGGCTTGTGTTTTTCCGCGCCTATGAGTTAACAGTCTCCCGTTGACATATCTACTTAGAGTGTTTGTCCTCGAATCCATGTTACACCTTTTGTCCCTCGGTTCAATCCGCCGGCCATTTTAGACACTTTTTATCTTTTTCGTGAGATATTTGTTGGTATTACCTGTCGGTTCACCCGAGGTAACCGTTTTATTTTATTTTTATTATTTTTTCATCCCGCTTAACTTAACCTTTACGGTGCTATCCGAGGGTGTTATTAGCGAGAAACTATGGCTCACAGCTTGATCGCCACTGGTTTTCCACTGACTTGTAAGCTGTGCCCTTATAATCTTCTCCCTGACGACGGTCATGACATCTGCCTGTCGTGTTTGGGTATTCAACATCTGCTAAAGACTCTCCCTGACCCGTGCATGCACTGCAGCCTTTTACCTATGTCAGAACGACGGTTCCGTCTTGCCAAGTTAGACCCTAATTTAACAGTGAAACTTGGGCAGTTAGATGTAGCCCCTTCGCGCACTCGGAAGCGCAGGGCGTCGGTGGCAGCTGGTGCTCCCCTCCCAGCTAAGAAGGCCAAATCGCGAGGTGATGAACATTCACATGTTGAGAAAGGTTCACTTTCTATGATGGTGTCGGTGCTTTCTTCAGAGATGGCAGTGCTGAAATGTCTGCTTCACTCGCTTCAGGCTGTCACATCTACTACACCTGTGAGGATGACACAGGAGGATGAGAATGTTCAGAATCAGGGAGCTGGGGAAGAGTCTCTTGATTCCCCTTGTTTTTCTTTTTACGATCATGGGGATACTATGGATGTTGCTGCACACCATCACCTCAGGCTGTTTTCACTGGTTACCCAGCAGGGGAGGGATCTAGTGGGGGGGTCAGTTCAGTCGTCTGGACAAGCCAAGTCCTCCTCCGCTTATACTTTGGCTGTGCTTCGAATGGCAGCTGCTCATCTAGGACTTGATGAGTCACATGTCCAATCTGCCTAAGCGAATGTGTTTTTCAGACATACCACAGCTGCAACTTCTTTTGCCATGCCACCATGTAAGGATTTTGTGGCTGAATTCTCAAATGCTCTCACTGGTTCTGGTCCGCCTAAGCGGCGCTCAAAGATTGCTCGAACGCTAGCATCTATGGCTGAAGCAGATTCTATCGGGGTGGGTCGTGCTCCGGAAATAGAGCAGCCTGTGGCAGCTTTAGTGGTGTCTCCTGATGAGGCTCTACGAGGGAATGTGCGATGTGCCAGTGCGCAATGCGGTCATATGAATTCCTTGCAAAAAAAAAGGCATATGAGTCTGTAGCCTACATTACTCGAGCAGAAAACACAATCTGCCAGTTACTTCTTGCTGCCACCAGTACAGTGGAACCTGCAAATGCGGATCCCTCTATTTCACAATTTCTGCAAACTGTTCTGTTGGCAACAGGCCATGTGACCCGAGAGCTGGGTAGTCTTACAGCCACGCTTCTGGCAGCCTGCCGCCAAGTATGGCTTGCCCAAGCACGACTGCCGGAGGACTGTGAGAAAACCTTGAGAGATCTTCCTTTTGTTCCCGGGCATCTTTTTGGTCCAAATGTTCCGGAACTGTTGGAAAAGAGGGTAAAGCTGTCTGAAGCCACTCGTCAACTGACACAGGTGCAGCGTAACCCTACCTTCAGGATGCCAGCGGTTCAGACCCGACATCACTATGCCACATCGGAGCAACGTTTCCGCCGGCACGCTACACCTCAGACAGAGCCCCCTCAAAGACCTTGTGTTCCTGGAGATGCAAGAGTTTTTCGCCCACCTCCTCGACAGTTTCCGGGAGGACCCAGTCAGCGTCTCCCCGCGTCCACTAAAAAAATCGCACACATAAAGCCTGAGACAGTCAGGCCGGCGGTCAATCGTTTTTCCATAGATCAACTGGAGTACTGGAGATCCAACACAGCAGACCCGTGGGTGTTGGCGACTGAGCAGGGGATATACTCTACAGTTTCGACGCCGGCCTCCCAGATTTTCAATGATTGTTCCTACAATTGTCAGAGACGCAATTCGCGCAGTGGCTCTCTCTCTGGAAATTTGTTCACTGTTAGAGAAGGGAGCCATAGGAAAAGTTTATCCCTTCGTTCAGGGAGACGGGTTCTCTTCAACTTATTTTCTTGTTCCAAAGAAGGACGGTGGTTTCCGCCCAATTCTCGGTTTGAGGCTTCTGAATTTGTTCCTGAAGGTTCTTCCTTTTCGAATGCTGCGCACAGCCGATGTTCTTCGGTCTGTGACAGCAGACGATTGGTTTGTAAGTGTCGACCTGAAAGAAGCATTCTTTCATGTCCCAATTGCTGTAAATCACAGAAAGTTTCTGCGTTTCAGTTTCCTGAATCAAGCTTACCGGTTCAAAGTGCTACCCTTCAGCCTTTCCCTTGCTCCTCACATCTTCACAAGGTGTGTGAGCACAGCTCTGTCTGCTCTGTGGATGAGAGGTATGCATATTCTTCCTTATTTGGACGACTGGCTTCTCTGTGCCCCCACAGAGCGGCAGGCTGTACAAGACTCCAGACTGCTTTTGAGACATGTGCAGAAGCTGGGCTTTTCTGTGAACGAGAAAAAGAGCCGTCTGATTCCATCACAGACCACTACGTTCATAGGAATGACCCCAAATTCCTGCCTAATGTTTGCCTCCCTGTCTTTGACGAACATTCTGCAACTTTTGGCTGGCTTTCCCCCGGGTGTGTCTTTGCAGTACGAGGTGGTCCTACGACTGATAGGGATGTTAACAGCAGCTACAGTGGCGATCCCGCTGGGTTTACTCCACCTCAGACCACTCCAGTTATGGAACAACAGTTTGCGGCTAGATGCCACCAGACATCGCCATCGACTGGTTATAATTTCTCACCGTTGCATATATGCGTTGAGGCGGTGGAGACAGTTAGAGTTTCTGAAGGCAGGAGTGCCCCTGGGTGTTTGTTCCCTCTAGTTGGGAGTTGGTCACGACAGACGCTTCCCTCACAGGATGGGGGGCAACGTGGAATCGGAGGGGTATTTGCGGGCGCTGGACACCGATCCAGGCCACAGAACATATCAACCTGCAAAAACTAAGGGCAGTGTTCTTGGCTCTAAAGTACTTCATGTCGGTTCTGGCAGGCCGCCATGTTCTCGTTCGGTCAGACAATACCTCAACAGTGTTCCATCTGAACCACCAGGGCGGCACGAGATCCCGCAGGTCTCTACGGCTGACTCACGAGATCCTGACATGGTGTCAGCCACGACTCGCTTCACTGAGGGCAGCTCATATTCTAGGAGCGTGCAACCAGACAGCAGATCCTCTTTCCAGGGATCAAGTACATCCAGGAGAATGGAGGCTTTATTCAGATGTAGTGCAGGGGATCTGGCTATGATTTTGAAGAGCAGAAGGGGATCTTTTTGCTTCAGAGATGACCACCCAATGTCGCTTATGGTTCGCAAGGACAGAAGTGTCCAGCCCCCTGGGCCAGGATGCGCTGTCTCACAAATGACGGAACTGCCTGCTCTATGCGTTTTCACCTAACCCTCTGTTACGGGAGACGTTGCACAGGATCTCCCTGTGCAAGCACAGAGTGTTACTTGTGGCACCACGATGGCCAGCCAGACCGTGGTTTCCTTTGTTGCTGAGAATTCTGACAGGCAATCCATGGAAGCTTCCCCCCGGGAAGGACCTCCTCTCCCAGCTGGAGGCCAGTGTCTGGCACCCGGACCCGGCTTGTCTGCAGCTTTGGGTCTGGCCATTGGGTTAAATCCTTCCCTGGAGCATTGTGACCCTGCTGTTATTCACACCATCTCTAATGCTAGGGCTTCTTCCACACGACAGATTTATGCTTCCCGTTGGAAGCTTTTTTCTGCATGGTGTGAGGAACGGGGCTCGATCCTGCAACATGCGACATTCCGAGTATCTTAAGCTTTCTTCAACATTTACTGGAGGAAGGAAAAGCAGCTTCCACTTTGAAAGGGTACGTTGTAGCAATTTCTGCATATCATGTTCCAGTTGGTGGCTCTTCTCTTGGCTCGCACAGTCTTGACTGCAGTTTTCTTAAGGGCGCGCGCCGTCTGAACCCTGCTCGGAATCCTCATTTTCCCTGTGTGGGATTTGACACTCGTGCTTGCATTCCTGAACTCACCCAAGTTTGAGCCCTTGCAAAGCATTGACATTAAATGGTTGTCCTTGAAGACTTCTATTTTGTTAGCTATTGGTACTGTGAAACGAGTCAGTGAGTTGCACGCGTTGTCTGTTAGTGAACTGTGCATGTGTTGGTTACTGGATGACTCCGGGGTGGTTTTACGACCCAATCCTTCTTTTCTTCTGAAGGTCCTTCTTCCTCAGTGCATAAATCAGCACATTGAACTGGCCTCTTTTCAGACTTTTTCAGGGTCTGATTCAAGTGCCCAAACTTTTGTGTCCTGTTCAGGCCTTGAAGTGTTATGTGAACTCTACTGTTCAATTTAGACAGTCAGACCAGTTATTTGTCTGCCATGGTGGTGTGAAGAAAGGTGCTCCAGTGTCGAAGCAGAAGTTATCGAACTGGATAGTAGAGACCATTACGCTGGCTTACAAGGCAGCAGGAAGACCACTGCCCTGGAGACTAACTTGCCATTCCACTAGGGCCATCTTATCTTCATGGGCTGTCTTTAGAGGAGTTTCCTTGGTGGATTTCTGCACTTCTGCTACCTGGGCTTCTCTATGCACGTTTGCCCGGTTTTATAAGGTCAACGTTGCTGCTCATCATGCCGTTAGTTCTGCGGTTCTTCTGGAGCAGCCTTAATTTTATGAGGTGGGTGGCATTCCTCATGACTATGTTGGTATGTGTCATCCATAGTGTTTACACTGCCTCTGGCGGTCAGTAAGAATGAAACAGAACACTAGTTACGCATGTAACTGTGGTTCTGTGAATTCTGGATGACCGCCAGAGTTCTCAGTCACTCGGAATTCACGAGAATCGGCGTACCGAGGTAGAGTGCTGAGCTACTGTAGCTTTTAACCCTCCAGGGCTCAGCATACGTCAGGCGACATGCCTTTTTTGGTATATTCTCTCGACCCATCTAGCTGGTGCTGCGATAATCCATAGTGTTTACACTGCCTCTGGCAGTCATCCAGAATTCACAGAACCACAGTTACATGCGTAACTAGCGTTTCGCTGTATAAATTCAAGTAAGCACCCTGTCTTTGCCATCACAACAAACACAGCTTCACACACAACCTCTTTCATTTAGTTCGCCGTCTTTTCAGGCGAAAAATTACACGTAAAGACATTCTGACTCAATATTTGTCTCTGTCTGTTGGGGCAGTGTGAACATGACAGTTACTTTTCATGAAATTCTAAATCCACCAGCAAACTTAATTCTCTGTGTTTGTTAGCGTTTGTGCGGTGTGAAAATTATAAACTTCTAGCACACCCTTTCAGAACATGTTTTTGTATGAAAACTTAGTGAGTCAACAGTTTACAATGTCTCCCGTCGCCTGGAATCCGCCCTAAACCTCAGAAAGAGGAGACAAATGGGAAGGAGACCATAGAACAAATAACAAAGCAAACAGTCTCTCAGGTGGCGATAAGCGCATTTATGATGGGATAGATATTTTACCCAAAAGACATCGGAGAATCATTTCAGTAAATGACTCCTCATTCATTTCAAATTATTTCTTTATGATTGATGTCAATGCTTATTCTCTTGATTTAATATATATATCTTATATATGAAAATAAGCCCCACATCTTATTAAAGTTTGGTGTATATATGCAGTAAGTCGTACAGTAGCCCAATTATTTCACTCTCTCTCTGTCTGTGTTAACAGTGTGTGTGGGTGGTTGTGAGTCACCCCTTCATTTCTGTGTTTGTTCAACATGTTGATATATAGATTTTTACACGTTAAAAATAATTCCTGTGTTAGGGTCTTTCCCATTCATTTCCTACGGTCGGTCAATTTTGACCACAAACAGCCAAGGTGTGACTTTTTGTCAATTTTTTGTTTGTTTGTTTGTTCAGATAGCACATCTAACCAAACAGATTAAGGCAAGAAAACCATTTTTATAGAAAAAAAACACACAAACAAAACAAACACCAAAAGTGTATAAGAGTTAAGACTGACCTTGTAAGAGCAAGTGTACATCATCAATGTCCAGCAGGACACCCTTCTCATCCTCAGCAGGAGCACAGGTTTCTCCTCCTGATGCCATGACTGTTGACTTGACACTCTCACACACTCATTCCCACTGAAATGGTGGGGGGGGGGGGAAACAAAATGATGATGTGCATGCATTCATATACAGTATTCTGCTATTATTATCATAAACACATCGCAATGGATATAAAGGCACAGAAAGTAAGTTTCGCCGCTAGAGGTCGCTTATTCAAAACAATAACAAAGGCGTAGCTTGATGACGCTGTGAATGAGCGTGGAATAATGGGAGTTGTCCTCTTCATCTCCACAGATGATGGGAAGTAATCAGATGGGATTCAGGAAGAAATCATGTTCATGGATGAGCTAATGTATTAAAGTTTTATTAAAGTAACTGTCGTATAAAGCAGGGCAGGGCCGAGAGCCGTGGGAGAGGATCGAGGCCGGTGGAGCGAATTTTAATGAGAGACACCTGCGCAACACACTGGTCTCGAGTCACATGGAGGAACTCCTGTAGGATATAAGAAGGAATGATGACAGTGAAGGGCGAAAGAGAACCAGACCTGGGACATCTTGCTGTTTGCCGCAGTCAGTCGCTGTCGCTCCTTTCATGTTTATTTTACGATTAAAGTTACGCTGTTCCTGCCTCCTCACCTGAACTTGAACTTTGTTACAGTTACGTTTGATCACTTAAATTCACATTATTTATTTAACTCTAATGAAATAGCCGCAAGTTCTGAATTACTAATCGTACAGGTCAAAAATGTAGTTGCAAAAAATTGACGAATTAAAATTGTAGGGTAACACAGTGCTGCTTGGTCAAAAAACTGCACTATTTTGTTGTAGATCATTAAAACGTTACACTGCCATAGAAGCCTGTCCTTCGTGTGCAAACAATGCCTACAAAGTCATTGACTGATAAGGCAGCAAGGCAACTAGTCAGCTGCCTAAGTTTTCAGGTCAGGCAGGTCATTTTTTTCAGAGTTGGAGCTAAACTCTGCAGGACAGCAGCTTTCCAGGACCGACATTGCCTACCGCTTATAGGTGTTAGAGTTAAGGTTGGTAGAATAAGTTGACATGTAGTTGCAAAGTTACTTACAGTCAGTATAGAATATCTGTTGGGAAGCATCAAAATAGTGTTAGATATTAAGCAGACAGTCTACTAATACTCTAATGAGAGTTAGTTGCAAAGTTACTTAGTGTTAATAAAATGTCTAAAGTGGACCATTGGAATAAAGCTTAACCTGTTTTGATAAGTGTCAAATGACTTCAGCATTAGTCAGCAAAGACAGCAGTAGTTTCATATGACACAGAGGTTGACCTGTCTAATAATGTATACATTCAAAATGCCGAAACCAAACATCTGAGGCGGTGTCTCAAATATTACATGGCAGTGATACAACATAAAGAGCTTTGTCAACAGACTCTTAATTACACAAATAATTCTGATGGTACTGTGAATTAGGTTGAGGGAGAAGGGGCGTATGAACAGATAAACAACATCAGCATAAAGTACCAACACGAAGAAGGAAATCAAAGAAGAAAGTGTCCTTGGGAGATTAGGCTAATCATATTTCAAACCCACACATAATACTGGCTACCATTAAAGTCTAATAAATGAATACAGAACAGTTAGTTACTAAGTGAATTAAGACGGAAGTATGATTCAAGGGAAGTACATAAACAAACACAGACACACGGGCAGCCTGAGGGCTTATGATTTAATCTAATCATTATCATTGCTGAAATGCTACATTGACAAGTGTATACAGGACGGGTTATACACTTAAACATTCATACAAATGGTATTTAAAATTATTTAAAATGATTAGCTTTTAATTGTTATTTTAATTATATCTTTCCATACTGGTTTTATGACTGATAATAATAATCATCATCATTTAATAATAATACTTATTATTATTCTTTTTAAATTATTAATATTATTATTATTCAATATAATATAATACATTTGTATTATACTTATTAAATTACTATTATTATTCACTATAATATAATATAATATAATAAGTTATTTCAAGTATTTCTGTAACACATTTTTGGCTGTTAGGGGGAAAAAAGTACACCACTTGACATTACCTCTACTGTTTCCTGTTAAACTCACACTTTTATATTTGAGAACCACCAGGTTGGTAGACCGAATATTAAATAAATGATTTTTTTTTAAAAAAGGGTCCAAATCAATCATCAATTATAGAAACCAAAAGGTAAATACTGTCTAAAAAGCTTGATAATGGGACACAAAAAAGCTGTTCTTGCACGTTAACACAGAAACAAAAGCTAGCGCATTCTTCATATGAACATTGAATGGGTTACTTGTAAAGATAACAGGTAGTGGCACAGTGAAGGACAGTCCTGAACACTCACAATTATTAAGTTCTTAGAAGGCGCTGTCTGAATCATTTCTGATTCTTCCAGAATAAAGTCACTCATTCAGCGCCCACACACACACACACACACCTGTTGTTTCTGGATGAGATTCAGAGTCACCATCTAAAACAACCAAAGAGGTGTGGAAACAGCAGCCTCACTCACTGCTGCCAATACTGACATCAAAAGGGCAAATACAGCCTTGGGAATATGCAGACATATACGTGCACAGATGAACTGGGAGAGGAGAAAAAGAAAGGGCAAGAATAGATGGACAGACCGGCGAGGAATCTGATGCTATTAATAGGATAGATTGATGACCCGTAAAAAGCATTCTGTGTCAGCCAATACTTCCACTGTGAGTAGTATGTATGTGTAAATGTGAATCACCTTCATTTACCTTAATTCCCATTTGACACTAAACCTAATTGAATCTTTCTGTAATCCAAATCGCATGCCTGTTAACTGACACTTAGATAAACAAAACACAGGTGAATTCGAGCTGCATTAAACACTTAATTACACCCCCAAATCAATGTAATATGTATATGAGTCAAAATCTGCTTAAGAGGGTCATAATGGACCAAGAGTTTTAAAAAGTGATTTTTCACTATTATTTACAACAGGGTCTGCATTTTCATGGGTTTAATAAAAGATTTTTGTTATAAGAGACAATAAAAACAACTTTGTGCATAAAAAAAACACACTCCTTGCCTGGTAAAAAGTCAACGAATTTGCGACAGCTGAAATGTAACATTTTTGACAAGCCAAACATGCCAGACTCTGAGTAAGAGGTCATTTATTTAAGCCACGAAATAAACTTCATTCCGTAAAATAAGTATAATGAACTACGTAAAAAGCATAGGACGTCTCCAGCATGTTTTAGAATTACTCAAAAATCAAACATAGTTATGCCGTCCATCAAAAATAATAAATAATTATTACCTTACGACACTGTTTTCAAAACCACATTGTTTGAAGATTACAAAATACAACTTCAATGTCTGTCAAAAATAACGTGCAAAAATACACGGTAGTATTTACAAGCAGAGGTCCAGCTTTAATTTACTTGCATTACTTGAAAGCCCTCAGTACCTGGGGCCTAGTGTACAAAGACTTGCGTTGAATTCATACTAAAACATTGCGTACGGACAAAGCTGTAAATGTGCGTACGCACAAAATGCGTTCCTCCAAGTAAACTTCATGTCTGGCGTACGTATATTTGTCGTGATTTTTGTCCGTTGGCGACTCATAGAGGCAATAAAGTGAAGTTGCAAACATTACACTACGAATTGTTCTATCGCACCACCAGCTGTCAGATATTGCTTATAATTTGTAATTGATAAATTATTTGACATATTATTGTCACACGAGTTTTATTAAAATATTATATTATGCAATTAAGCAATAACATAGGCTATATAAAGCATGTCCAAATTGATACAACCCGTCTAGCAATGGCAGCGTTGGCTTAACTATGAATAAAAAATAAACTTCATTAATTCGGTCAGTAAAGATAAAAAAAAGAAAGTAAAAAAAATTTTCAGCAAGGACACATTGAATTTGTTTAAAAGTGAGAGTAAATGCATTTATAATGTTACAAAAGATTATAAGATTTCTATATCTGTTTGATTTAAGTTTTTATTCATTAAAGAATCCTGAAAATACTATATTACGGTTTCCACGAAAATATGAAGCAGAAGCACACCTGTTTTCAACACTGATAATACTCAAAAATGTTTATTGATCATCAAATCATCATATTAGAATGATTTCTGAAGGATCATGTGACACTGAAGACTGGAGAAATGATGCTGAAAATTCAGCTTTGATCACAGGAATAAATTACACTTTACTATATATTTACATAGAAGACATTTTCAGTGAAATTTCGTTTCTTGCTTGCTTAGGCCATGTTCTTGCAGGTTTCTTTTGCCAAATTGGACTAATTACCATATTTAAATTAATTTAATTGGGGGAGGAGACTGGGTGGGGCGTTGTGCTCGTGCATGTGCGCTCAATTTTACGTTAATTGGGATGTACAAAGAGAATATCCGTGGGATCCTTCGTACGCAGAGATTCATACATCTGCTTTTTTTTGTGCGTACGCACATTTACAGCTTTGTCCGTACGCAATGTTTTAGTATGAATTCAACGCAAGTCTTTGTACATGAGGCCCCAGATGTTTTGACTTTGTCATTGCTTTCTGAGAAGAGGGCTTCAACATGCCAGAGTCAGAGATGATAACGTACCTAATCCATAACGCATTACGCATGCGAGTATAAATTTGTTCTTCACTGGCTGAAATTGAAATTGAAATTTAACACACTGCATGCTAAAGAGAATAAACACCAATCCAAATGTAAAACTTCACTGCATGGTTTAGTGAACTGAACATTGTTCAATGTGTGTTGGTTTCTGACAGGAACAGAAAGTTGTATGTTATATTTGAATGGACATTTTTTTATGCACAAACTACGCATTCTGACATTCCCAATTTAAATATTCTCAATAATATTCTATTCTTGACTGATCTTTTTTCTCTAATTTTGGCAATAGATGAACTGTTTAATTAGTGATATTGAGATGAGTCCTTGTACTCATATGCTGATGTAAGATTTGAAAAGTTGTTTAAAAGATTAAGGCAATTATCAAAGTTTGATAAAATGTTTAATTTCCAAATAAAAGATTATCAATTTGTTACATTTAATTACTGGTGTGGGAGTGCATTATTATATTTTTGTATTTTTGGAGCTTTGGTGTGCCGATATTCTTCTTTTTTGTGTGTTTTAATAATTCGGTATTAAGAATAACTTGAAGGAAGTCCAGCAAAAAACAGTATACGACTGACTTTTGTCTTTTAATATAATTATTAGATTATATGTTCTAATATTATAATTAATTCAATATAACATTTATATGTAAAGTAAAATACAAAACAAAAACAACAAAACAAAATAATAAACCACTCATAATGGTCCAAAAACCTTCATTTTCTTTATGGAAAATTGTTTTACTTTTGATTTTTGGGTAAAATATGACCCAGAAATGTTCTTGACAGGCTTTGTGAGAATCGCCAACTAAAAGTCCTTATGTTCAGTAAAACAAATGGCATATACATGCTAATTAAATTTTAATTGCATTAATGAACTACAGAGCTGAGCTATACATGAGTGACTGACGATACAGCACAGCTGTATTGGGGTCTCGTAAATGCAACTCATAATGTGCAGTGTCATAGGATGACATACACGTCCTCATTCTTACTGTTCGACTTTGAGTGAAACTGTATCAGATGACACTGCCGGTGGTGTTATTATTATAGCAAGGACACAGTTTCCAATGTGACACTGTTTCAAAGGTGGCTTCAGTTTCACACACAACTAAACACACATTTCTGGGTCATAATGCAAAAGCAGAAATCCTGCTTGTGCACCCTCTTAGAACATATATGACATAACAATGACAGCGCCCCAAAACATCCAGCTAAAGGAACAGCAAGACCAGACAAAGCCTCATACTGAAAAGACCTGTTAGGTGCGGTGTAATACATGGGTGGGGATAGCATTGATAATCACAGTTAGAAAGAATCATCATATTACTTCGACACAAGGACAGTACTGTTTAACTCATGCCCCAGCAAAAATAATAAGACAGGATATCATAGGACATGAGGTGGGTGACCACTGACCACTCCTGGTGTATGGTACAATCTGTTCATACGATCTTTACACCTGAGCTGATCACTTGCACAGAAGAAATTAGGGACATACATTTCTAAACTACCATTATCTGTCACTTTTCTTTTATAAATGAACATAAACACTCAACTACTGTTGATGTCACAACAAATATTGCCAAATTATTGCCATACAGTCAATGTGAAATAAAAGAAAATTAGCACAAAGACACTAACAGTTTAAAATTGGAAAGCACCATTAGTTCATTCATGTGAAACTAAAGACAACCTGTATGCTCTAGCCTCTATTATACAGTTTAATTGTATAATACAGATCATTAACATTGTTGCAACTTGCACTGTCAGGCAAAATACAAGTCGCCTCTCACACTAGCCTACGTCCGCATAGTCAAAACTTTTGCATAAAATTAAATAATAATTCTTAAAAAAAATACCTATAAACCATGAGATGTGAAAACCTCAATGACCTGATGTTATGGTTCATTTGAATGCCTTTTAGTAGCTACCTGACAGTAAAGGTAGACTGGCATGGCAGTTCAACCGTTCATTTGATAGAGTGTTTTGCAAACTTACAGTGAATGAACGCTGTTTGCTGTCTCAAGTTGTTGACGATTCCTCTCAATTATTTCTCAAATAGCACATCTGGAAGAATTGGAAATCGAAATGAAAACAAACGCTGAGCGCGGCGTCGCGGCAATGGTTTGTTTGAAGTGTTTTAACTCCGCCTTTCAATCCTCTCGAACTTGAAGTAGAAAACACACCTTTCTGAGCCATACGAAGTTCAAATCATTTTAAAGATTCGGCTCGTCCGAACGGTTCGTTTCAATGAACGGGTTCAAGAAGAAGAATCGTTTGAATCATCACTTGTGAGCGCGTGGCATTGGTGTTCTGGTTTTTGTGTTCTTTAAATGTTAGCTACATCATGCTGTTTAGCATTGTATTATTTGTATATGTGTGTTGTTGTTTGTGATTTCAGCATTTCACTTCTAGTTTTAACTCTCGAAGTTAACGTTTTTGCGAAATGGTTCATAAAAGGGTGATTTTTATGTTCTGGTCATATTTTAAAAAATACATGTTGGACAAATTCCTCTTTCTTTGTCAAACTAACAATAAAACCACCTTAAAAACTTTTCACTACCTTTCTATTATGATTTTTTCATACTTTTCAACCTCAAAATCAAAATCACTGTTTTCTCCTTGTCGCACACCCAGACTTTTTAGACCCAGACAATGAAAAACAGTTTAAAAATATGACTTATCTGGTAACTATTAATCTACCTGAATTAAGCACTCTAGTAAAATAATTAAAATACATTATAGTATTTAATGTGAGACAATATCAATATTACTTTTTATATAAAATATAGCTGCCACACAGTATTGGTGTCATTTCCACCACAACACTGTAATGTCCCTTTAAAAAGTTTGTGTGAAAGATTGTTTAGGTGGTTCTATGGAAATGTTCAGTGACATCAGAGCACATGTTGGACATGGAGGGAATTTAAATTTTCATCAATAACAAATGAAGAAAAATCAAGGTAAATATTGCTTTATCAGTTGATATATTTATTCTACGTCATTTCCAAACATGCTGTATCTTCAAGTGTGTTTTTAAAAAGCTAAAGATTTTAAGTTAAATAAGAGTATTTTGCATACATGAAATGCTAAGTATTAATGCAAAGCTAATCAGTGAAGCTATCTTCCATTTTTTCACAAAAAAAATACAGAAATGTAATTTCCACCACAGTCATTTCCACCACACTGCCCTCTGTTATAGAAATTACATTTATGGTTAAAAAGTACAATTAATATGGATTGCAAAAGTAGATTTGTGTAATACTTTTTATATTATAATGTATTGCAATACTTTTTATATTTATATTATGATTTTATATATATATATATATCCCTTATCATGGTGGAGGGGCTATATGCCCCTGGTAGGAGTCCGGTGAGGCCATGGAGAAGGACTATCGGTTGGCCTCAAAGAGATTCTGGCAAACCGTCCGGCGCCTCAGGAGGGGGAAGCAGCGCCCTACCAACACTGTTTACAGTGGAGGTGGGCAGCTGTTGACCTCAACTGGGGATATCGTCGGACAGTGGAAGGAATACTTCGAGGATCTCCTCGATCCCACCGACACATCTTCCATTGAGGAAGCAGAGGCTGAGGGCTCGGAGGTGGACTCGTCCATCACCCAAGCTGAAGTCACCGAGGTAGTCAAGAAGCTCCTCGGTGGCAAGGCACCAGGGGTGGATGAGATCCGCCCTGAGTACCTCAATTATCTGGATGTTGTGGGGCTGTCTTGGCTGACACGCCTCTGCAACATCGCGTGACGGTTGGGGACAGTACCTCTGGACTGTCAGACCGGGGTGGTGGTCCCTCTTTTCAAGAAGGGGGACCGGAGGGTGTGTTCCAACTACATGGGGATCACTTCTCAGCCTCCCCGGGAAAGCCTATGCCAGGATACTGGAGAGGAGAATTCGGCCGATAGTAGAACCTCGGATTCAGGAGGAACAGTGCGGTTTTTCGTCCCGGCTCTATACCCTCTCCAGGGTGCTTGGGAGTTTGCCCAACCAATCCACATGTGCTTTGTGGATTTGGAGAAGGCATTCGACTGTGTCCCTCGCAGCATCCTGTGGAGGGTGCTCTGGGAGTATGGGGTCCGGGGCCGTTTGCTAAGGGCTGTCCTGTCCCTGTACAACCGGAGCAGGAGCTTGGTTCGCATTGCCGGCAGTAAGTCAGAATTGTTCCCGGTGCATGTTGGACTCCGGCAGGGCTGCCCTTTGTCACCGGTTCTGTTCATAATTTTTATGGATAGAATTTCTAGGCGCAGCCAGGGCCCGGAGGGTAGGGCCCCGGATAAGTAATAATTATATTACTTTTATATTAATTGATTTCATTTTTGAATATATTTATATTAGTATGCACTGTAACCGTTCATCTGTGAGACAAATCAGTTTTATACATCATACTCAGCACTACACTAAAAACAGGTGTGGTTATGTTTAATGACTTTGTGAATTGAGTTTAATGAGTGTGATAAGTTTAAGAATTTTTCTAATAAATATCTCTACTGTTTCTATACATTCACGTTAATTCATTGTCATTTCCACAACACCCTGTCATTTCCACCACCACCTTGTCATTTCCATCACCACACACATTTTTAAAAAATATTTAAAAAGTTCTCATCACACATTAAAAATGTATCCACAATTTACGAAATCACGCTCAACTGTAATCTGACTATGCATTATTAGCCCACTAAAACACTATTATAAAGTGATATATAATGTGTGTGGAAACACAGCCTAACCACACAATTGCATTGGGCTTATGAGAGAAGACACCCTTCAGTGTGTGTGTGTCTGTGGAGCCCCCTGTTGTCTATAGGGATGCAAAACAGTGACCTGATGCATGCATATGACCAGCAGATGGTATGATATGACCAGTCATATCAATAGAGAAAAACAGATCGTTATTTTAAAAAATATATATAATTTGTTTTGTGTGTTAACTGGTCATGTTAGGTTTGGCAACTGCTAAACTGTAATATCGACCCAGAACCATATGAGGGAGTCTATATAAATGGGAAACTTATGCCACTCCTGTGACTTTTTATGCTGTTTTCTCTATTTCACTGATTAATATTGACATATTCCAGATAACAGATGTCATAACTCATTTGGTTGCATCTTTCTCATTTCAACTTTAAAGTCAGCATGAAACGGAAGTTGCAATAGTTTTTTCTCTAAAGACCTTATATGCACCCGAGAAACAAGCGTGCAGCCATCTTTAGAATTTTGTCTTGTTTTTGGGGTAGCTCTGTATATTTCTATAGCATTGCTGTCGAAGAGTAATTAGCTGGTGAAGTGGATTTACTTATTGTAGAGTTAAAGATATAGTTCACCCAAAAATGAAAATTCTGTCATCATTTACTCAGCCTCAAGTTGTTTCAAAACTGTATGAATTTATTTCTTGCTGAACACAAAAGAAGATAACTTGAAGAATGTGGGTAAACAAACAGTTTTCCCCCTTAATATGGGGGAAAAAAATAGCCTACTATGGAAGTCAATTAGCCGCGTTTCCACTACCGGGCCAGGGCCGAGCCGTGCTAGTGCGTGCCAGGGCCAGTCGCGTTTCCACTGTCACTTCCGGGGCTTACTCGGGGCCAACGGCCAGGATTTCTGGCCCATCGAATACCTTGGGCCAAAGCGGGCCAGCTCAGGCTAGAGGCGTGGTCAAGGTAAAAGGCGGAGTTTATCGGTGTTATGGAACGTTATGATCTGAAGCAAGATGCACATTTCACTTTTTTATATCGCGCAAAATAATCGCTGCAAAGCTCTTCTGAGCATTTGGGCAGAAGAAAGGGTACAACGTCAATTTGACGGCGTGTGAAGAAACGAGGACGTTATAAAATACATCGATGCTGAACTTTCTAAGGTAAGCATGCAGCGAGCAACGCTTCAAGTTCAGGAAAAAATAAAAAAGTTGCGGGCGCAGTATTGTTCAAGGCGATTAAAACGCACAATGGACAAAGCGGAGCTCAGAAAAGGAACTTTCCATGGTTCGACTTGATGGACGGTGTGCTGGGTCACCGTCCCTCTGTTAGTGACAACTCGCGAGACAATCGGGACACTATTGCAGCCACGGCCGGTGAGTTAATATACATGCTATGTTCCTAACTTAAAAAATAAACGAATTCATAATATCCGCTGAAATGGGTTGGGTTGTATGTATGACGTTTGATCCAGAAAGGCGTGTTAGGGGCGGGGTTTAGGGCAGCGCTGCGGGGCTACTGGTCCGGCAGTGGAAACGCAAGCCCGGTGCTGAAGGCCCGAGGCCACTGGCTCGGCTCGGCACGCTGTTAGCCCTGGCCCGGCCCTAGCCCGGCAGTGGAAACGCGGCTTTGGGGCCCATCAACTGTTTGGTTACCGAAATTCTTCAAAATATCTTCTTTACATACAGTGATATTAACGACGATAGCAAAATCTCTATCGACTGGCACTTTGCAGCAGCTGAGCTGACCACTAAGGAGCGAATGTACAGTGACGTGACATAACTGCCAGATTTAAACTGTGCTATGGCTGGCGCTGAGCCAAAGTCGGGACGCGCTCAACGCTTAATCCCGCTTATCATACAATAACACAATTATGTTTATTTTAGCTGACAAACTAACTAGAAGGCGACCTTGACTATGTCACACATCGCAACCACTCTTTACCTGCGGTGTTACAACTGCTTATAGCACTGCATTTTCTTTTTTTTTCTTTTTTTTGCCGCAGTTACATTGGGATTTAGTTTGCTTTTCAAAATTTTCACAATTGTTTTTCTTTTACCATATTCGTCAAGAAGAAAGCATTTCTCCTCCTCTGTCCAATTAGGCTTTCTTTTTTGTTTTCTTTATCCATTCCAGTTGACTGATCATCCAAAAATGTATTTAAACAATTAAATAAATATAATCGTGCCACAGCTAGTTGACAATGATTTGAACTAAGGTCAAAGGCAATTCTAGTGATATCATACACATTTCTAGCTGCAAGAAAAAGTGCCTGAAGTGTATGTCAAATCAGTAAATAAACTCCCTTTGCAATCGTGACAGTGGTGTCATTTTTGTTCAATGTAGAACCTCTTTTATAAATTCTATCAGCTCTTTAAAGGTGCCAGAGTGGAGACATGTAGGCACTGGGGTCTCGAGACTCGACTCGGACTTGAACTCAAGTAATGGTGACTCGACTTGGACTCGACTCGGACTCTTCTTTGGTGACTCAGACTTGGACTCGGACTCGAACACTGGGACTCGAGACTCGACAGTTGATGACTCGACTACAACACGTAGGTTTTCAACCTAAGAAATCCATGTAGTACTTGCAAGTTTTCTTCACCACATCGACATCCTGTTGTGCAAAATACTTCTTGAATGTATTCAGAGTTTACATAATGTATTTTCAACAAATATCCTTTGTTGATGTGTTAATAAAGTGATGTTTCCATTTAAAATATAATTTGGACCAACAACTTGATTTATTTTCTATTGGTTCAACTATTTATATATTTTTAGAATTACTCCATAAAAAATATCAGTTAAATATGCAATAAACAACAGTGCCACATTTAATTTTTGAATTATTCAATTATTCACAGTTAAAGAATTGATTTATTTAATTTTATTTATCGCACTTGTAAATTCCCTGTGCCTGCAGATTGTTTTCTGGACCCCATCTGTTTTCTGACCCTGGGTCTGTCAATCCTGTTTATGGCCATTGCTGGGATCTCTGTGCTAGTATGATGGATTGAGGGTCTTCAGCAACAGGAACCTCTGTAGCAGCCATGAAAGCAACCTTTGGGATTGGGAAAGATGAGACAGGCAGCTGTGGGACTGTGGCTGACTTGCTTTGGCTGGGGTCATGACATGAACCTTTGCGTTCATGACAGGAAACTTGGAGACCAGAAGAGCCAGAACAAGAACTGGATCAGCAATGAGTGGAACATGTAGGGCGGCCATGACAGAGCTCTGGAAATAGCTGTGAAAGGAATCTTTGATATTGTAGTGGATTCTGAAGCTACAGGAAAAAAGGAGCTGCAACAACAGGAACCTTTGGGATGCCTGTGACAGTGAGCAGTGTGACTGCTGTGGTTTCTGAGACTCACAGGATCCTCTGAGCGTCGAGACAAGGAGCTGAGGGACTGGGATGACCTTAGGCACCAGCTCTTGGATTGAAGTGGCAAAGACAAGGACCAGAACAGATTCAGAAGAAACAGCAATCACTTTAACCGCTCAGTGACTAAAGAGATTTAACAACTGCGTGGCCGTTTTCTTCTTTTCTCCATGCAGTGATTTGAAACAAAAACATAAACAAGCTTTATCAACACACTAAAAAACAACATTTAAAGACATATGCCTTAAATGAGGCAAAATTCTTAAAGAACTGATTTTAATTCTTTGAACACAGGAAAACATATTTTATACAGTATAAACATACTTCTCAACGATGACGTGTATGTTGATTACATGCATTCTGGTTATGTGACTGATTATCAGGCAAGACCAACAAAAACCAGTCATGGCAGTGCATATGCTCCAGAAGAAGCCTGTGATCTGGATGACGCTGCAGACAAGCCTGCATGAAATTGCAGCATTCTGTGCAAAAAGATGGGAGAAATTTGATTATTACCTTAAACGGTAAACATGCTATCTTTAACCATTTGTTCTTTGATTAACATCTCACCTTGTGAGACAACAAATCTGGACCAGTCGTTGTTGATGAGGTGGTACACTTCGTTGGCTGTTGGAAAACGTCCAAGGATCATTCTGATCAAGAGCACCCCTAGTGAAAACACTGTTGCGGGTTTTGCATGGTACCTGCCCGTGTCAAAATACTCTGGGGGGAAGTATGGCATTGTGCCTGGAGGAAAGAGATTTTATCTGATGTTTATAACACAAGCATTTGACTATATAGAAGATGCATTTGAGTGAGTACATTTATTTGCTAGCAAAGCGGTGCATAATACATACCACAGTAGGACTCGTAGGCAGAATCCTTCATGAGGTCCGCGCAACTGAAGTCGATTAATTTGACCTCCAGCGTGCTCGGGTTCACAAGCAGGTTTTCTAGCTTGATGTCGCGATGGAAGACGCCCCGATAACAGCAAACTTTAGCAGCATAATTAACCTGCTGCATTATGTGACGTGCTGTGTGCTCATCAAGGACACCTCTGTTGAGTTTCAGGAATGTACTCATATCCATGCTAGGTAAGGGGCGCTCCATGACCATGATGTAGCGGTCTGGGTCGTCCTGCCAGTCCAGCACCTGAATTATATTCCGACAGCAGGGATCCCTATTGGCGATAACTGCCAAGGCGATCTCTAAAGGAAGGGGTTTGGGGTGAAAAGGCTGAAAGAAAGAAAATATGATGGTTAATTTCACAAATAAGGACTTAACAAAGGCAGTTTGACAAGAATATAAGATGTTATAAATTGAAAACAGTAAATGAGAAGAGAAAATAAGAGAGTGCAGTCTACTTACAGTGCTGATATATGTCGTACGTGGTGTCTTTCGGACACATTTCACAGCCACCTGAATTAAAAACAAAAAAACATTAACAATACACTTGCAGAGAGAGGCGATTCCCTTTCAGTCGTAAATCCTACACAAACGTTTGGTGAATATAAATACCAAGAAGGAATTAAAACCAAGCATGTTTGGTCAGTCTGCAAGTTTAAACAGGCGGAGTTCTCTAAACAGTGAACATAAGATTCATTAAAAAGCTTGCTGTAAAATAGTGTAAGTAAAAAAACAACAACCTTAAGACCATCCTTGATGCGAATTCCTTTCTGCACATAGCCAAATCCACCTTTACCCAGCTTGTCACCGAAATTGTACCGCCAGAAAATGTGATCTATTAAAAGTAAAGTAAAAGAAGTTGACATTAGCAGTAGTTGATCTAAATGGTGAATAAAATTATGAAAAACCTAAATAAATGTTACAGCTGTTTTGGGTTATGGCAATAAACTTACCCTTGTTCTGCTTTTCTGTTGAAACTGCTGCTGGACTCACTGCACAGTCAGTGCCCTCATCTGCTTTGGGACTAACTGCACAGTCAGTGCTCTCATCTGCTTTGGGACTCACTGCACAGTTACTTTCAGAATATGCAGTGAGCCTTACTGCTGCGTTATTGTCCTCATCAGCCATGAAACTCACTGCAGAGTTAATGTCCTCATCTGCTGTGAGACTCACTGCAGAATTGATGTCCTCATCTGCTGTGAGAATCACTACACAGTCAATGTCTGAATCTGCTTTGGGACTCACTGCACAGTTAATCTCCGAATCTACTGTGAGACTCACTGCACAGTCAATGTTGTTATGTGCTGGGGAGTTCACTCCAGAGTCAAGGTTACCATCCGCTGACAAACTCGCTGGAGAGTCAGTGTCATCATCTGCTGATGAACGCACTGGCGTGTCGAGGACTGCAGGTTGCAGAACTTCTTGCTCCAGCTGAGCCTCAGCATTGTGGAGGGCTTCAGAGATACTGGTTGGAGCTTCCTGAATATCTGAAATGCAGATAAAAACAAACTTTCTTCATTAAGGTGCAATTTTTACTTGATAAAAAAAAAAAACTTCTCTAAACGATGTAAATCGATTTGTTTCTGAAGTAAAATGTTTAAATACTGACTGGTTTGATCAGTCCTGGTCGGTTTGGTAACCACAGATCATGATCATATCAAAAAACTACAATTTAATTGAATTTCTGATCTTTAATAAATAGTCACTCTAAAATGCCTGGTGAGTTCATGACAATATGTTTACAATATGTTGTTTAATTTCATATGATTAAAATAAATTAAATTAATGTTTTATCTTCATTTGTCTTCATTTGATTACCAGAAAAAAACACAACACCGAATTTGCGTGAGAATTTTTTTTTTTTTAAATGTATAAGTTTAATAATTGTATAATTTTCATGATTTCAATTTAGACATGCTTTTTGATTACTAAATAATTTACACCACGTATCCATAACACGCCCGCTCCGCGACACTACTAGTTTCACTTCACCTTAAACTGATTATATTATAATTTATCATTCCGAAAGACCACATAAGACACTGATTTTGTTTTAAAAATCCTAGGGGAAACACTGCTGTATAGGTCGATGCATGGGGTAATTTTTGGTCCCCATGAGGAAAACAGCTTATAAATCATTCTAAGTGATGTTTTTTGAAAATGTAAAAATGTAGAAAATGTTCAGTGATGGTTTAATGTATGGGGATAGAATGTACAGGGTTTTTTTTACAATCTAAAAATAAATGTCAATGGAAAGTCCCCATAAAACATGAAAACACAACGTGTGTGTGTGTGTGTGTGTGTGTGTGTGTGTGTGTGTGTGTGTGTGTGTGTGTGTGTGTGTGTGTGTGTGTGTGTGTGTGTGTGTGTGTGTGTGAAAAACAACTGTACACAAAAGAGTCACACTAATTGAAGAATCATATTCATCAATAGGCTACTTGTATCATATGCAAACAGTGAAGAGGCTTTTTAAGAACTCAAATCAATCACATGGTCATGTGATTTTACCATCAATATGGCTCTGGGATCTTTCCGCCACAGTTCTCTGGTATAACTTCTTAGTCTCCTGTCTCCCTGCCTCCCTGCCATAATCTACCTCACCAGCCTCAACAATCATCTCATCAAGCCGATGGGAATGTTTTTCCTCCGTGATGGGGGCGAATTTGAGTTCGAGTACACTCTGCCTATCTGACGCTGCACTTGCACGACAAATTGGCAGTTCCATAATAACACAGTTGTATCGTCAACACCGAACCTACTAAATCAACGAGCAAGTGAATTTCGCGGCTTTATATTCTCGCGCGCGACTGTCACATAATTCTGTTCGTGACGTCAGAAGGGCTCATGCAGAAGTGAAAGCAAAGTTTTCAAAACATAACAAAACCAGTGTCTTATGTGGTCTTTCGGAATGATAAATTATAATATAATCAAATTTCACTAGTGCCATATTCCACACTGTAAAAAAAATATGTTCATGATTTGTAATCACAAAATTTTTTCTTTTGTCAAATCAACTTAAATAATTTATGTGGTTCAGATAACATAATATTTTGAGTTTCTGATGATTAAATCAATCTCCTTCATTGTATTAACTCAATTTTTCCATTTCAATGAACTTAAAATTTTAAGGCAACCAGGTTACTTCATTTTTTTAAGTTAAACCAACAATATTTTTTTTACAGTGCACCTACAGCTTTGATGTTTATACCTGAAAGAAGTTTACAAGTTTACAAGCTACACAGTGGGGGGAAATCATCCGTGCGGTACAGTCTGAAAATAGGCTGATGTTAAAATAAATAAATGTTAATAAAACAATTGTGGTATCATGAAAAAAAAAATATTAAAAAAGAAATTCCTATAGATATGTGGTTTTGATTTGGAGTGTGCCACATTTGGTGTTATTACCAGGGATTTTAAGGTAGGCCTAGGTGATTTTGTTTTGAAACCTTCAGAAAACTTTAACTCGATTTTTCTCAAAATTGACTTTGCTGACTCTATCGACTTCAAACAGTGACGGTACAAGGCAACCGTGCTAAGTGTGAGTACACCTTAATATCAGGCTAATTATACTCAGAGAAAAATACTGAAATAAAGTACAGGATTTTCTTGTCATGCCAACACACCTCACAAGCTTAGAGTGGAGGAGTAGAAAAGCAGATGAACACTGCCCTCCTGTGACGCTCTGGAGAACAATACTTTCAGGGCAGCTGGTCAAAAAAAATTCTGAGACATGATTACATTTAGCATGGCTTTACTGGGACATATAAAACTCAAATACTTCCCAGTCATACCTGAAAGACACATGCCTGAACACAAATAAGCACTGGTTTACACAAAGCAAAATGCATATTCGAATGCACAAAATGAATAAATACTCTCATTCACTAACATTTGTTTTAAAATAAAAAAAATAGAAATGTATTAGTCACACACACACACACACACACACACACACACACACACACACACACACACACACACACACACACACACACACACACACACACACACACACACATACAAAGATATGAGATGTACATCTTTGCTCCTGGAAACGTGTATGTTCATGTAATCTAAGCTTTTACAACAAAAGAAAAAAGTCTGTTGAAAGCTGACAGTGGTTTTGCTCTGGAGAGTTTCTAACATCAGCAGTCTCTGACAGGGTCAACGGGCCTATTAACAAGATCTCCTCAGGGTAGAATCCACAAGAACATAGTCCCAGCAAAGAAAATTAGCCCATACAGAATATACTCTATCTCTCCAAGTAAGATAAAGTTAAAATACTATGAAGCAACACTCTAAACAATTATTTGAGGTACATACTGGAAAGGCAGCTGCCACATGTATATGTACTCTGCACCTTTTTTAGATCAGACAATTTGCTTGACAGATTCATCGTTTCACCAGAGTGGATGAGTGCGCTTTTGAGGTTGTGTGGGAAGAGCTAAAAATAAGCTTGAAGGTCGTAGATTAGAGTAAGCTTGCAGTGTGAGATGATTGCTGGCATGCTGGAAGAGCATAAACAAAATACAAAGGTGGCACTAAAGATGATCTGACTAATGGCATGGTTCCATTATTGCAAAACACAAAAGTTAGGCAGAACAGCATAACAATCAGAACAAGATGAGTATCACACTTATACATTTTTTATAAAAATAAATAAAAATGACATTTATTTTATGCGGAAGGAAATGTTTCTGTAAAGATACAAGTATGGTAGGTTATGCTAAAAAATGCATGCACGGCCCACTGTAGTGTATTAGTGCCCACTACTTGCTAAGCGTGCTAAGCCCTTGATCACTTAGAATCCACGATGGGGTTGATTGATTTTTTTTTACGAAATTGTTTAATGCAGCATTCTATACAGGCCTAGGTGTGTTTGAGTTGTTTATGAGAGTTCACGTGCAACGCAATATCGCGCCGGCTCCTCCACATGTCCTGATTAGCCTATGTCTGCTATTTGCTTCTCAAATTAAATCTAGGCAATTGGTTGATGAAACCAATTAAAATTAAGATACAATTTATACAAAACGAAATTCACTTTAAAGAAAGGCTTTATGCAAAACAAAACTTAATGAAGTGGTCAAAATCATGTCTGACCCACTCCATATGTCTCCCGATATATTGCACATCTAATGATCCTCTCATAACCAGGGCCGTACCCACCATTGAGGTCCCCGCGAAAAGTGTGCCCAAATAAAGAGCGACGCCGTCACAACAACACTCGTTTGTTTTCCCAGGCAAGGTGTAAAAAAAATCTAATCAATGTAAGCTTTAGGGCTTTATGTTCACAGAAGGTGCGAGCCGAGCGTGAATTCCAGTTTTCTCCATTTACAAACAGACAATAAAAATTATGGACCGGAAACCTATCAGATGGCATCATTGTGATGTTTTAACAAAGCATCAGCTTATGGGCTTCGACAGTTTTATTGATTTTAATTATATTAAATTGGTCTATAAATGTTTAAATAATCATGTTCCACCAATGTCCAAGGCCTATTTTTTATGTTTATCGTAATATTTTAAACAGACACGGTGCTATTTATGAAGTATTGCAATCTGATTTAGTCAATTTGAAGGGTTTTCTGTACAATGACACCAGTTTTTTTAAATTTCCTACATGTGTAGGGTGAATATTTAAATTTGGGTGTGTTAAATTCAGGTGGAATTCAAAAATATCCCTTAGAGTGGAAGAGTTATGCAATTGGTTAATAATTTGTATGACTACATCACAAAGAGTCAATTATTGTAAAAGCATTAGATTGAAAACATTAAAATTTCATAAAGTGTGTAAATAATAGAAACGCAGTTCAAAAAGGCCTTTCTTTAAATGCAAAAGTATTTCATTTGTGAAGGCAAAGCATGTACTCACAAAATAAAAAACTGCTCTTAAACTGGGGGCGTGACAGGCTAGCTAGCGGCTCATTGGTTCGCTCAGAGAGAACTGCTTAAGCCTATGGGAGAGCGGGGCTGAACCCGCTGCCAATGAGAAGCGCCCGCGCGCTCATTGCGTCATGGCCCGCCAGAATGGGCGTGGCTATGGTGTATATAACAGTCTCTCCCAGGCTTATATGTTGATTCATTTCATCTTCAGCGAGCTACACGCTTCTGCTGACTTGAGAAAAGCCGTCGCCGTCGAGAAGGCATCACTCTAGCGAGCTCCCGGACCCTGAAGAAGCCGGCCGTCTTCGCCACCTTCAGCCGCCCTGCAAGCTAGCGCCATCCGACGACTGTATCCTTCTCTCATTATCTAAAAGAGCGCGAGCGTCTTTTTAAAGATGCCTCGCTTCGCCTGCGGCTCTTGCCGCGCTCCTCTCGAGGACGGAGACCGCCATGTCATTTGCGCTCTCTGCCTGGGACTCGAGCACGCGGAACTCGCCCTCGCTGATGGAGGATGCGACTTCTGTGAGAGCCTGCCGTTGTCGTCCCTGCGGGCACGACTTCTGGCGGCTAAATCCGCTCCCGCGCCGCCTCTCTCTTCGCCGCGGAAGAAGAAACGCCGCGCCCAGAGGCCGCCGGAGCCCCCTGCGGAACCATGCGGGCCGCCGCCGCCGCCTCCCGCTTCCCGCTCTCCCTCCCCGCCCCAGCCGGACATACAGTTGCCGCCGAGTGGCCGCTCTGTCGCTTCCGATGACGCCGCGGAGGAGAAGGATTCCTGTTCACTGCTCGCGTCAGACAGTGAGGAATGGTCATCTCTCGGATCCACGAGAGAGTCGGCGGGGATCCGCGCCGGAATAGAGGAGGAACTAATGCGCCTCCTCTCACAGGCCGTCGAACGCCTCGGTCTCGAGTGGTCTCCTCCACCCGAGCAGGCCCCGAACCGGATGGACGGCAGCTTTTTTCATCGGCGCTCGACCCCCGCGTGCAACCGGGCCGCCCCATTCCTGCCTGAACTTCACACAGAGCTGACGAAGTCCTGGAATGCCCCACTCTCGGCCAGAAACCGCTCCGATATCTCCGCCTCGCTGCGCTCGGTGGACGGAGCCGCCAAAAAAGGTTATTCAGCCATGCCGCCCGTTGAGGACTTGGTCGCCGCCCACCTCTGCCCGCCCTCTGCTAGATGGCGCTCTTGCCCCACGCTTCCTTCGAAAGCTTGCAGAGCGACCTCGAGCTTTCATGCTCGCGCCTATGCCGCCGCCGGTCAGGCCGCCGCGGCGCTGCATTCTATGTCTGTCCTCCAGGTGCTACAGAGCGATATAATCCGTGAGTGGGCCGAGAGCGGTAGAACCCCCCCCCTCCGCTGTCACGGATCTGAGAAGTGCTACGGACCTCGCCCTTCGCGCCACTAAAGCCGCCGCACAAGCTCTGGGGAGATGCATGGCCAGCCTTTGTGTATCCGAGAGACACTTATGGCTCACGCTCGCCGACATGGGAGATTCTAAGCGCGCCGCGTTTCTTAACGCGCCCCTCTCCCCGACGGGCCTTTTTGGATCTGCTGTCACGGGGATCGTCGATCGCTTTTCCGAGGTCCAGAAAGCCACTCAGGCCATGAATTTGTTTCTGCCCCGCCGCGCTAGCTCTTCCGCAGGCCGCTCTCGCGAGCCTCCTGCCAGAGCCCCACCACAGCGCCCCACCACAATTCAAATAGCCCCGCGCTGGGAGAGTCAGACTTGGGTTCCGGAGCTCACTCAGCTGTCACAGACAGCCCCGTGGCCCATCCCAGTCAGAGCAGATCTCCTCTCTCAAGCTCGCGGCACGATCTGGCACCCCCATCCACAGCGCTGGGCGCTCCATGCATGGGTGATCAACGACTATTCGTCGATTTGCCAGAGGGAGTAAGAAACACTATCATACAGGCTAGAGCACCTTCCACGAGAAGGCTCTATGCATCTAAATGGTCTGTGTTCTCAAAATGGTGCACCGACAAAAATCTGGACCCACGGTCGTGCGAGGTGCCGTCTTTGCTTGTTTTCCTTCAAGAGATGCTGGACAAGGGCAGGTCCCCCTCCACTCTCAAGGTTTACGTGGCAGCCGTCGCGGCGTTCACTGAACCCCGACGCGCTCAGTCCCTGGGCAAAGACGAGTTAGTCATCCGCTTCCTCAGAGGAGCTAAGAGGATGAACCCTCCGCGCCCCCCCTTCGGTTCCTATCTGGGATCTTTCTATAGTTCTCGAAGCTATGAAAGCACCCTCGTTCGAACCGCTCGAGTCTGTGGACCTAAAATACCTCTCGCTCAAAACCGTTTTTCTGACGGCTCTGTCCTCAGTAAAACGCGTGGGGGATCTTCACGCGCTCTCATCCAGCGCCGCGTGTCTTGAGTTTGGACCGAATGATTCTGTCGTCATTCTCAAACCTAGGCATGGCTATGTCCCGAAGGCGATTGGTACCCCGTTCAGGGCTCAGATTATTTCCCTATCGGCTCTACCTTCATCCGATAGTGAGCGCGACGCCAATCTCCTCTGCCCGGTGCGGGCCCTGAGATTGTATACCACGCGCGCTGCCGCGTGTCTACCTTTTCGTGTCGTTTGGGGGGCGCACCAAAGGGTCTGGCCGCCTCAAAACAGACGCTGTCTAGATGGATAGTGGACGCGATTGCCTCTGCTTACGCATCTAAATGCCTGCCCTGCCCTCTGGGCATCAGGGCTCACTCCACTAGAGGCATGGCCTCATCGTGGGCATGGTCCTGTGGAATTTCCACTCATGACATTTGTGTGGCCGCGGGATGGGCCTCCCCGTCCACCTTTGTCAGATTTTACAACTTGGAAGTTCCCGCCTTGCAGGCAAAAGTACTAGCCGTCTAACGATCAGCTCCCTAAGAAGCTGCATTACTGGGAGTCCCTCACACAACCGGTTCGCCCCTTGTGCTCCCCTTAGATGCTTATGTATACACTTCATGTGCCCGCTCTGCCGGCCTCATATTACATTCACTCCACGTTAAGAATCCCCCGGTATCTCCCCGGGATTCATGAGTGGATTCATAGCGCGCACGGCGTTGACCAGGTGTTCCCGCAGCGTAAGCTAGCTTACGCAATACGAGAGAACCTCTCGTAAGAGAACGAATCGGTTACCTAACGTAACCTCGGTTCTCTCTAGATGAGGGAACGAGTATTGCGTTCCCGGCCGTGCTTGCGCTACTAGCGTTTCGCTTCACGCTGAAATAAATCAACATATAAGCCTGGGAGAGACTGTTATATACACCATAGCCACGCCCATTCTGGCGGGCCATGACGCAATGAGCGCGCGGGCGCTTCTCATTGGCAGCGGGTTCAGCCCCGCTCTCCCATAGGCTTAAGCAGTTCTCTCTGAGCGAACCAATGAGCCGCTAGCTAGCCTGCTCAAGGTCTGCCGCAGAGGAACTGCGTTGTCAATGGATACAAATTATGAAATAATTTTTTGGCTTCAAATTCTCAGCAAAGATGAATCTTTCCCGCAGCGTAAGCTAGCTTACGCAATACTCGTTCCCTCATCTAGAGAGAACCGAGGTTACGTTAGGTAACCGATTCGTTTTATTTTTATATTTGTTCATTTAATTTCTTTCTTGAATGCTACTGTTAAATACACCTGTAGCTGAAAAAATAAAGCACTAAATGTCTGCCATTTTTATTTATTTATATTTTGTTACCTCGTAAGGCTTTGTTTTTAAAATAGGGACATTATTTTGGCTGTAATGCTCAGTCACTCAGTCACAAACCGACATAAAAAAAGAATCGTGATAAAATGGTGAATCGTGATTTTCCTGAAAAAAAAAGTTTTGCCATATCGCCCACCCCTACTTTGAAGAGGATATTATAATTTTTTTATTGCATTTTATTTTAAAGGAAGCATATTTAAGCCATTTTTTATTACACTGGTGGCAAAAGTTTGCATTTTTTGCATGGTTTTGTTATAGCACTCATACATATTAGTAAGATTTACGTAGGGTGTAAAAAAATTTACCTATTTTATGGAAAATAGTTTTCTACCCATTATCAGCTAAAATGGGTGACAAAGTTTCAGTTAAAATTAAAAGAAAAAAAGGTTCAGCCTCGTGGGGCCATCCCAAAGAGGCACAGAATCACTTTCACGGACCTTTACCTTGACTGTTCCAAGCTAGTGGAATACTTCTTATACTGTCTATGGGAATACCCTGCCATTTTCAGGAAATGGCTGAAGACACTGTAAAACATATACAACTTTCCACGTGTCCTGTGTGCTTTGAGAAGCCATGCAGCAGGTGGCAGTGTACAAACTGCAGAAGAGACCTTTGGTTAGTCTCTTTGCGATGAGCTCTGCATTGTCTTTGGTGTCCTGTCTGCAGCACGTCAATGATAATATATCCAAATATATACTTTATACATTAGTCTGAAGCTGGCACTGTGCAACTTATACTACACCAGGGATGGGCAACTTCGGTCTGGAGGGATACTGTCCAGCAGAAGTCAGCTCCAACCCTGATAAAAACTCACCTGCCTGTAGCTTTCTTGTAATCCTGAAGACATTGATCAGCTGGTTCAGGTGTGTTTGATTAGGGTTGGAGCTAAACTCCGCAGGAAAGTGACCGAAGTTGCCCATCCCGTACTACACTGATTTCTGTGCTGTATTGCATTAGTACCTGGATACTGGACAGATGTGTCTGACTGACTGGAGGGAGAAAAGGGTTCATCGGAAAGTGTTTCCTTGAGCCATATCTTGTCTGTATAGCGTTCTTGCCATCAGGAAGTCCTAGGTGGCAAAGGGATTCAGAAACCAACCCCATGTGGCACTTAATATAGCCTGTAACACTGACCCTGCAGAAGTTAGATTGTTTTGCTAACATAGTGAGAGTCAATCCCAACCTCTGATCTCTCTTCAGTGTTTTGGAAACAGTGTAATCGGAGCCTCCTCCTGTACAAAGCCCCCTGTAGGTTGTTTTGCAGAATCAAGCTGCTACAATGCTAGGCCTGGTGAATTATTAATGATTTGTCTGGTCAGTTAATTGAAAAATGTTGGCTGTTGTTTACAGCTCGTTTCTTACCTTAATACTGCATTTGTTTTGATCATACAGCTAAACGTGTCATTCCCACATCAGCAATAAAATAATGCAAATCCAGAGAATTCAGCTTTATCATCACAGAAATAAATTTAAAATATGTAAGACGCTTTAATGGTAGTAAGTAGCTAGTATGATACACTTTGTGATAATGTAATGTAACCGTTGTTCTTTGTTTTGTCTTTGTATTTGTAATTATTATTTGCAAAAAAAAAAAAGCAAGAAAAAAAAGCAGCTTGTCATTCTCATCCAGGCCACAGAGAGGCAATAAAGAGCCACTGCACATTGAAATTTGGAAAACCAAAATCCAAGAAAGTGGTGAAAAGAGCAGATTTGTAAGAGTTGTTCCATTTAAAAGTAAGTTTCACATTTCAGTTTTTTTAATAAACAGTCGTAAAAACATGAAACATTCGATAATATTTCCGATGAAGTGTTTACTAAACGTTCTGTCTTCCTGCATAGGCTTAGGGTACAACGGGGCTTAGTTGCCCTTTAAGGAAAATCTGTTTGTTCATGGTCCCAAAAAATATCATGAAGATTAAACAACATGTTGATTTTTTATTTATTTTTATTGATGCATGAACAATCCTTTAGACTAGAGCTACAGCACTAAAATCTTATTGCCTTCTTAGATCTCAGGGATTTTAATCATAATATCCTATCATATTCACCTACAGATAGCCTACATAAGGTTGAGTGTCAATGCAGATTCAAAGCATCGAAATGGCTTGTTGTTACAGTTTGCCGAATACAACATTTTTACATTTGACCACTTTTGTCAATAATGGTCTGATAATAATATAACTGTGACGATTGGACAACAGTTGTAGGAGGATTATTACTAAAATCACATTTAGCAATTTGACAGTACAGTGTTGAGAGTCCATTACAATGAACATCATACAATCTTTTTAGTAAATGCACCTTTTCAGTATTATGAGTTATCTTTACAGTGTCACCCCTCAGCTTTACATTAACCAATTAATTTTTTAAGCTAATAAACTATTTACGCATGTTTGATTTTTATTTATTTATTATTTATGTCGAATTACGTCATATTTTAAGACTTAATTTCAAAAGTTTTTTAATCTTTTTATATATATACTTGGTGGCACTAAAAAAAAAACTGCACTGTCTTTTTAAACTTCATGTGACAGTTCTCATTAGCATAAATCTGCAACATTTTAAAAATCATTGCATGTTAAATCAAGGTACCCTAAAAAAGATGGATCAGAAAGATACAGTTGTTTTGAGACTATTGCAAATCTGTTTTTCATTATTTGTGTATTCATTCATTTGTTTTTACTACAGAGTGATCTATGGAGTTCCCAAAGCTGCCCCCTCACTCCGGGTCTGTTTTATCAGTAGTGGACATGCACACAGGTGGAGAGCCGCTGCGCATTATCCTGAGCGGGTTTCCAGAAGTGAAGGGGGACACCATCCTTGCCAAACGACGCTATGTGAGAGAGCATTTGGATCATCTTCGCAAGGTCTTAATGTTTGAGCCCCGTGGTCACTATGATATGTACGGAGCCCTTCTGGTCAGAAGTGAGTTAGCAGAGGCTGATCTCGGCATATTGTTCATGCACAATGAAGGGTATAGCACCATGTGCGGCCACGCTGTCATTGCGCTCGGGCGCTTTGCAGTGGATTATGGTTTGATTAAAGAGCCCACTTCACCCGAGACGCAGATAAACATACACTGCCCCTGTGGCTTAGTGAAGGCCTTTACACAATATTCCAATGGGAAAACCGGAGCTGTCAGATTTCTCAGTGTGCCAGCCTTTGCTTTCGCTACAGGTGACAACTATGATCAGAGCATGGCAATGCGATCATAAAAGAAATTGCAAGTTTGAATTATATTAGTCGATTCAATTCTTTGCCATCCTTGTTTTCCTAGATGTGAGTGTCTCTGTACCAGGATATGAGTCCATCACTGTGGACATCAGTTATGGTGGAGCTCTTTATGCTTTAGTGAGTGCTGAGAAGTTTGGATTGGATGTCAACAAGTCCAAAACCAGAGATTTGGTGGATGCAGCGACTGCTGTGAGTGATGCTGTCAAATCCCAGGTAAACTGGCCCAGTGTTGTTATTCTTAGCTAAGACTAAAAATGAAAACTGAAAATATAAATATAAAAGTGGTTAATAAAGAGAACTGGTCAAATGAATCCAATCACATCAACGTTCAGGCGAGCTTTAGCATATCATCGTTTCATTACTATGCTGTGAAGCAGGGGAGTCTCAAGAGAAGCCAGGTTATGCCGGTATATTTTTCTATTGATATAAAAAATCGGGTACATTTAGCAATATAGCGGGTATATGATGGTATGATGAACAATGAATTGTTCATAGCTTTTCTAAGGATACTGATTTTTTTAGAAGGCAGCTGTCTGACTTTGAGATGGCGAACGGGAACATGGTAGTTGTGTAACTATAGCAACACATTATTATCCGTTTGATAACAGTCAACCCAAAGGCTAATCATATTAATTACTGTTATGTGTCTGACGTTGTAGAGAGCGATGCATAAATTGCATTACCATTCTGATACATCGACTTGTAGAAGAGCCTGTATAATTCACTCTTCCACCACTTCTTCTGAATCAGTTTCTGCTTCAAACAAATACGGGTGAATTAAACCAGTATTTCAACTTGGCATTGTGCAGTGTTTACTACAGTAAAGTTCATTTATCTATTTATTTCTGAATTTCGGTTTCGAATAGGACCTTATTTGATTCTTGAACTACATTTTTTAAGAAACACAAGCCTACTTTATTCCACATTGTGTTTTATAATTAGCATAATTTATTGGACTAATTATTGTAATGACCCTAGGTAAAGCTGCACCATCCAGTCAGTGAGGATCTAGCCTTCCTCTATGGCACAATCATTACTGACGGCAAAGATGGTTATTCTGAAGAGCCCACGACCAATGTGTGTGTGTTTGCTGACGCGCAGGTAAAACCAGTTGTGACCGGCTGATATGTTTATTAATCCATACACAAGTGACAGGAAGTTCTGCTCTTCAAGACTGTTCATCCTAAAATTATATCAACTGGTCTTTTGCTCTTCAGTCTTTGTGACCGATGTCTGTTATACGGCTTGTCAGGTGGATAGAAGCCCTACGGGGTCTGGCGTCACCGCTCGTATCGCTCTTCAGTACCATAAAGGCCTGATCGCACTGAACCAGGCCAGAAGCTTCCAGAGCGGAGCTACAGGATCAGTATTTACAGGAACAGCAGTAGAGGTACCTGTAGCAAATTAAAACATGTTTTCATTTCTGTTAATTGTTGTAAATAAGTTCAGTCATTTTTAGAGTGTAGTCCTGGAAATGTATTTTATATGCTTGATTCTTTTAGCAAAATCAGTCATTTGCAGCTGTTCTGTTGTTAAAGGAGACCATGTGTGGGGACTTCAGGGCTGTGGTAGTAGAGGTCAGAGGTCATGCTCACTACAGCGGCGTGGCCAGCTTCACCCAGGAGAGCGACGACCCCCTCAGTGGAGGCTTCCTTCTGTGCTGATTTAATCTTCTATCAATTTCTGCCTGATTTCAGGTTTCTGAGCTTGGGAGCACATCAATCTCCTGATGTAGATGTTTTGTAAAGGAAATCATGAAAACACTTTCAGATATTGAATAAACGTTGTGCTGTGACCGCTACAATTTCCCTAAGATGGTACCACATAATCAGTTCTGGTTTAAATGATATTTTTGACATTGTTTGAACTGTGAATAATGGCCACCAGGAGGCATCGTCTGACTACATTTGATCCAGCAAAAACAGTGCGGTGACAGTTTTTACTAAAAAAGTATTGTCTCTGTTTTTGTTTATCATAAAACCCTATTGTGACTTAAATCGACAGCCTGTAACAGTAAATACTTTTCAGATTCTTCCATTTATTCTCTTATGATTCGTCATCTTACAATGGAAGGCTGAGTTGTCCTTAAAATGATAAAAGTCCAATGGAGGTATCTTGCACTGAAAAAGGAAACTTTGTCATACAACTAGGCTGATCATAAAAAAAACCAGGAGAGACTCCAGACAGGAAGGATGAATGTAAGGGAAGAAGAGTATTGCCTTGATCCGGTTACTTACAGATCATTTTAAATATGACTACATTTCACATCCTCAAACAGAGAGTCCAACACTTGACATCAGAAACTGCATAGAGTCTGTACAATGACCGTCCACAGTGTTTAAGACACAACATGGGCACCGGAGGCCCCTAAAAATCACACCTTTAAAAAAATCATTCCCAGTCAGCCTGTACCGGATATCAACTTTCTGAAATAAGCAACCCACAGCCCTGGTTATTGATGTCAGTAATATTCCTTAAAAACACTCTATATGTATAAAAGAAAACAAAACCCTCTCTTAAAGGGGTACAGTCACTTTACAACTTTTCAGTGACCTATATACAGACACTTGTCATTAAACCTCTTTAAATAACCATCCGTTCCCACTTTGAGAGAAAAGCAGTCAGAAAAGCAAGAAATGGAGTAGTTCACATGGGTGCCAAGAGCCATTGACGCTTCTGACGATTTGTTTTGTTACAGTAAGAAAAAAGGGGTCGACAAGAATTGCAAGTTTATGCGGTCAAATGAACGTGAGCTACTGACTCATAACCAATCAGTAAACTCACATTTATCTCAATCTCTGATAATAATCCTGGTGCTCCAGCACACTTGATGAAATGAATCATTAAATTAGGTTCATTTGGCATCCATATTCTTAAGTTCTCTGCAATTAGACAGGTGGCCCATTACAGTCACATGACACAAGATAAACGGACTGTCTTTGGGTAAGCATGGTTTCCTCCGCTACCAGTGATGGTGTTTAATATGAGGAGAGGAGCTAATGAGTGTCCTCCAGACATTCACCACTGCAAGGAGGTTATTTGGTTGCAATGAATTGCGTCTCAGTGGTTGATCAGCATGACTGCCGTTTAGAAGTTAAGCTTGGTAATTGGACGCTCCCTGCCGGTGTCTGATGTCTGGCTGTTTATGCGTTTGCGATTGCGCTTCATCTTTGACAGGTCTTTATCAAAAACCTCTCCAGAACGCAAAGCGGACACCAGATCGTCAAACTCTCCCCCGTCGTCCTCTCCGTTCTCTTTGGCTTTTCGAGCCTTCCTTTCTTTCTCCCTCTGCTCTTTGAGCTGAAAGACATCAAAAAAGAGGACATTATATTTAGCAGTAAATGGGTGAAGAATGAAGAGATATGGACCCGATGAGATGAGTTAAGTTGTTTGGCTTGAGCGGAGGCTGTCAGTTACTTAACTTTTCAAGTTAAATATATATAGACACACAGGCTATTTTATTGGGTACACCTGTTCAACTGCCATTAACAATTTCACATGGCAGCAACCCAATGCATTTAGGCATGCAGGCATGGTCAAGACGATCTGCTGAAGTTCAAACTGGGCATCCGAATGGGGCTCGTGGCATGGTTATTGGTGCCAGACGGCTGGTCTGAGTATTTCAGAAACTGATGATCTACTGGGATTGTCACGCACAACCATCTCTAGGGTTTACAGAGAATGGACTGAAAAAAAGAAAATATCCAGCGAGCGCCAGTTCTGTAGGCAAAAATGCCTTGTTGATGCCAGAGGTTAAAGGAAAATGGCCAGACTGGTTTGAGCTGATAAAAAAACAACAGTAACTCAAATATTATTATATCATTACAACCGAGGTCTGCAGAAGAGAATCTCTGAATGCACAACATGTCGAACCTTAAAGCAGATGGGCTACAGCAGCAGAAGACACACCGGTGCCAATCCTGTCAGCTAAGAACAGGAAACTAAATAAGGCTACAATTTGCACCGGCTTACCAAAATTGGACAATAGAAGATTTTTAAAAAATGCATGCTCTGATGAGTCTCGATTTCTGCTGTGGGATATTCTGTTGGCACACTTTGGTCCAGTTGAGCATTGTTGAAATGCCACAGCCTACCTGGCTCAATCAGCTTAAATCACCTCAAACTGGTTTCTTGAACATGACAATGAGTTCACTAAACTCAAATGGCCTCCACATTCACAAGATCTCAGTCCAATAAAGCAACTTTGGGATGTGGTGGAATGGGAAATTTGCATCATGAATGTGCAGCAACTGAGTGATGCGATCATGTCCATATGGACCAAAATCTCTGAGGAATGTTTCCAGCATCTTGTTGAATATATGCCACAAAAGGGGTCCAACCCTAATAAAGTGGCCGGTGAGTATATTTATATAAAACTTTATGTATAATTATGCACAGACCTGAGCCTCCATTCGTGCCCTGCGCTCCTCCTCCTCTTTACGTCGGCGCATGTTCTCGTTCTCTTGACGGGCATCTGCGAACGACTGCAAGAACTGGTCGAATATCCCAAAGAACTCGTCAGGCTGCATCTTATCAGCATCCTCACCGAAGTGCTTGACTGCCTTTAAGAACTGGTGAACAGAAGCACTGGTCATATGAAAGCCATTTTCTGCTGTCTTTACTTTCAGAGTAGCGACATGAACATGAATCCCTCAAGAAAATCCTGAAAAAAAACTTAAACACTCTAGGCACAAACCTACTGTGGCACAACAATGGATTTCTTTTCTTGCAACATATTTCTGTGGACTGTTTTTAAAATAATAGCTATAAATGACTAGCTTGTTTATAATTTCCAGACCATTAGTGGTTTCTGAGACTTGAAAGAAAATGAAATTGTGGTTACTGCTCCATAATGCAGCTGAGAGACCATTTTCTAGTAAAAAAAAAGAAAAGTATTTATAAGAATTTTTTTAAAAGTAACACGTTAAATACACTTATTAAATAATTTACATGTAACTGAATGTTGCTAAATAATGTTAAATTAGCATGGCAATATGTACAGCACAGTTTTCAACAACAATATTCAATTGATCACAAAAAGCCATATTTTTACTTTTTTCATAAAAACATTGATTGTAAGATGTAGTGACAACAGAGTAGTCAAGTGGCAAACCCATCAACTTTTTTTTTTTTTTTTTTTACAATGCAAAAAAGGGCAAACCGAGAGGAAAAACAAAGTGCAGTGGAATGGGCAAACAGTAGCATAACAAACTGTGGGGGTCTAATGAAGTTCTAGTAAATGAACTGTGTGACGCACTGCTAGTTATCCGGTCACCGGTAGCACAGCATAAAGTGGTCTTGTTAACCAAGGTTTCTCCAGTGACTGATTACAGCCTAAACACAGGGGACTGGAGTCTTGCCATGGCACTGCTGTTGCCTCGTGCCGTCTCACCACAGGGGAGGAGGCCTAGCCTTCCCACAATGCCTTTGATGTGCCTTTATCACTGCCATATGGAACAGCTCCTCCGTGGGCCTGTACGTGCCTGAGAGCCAAGGGGCACATTTTTATTTCTCCTTTGCCCTGCTTTTACATCTCTTCTTATCTGTCTCAGACTTCAGGCAGGAGGCCTAGGTTAGGTTGGAGGTAAAGATTTTCTGCTGTAGAGTGCATATGGCATGTTATTGTGCATTTACATGCATGACCTTTCTATCAAACGCAGTGCATACATAGGCATAAAATAAAATAAATATGTCAACTGTCATGATGGAATAATCAAGACAAAAGAAAACTGTTTCACTGCTAATTAATATTTGAAAAACTTGAACTTCTGTCCGCTGTGACTAACATGCAGGGGAAAAAACCCCCAAAACAAATCAGAAAATGATATCATAGACGACCCCTGCATACCCTCATGGCTGTGTATCAAGATCAATAAGACTCTTAAAATGCCAAATGATTTGCAGTGTTGTTGTTGTTAACTACAACTATTATTCATTTTAAAATGAATCTGAAATAAAAAATATATATATTAGTTGAAAATTTTAAAATGTCAATTTGTCAAAGGAATTAAATAAAAATGTAAAATGTAACCATGGCAACTAACTGAAATAATTTAAGTTGAGTTAATAAATTACTGAAAGTGAAATAAAAATAAAGCTAAATAAAAATATTAAAGATATATGACAAAAGCACATAAAATAACTAAAACTTAAACTAAACCTAAAACTAAATAGTTGAAGAATAAAAGCCAATTCAAATGATTAATTATTACTCCAATAGTATATAAATAATACTAAAATAACAGTTATTATCCTGGTGTTTTGTCAAGGCAAGGTTAATTCAGGTTGTCAAGTGGCGTGACTCCCCAAAAACTTGATGAAAATAATATCTATGCATTATTAGTTAATGATTATTGAAAAAGAAAAATGTATGTATGTATATATATATATATAATAAAAGTAACCATTCAGATATTATGAAATATGAAACCAACATGAATACAAAGAGTACATTTCTAAGAACTTTTGAGGTGGGCTCTCCCATTTATCCAAGATTTTGACATACAAAACATTCACAATCCTGTCATAAAAGCACAATATCATGAATTTGCTGCATTTTGGCTTTCAAAAACCTTGACATTTCATATACTCGTTTCCCCTCACAGGACTGGAAGATAATATAAGGTGGGTGCGTGTGTGCCTCCCTCTGCACAGATGGAGCTTGCGAAAGCAGTAACAGTTGTATGTCCTTTTCCTCCTCGACGTCCTGTAGGGCCCCCAGGGGCCAGTGAAAGTGCCCGGGTCACTACATCGGAAGCGTTCACAGTAAGAGGTTGAAGGTCAGCTCCTGCGCGCAGCAGGACATCCAGGGTAACTGCAGCCTGTTTCTCCAGCTGGCCTTTGAAAGAAGCTCAGCTGCTCCAGGATGTGCACCTTAAAGATAAACACACAAACAAACACATGCAGTCCAGCACACACGGACACACACTCACCAGTTCTTTGGCCTCACCGAGGGAGTCCTCGACATCAGAGAAGCTGAAACTGGCCACTGTGATGAACTGGCTGACCACAGACACAAACTTATCCCCAAACTGCTGAGGACTCGTCTTCTGGTATTCTAACTCCTGCATGAGAGAGAGCCTGTGTAGATGATTTGCTTTTAAGCTTGTGAATAAAGAGGATTAATGCAGCACTTACACTCTCTACGCTCTTCAAGCCACTGCGAAGATTATTGATCTCCTTCTCCAGTTCAGTCATGCTAGAAAAAATAAATAAATCACACAATCATTTTATTTAATGTGTAGTCAAGAATGCATCCTCTAAGGGGAGGAGTGTCGGTAAGCTGTGCCACTTTTGATTTAACTTGTTCTCTAGGTAAGGAAAATTAGATGTAAACTAATATTTTAGTTAGGATGTCTGCTATAAACTGAAATGTATAACATAGCGGGCATGATATATGATGGTATATATATATATATATATATATAAAAGAAATCCAATGACAACTAATTAGGGGTTAGTTGTGCCATGTCAAGCGGTAAGTTGAATAATTGAGGAAAATGTGAACAATATCATTCTAAATGCCCATTCCAAAGTCTTATTTTGCAGCACATTTTTAATATATTCAGTATCATAAGTTCAATACCAATAATAGATTTGTTGTGAAACAGTTTTCAACATTTTGTAATATTGTTTTTATTTAATGGTTAAACAATATGGGAGAAGGCTTACAATTATTATTATTAGTTAATGCAGCATCTGACACACTTTACCCCACAGCATTCATGACAATTTCCTATAATGTAATCTTTTTTAAGATTGTTATTTTAAAACAATCTTAAAATTTTATATAAATTAAATGTAAAAGTATTTTTATTATTTTATATAACCATAAAATTCATTGTACCTGCCATATAAAATTACTTTAAAATGTAAACAATTATATTAAATATGAATTAACACATTGTATACTTTTTTTTTTAAATAAAACATTTTTAAATATTTTATACAAATGTGGCATTTTTTATTTCAATATTTTTAATATGTACATCTCTCAAATCACAGTCAGCTGCATATGATGGACCCTTTTTAAATATATGGTCATGTAACAGAAACAATTCAAAGTTTGCTATATTAAGGGGTGACACATCTTACCCCATTCCCCCCTATGCCATATAACACAATTATATCCATATGCCATACAGGCTAACCATTTTTAGCCTTTTTTCCAAACCGGTCACACTGATATGAACCACAGATATATATAACAGCCATTCATCTGAACTTTAACCCATGTGATAGCACTAAAGTGACTCCATTAATAAGATAATGTGTGTGAAAGGCTCTGTTTTGAGCTGAGCTATTCATAGCAGCAGAAATGACCTCTCTGTGGGACTGATAGCTGCTTGTCTTCAATATGTGCCGCCTTTATTCCTCCCTACACACAACAGACTGAACTATCAAAGTACACAGAGACATACTTGTGTGGTTATGGAAAAACCTGTCCACTCATTGTAGCTTGTGACCCTTTTAACATATTATTTTTCATTTGTAGTCTGAATAAATGACACTGACTGATTTGCCTGAGGCAAACAAGAGTCCTTTATTTCAGAGATCACGGGTAGAATTAGTCTTGTGACTTCACTTGTGGACCGAGCATGATCACATTAGTCTCGCTGGCGCGACTAAAAACTAATTTAGTGGACATTCTACTGTACATTTGGACGGTCCCTTTAAGGCAAAGTAATGAGGAATGACTCAAAATTAGAAACTATCTTCCAAGGGGGAAAGTGTCACAAGTGTATCACTCACATCTTGGCCCATATTTGTTGGCACGCAAAACTCGAGAGGTCATGGAGTGGAGCTGTATTCACACTCTCTCTGCTATGCTGGCCATGTATCTCTCTTCCACTTATATATCTCACCACCTAGAGCCAGGAGAGTCGAGGGCCCCATTTCTTCCGACTATAATTTAGGGGTTTCCTCTGCATATGTGAGTAACCAAAAGCTTGTATGACCCACAGCATGGATTTAAGCCTAGTGGTGGGCGGGAGTGACACCGCAAAAACTATTTCCAAAATCCATTTAGCGCAAGTAGACCCTACAGGCCTGTAAATCGTAAAGCTGACGAAAGAAGCGCACGCTATAGCCCATCCGCAGCTATACCTACTTGACTTTTGCAGCTTCCGGCACATTCTGCAGCTCCTCTGAGAAGAGCATGACTTTTGAGTACTTCTTTTCCAGAATAGTGATCAGGTAGTGTAGGAGAGTGATATTCCTGCAACGGGACAAAGGCGACAATACAAGTTTGAATATAAATCACTGTGTTCTTTATTCTTCCATAAACACAAAGATAGATTTTCTCACTTGTCAATACTGGACTTGGTGTCTGCAATCTTGTTGAGCGAAGAGATTTTGAAGCCGTATGCATTGCCTCTCTGTCCTTTGTTCATGTAGTTGCCAAACGCCAGCACCACCTCCAGCAGCTGCTTGAGATTCCGACTGTGCAGCACCTCTTTTGAGGCCTTGATCAGTGCTGCAAAGTGAAATACAAATAGTCACGCAAGGGGGGGGGGGGGGGGAATCCTAAATGCTTCATGTTCATGAACTATACTGGAACTATATTATATATATATATATATGTAATATAGTTCCAGTATAGTTCTATTAAAATTATAATATATATGTATACATTATGTATACATACATATTATAATTTTAATAGATTTGTATTATAAATGTAATACATATATATACACTACCGTTCAAAAGTTTGGGGTCGGTACGATTTTAAATACAATTCTCTTCTGCTAACCATGGCTGCGCTTATTTGATTAAAAATACAACAAAAATCAGTTAATAGTATTAAATATTATTCCAGTGTAAATCAGCTGTTTTCTGTGTGAATATATAGTAAAGTGTAATTTATTCCTGTGATCAAAGCTGAATTTTCAGCATCACCAGTGTCAGTGTCTTCAGTGTCAAATGAAACAGTTGTTGGTCTGTCAGTTGTACAGTTTTTTTTTTTTTTTTTTTGGATTCTTTGATGAATAGGAAGTTCAAAAGAACAGCATTTGTTTGAAATAGAATCTTTTGTAACATTATAAATGTCTTTACTGTCCTTGATAAATAAAAGTATTGATTTCTTTCCTCCAAAAAATAAAAATAAAATTCTCACTGACCCCAAACTTTTGAACGGTAGTGTGTATATATATAATTGATAATATCTATTTGACATGCATTTTATGATAATACTTTATGATAATATTTCACAATAAACTGAAACTAAAAATAATCAAATGCATGAAACGTAATTGTTCATCACCATATTCATCACATATAATTTACATATATTATGGTATTATAATTAATCTGAAAATTTGAATACAGTATTTTCTTAAGCTAAAAATGGGGCCGTTTAAAATACATTTTAGAAAATGTAATCTACTAACAGCCCTATTTTTTTGCAATGCAAATGCATTTAAAGAGCACATGAACACACCTTCAACTTTAGGTTTAATTTCTGCAATCCTTTCAGCAAACTTCTTCTTGAAGTACAAAGACTGTAACCTCTGCTGGTAATGGTTTATTCTGTTAAAAAAAGGGAGAATACATCAAATATAAAAGCAAGGCCCATTAAAAACACTGCACACTACATCACCCATAATAGATTCGAAATGAGCTGGAGAACTTTATTGTCCCGCTCAGGACACGATAAAACGGATATGATCTGTATACACAGCATTAATGGCTCCACTGAATAAAGAACAAACAGCCTGAACCAGTGATCTGAAACTGACGCTGCTGTGTTACATTCAGCACTCCTGTGCCCGGGACAATAACCTTGGTGACCGCACTTGCCGAGGGACCAAACACAGCCTAGGGACTAAAATCTGACAACCAAGTTGATTCTTTGTAGTATAGAGGATTGAAGAGAAATCTTTCAAACACATCAGCCACAGCGGAGTGAAAAATTCACCAGGGTCTCATAAACAGAGAAAGAAAAAGCAAGCAAAGCAAGCCAAGGCACCTGTGCTTTGTTTGGCTCAGCTCCTCTGTTAGAAAGTGTAAGGCAGCTGCATAGCTACGATGAGATAGTACTTATTTAGTTACAGCAAATATTGATGCTGAATAGGATCCTCAGCCTGACCAGATCAATGTGTCACCCAGGATTCATAACCCTTTTCCTTCCTTCCTGCAGGAAATCGCATTTGCTCCTGACACTGTGTGTGTGTGTGTGTGTGTGTGTGTGTGGAAAAAACTAAACAGATCTGAATAAGTCACTGTACAGTGGTGGGTGGCCTTCATGGATCAGATATTCTTCACACACAATAGGCCAACATCATGAAAGAATCCATGCCAATCAGCAACGGGGCCTTTTTGGGTATCGGTCACTTCATGCGTTTTTTTAATGATGGGATATAGCTATCTGTTCTTTAAATCTCTTCCATTTACACTTGACCACATAACTGTGACACAAAACGAATATAAATCCGATCTTCAATTCATGCGCTATATGCAAATTTAACAGAGTACAAGCAAAGACTATAGAATTACATAAGGCTCGTCACTCGTATTGTTTTGAATGGGCAAAAGTATGGTGGCTCAACGCGCTGCAAATCAAGAAAACACATGCAAATAGAAAAACACCCGCAAATCAAGAAAACATCTTCATCAGTTTCACAACACATGTGTGCTCCAAATACTCACAACACATCCAAATACAGAAACGCGCTGCAAAAGTTCACAACACAACCAAATACAGAAACGCGCTGCAAATAGCACGGACCACAACCAAAATGTTTCCAGGGGACCCCAATAAGCGACGAACCCGGATGGGACATGCTTATTGCTCAATGATTACTTTTTATTTTATATTTAACTTTTTTTTCTTGCAAAACATACAGAGATGACATGTTTATGACATACAACTTTGTATACAATATACAAAATGTATTAGAGTTAACAAAGAGCTGAAAAATAAAAATAAAATAGAAAAAAGATTGAGAAAAAGAAGAGGGTAAGATTGAGATATTAATCTATACATCAGTAACATTTAATTTTTTTTGTTGTAATGTTATGTTTAAATAAGTTTCATAGGTAAGACAGGTAATGTAGGGTCCAAAGATGAGACAGCAATTTTTAAAGT